AATTTTATATAAAACGCATAATATTTCTTTTAATTATAAAAATATTTAAATTTTTAAATAAAAGGTATGTTAGGATTTATATAAAGTTATTATAATATATTGCTTTAAACTTATTACTTAATTAAATTTAAAAGGATTCTTAGCTACTTATAATAATAATTAATAAGCATTAAAAGTACTTAATAAAAAAGTTACTTTATATATGTTTAAAGTAAGTAAATAAGGGATTTAAAAAAGAGGGTTTAATAAAATAAGTAGGGTATAGGGAACTTAATTAAATTAATTTAAAAAACTTAATAAATATTATAGCTTGGAATAACTTTAAATATAAATATAAAGACTTATAAAGAGCTAATGGGCCTTTAGTTAATTATATAATATATAATTATTAATAAAAAGAAGGTAAATTACAGCGTAAATAATTAAAAAGAAATGTAAGGAAATAAAGAGAGGGATAGTATATTTAAGTATACCCCTTTTTAAGGGATATTAAGAATATATTTAATGCTAGGGAGAATAAGAGAGAAAGAAGAAAAGGATAGAAAAAGTAAAATTTTCAATAGGGTTGAGAAAAATCTAGAATTTAGGGATATTTTTATAGCATTTAAATAAGGGGAACGAAATTTATAGCGGCAAGGAAATAAAACTTACTTTTATATATTTTTTACCTTTAAAGGAAATAAAGTATAAGAAAATAAAGTATATATTTATAAGAAATAAAGTATAGGCCTTATTAATTAATTAAAGAAGGCATAAAAAGCGGCCTTTAAAGGAATGATTTATAATAATAATATAAAAATATTAAATTTTAAGGGAAAATAGTAAATTTTTAGGAATATCTTTATAATATTTAAAATAATAATAAAGCAAAATATAAAGGTAAGAAATCCTTTTCTTTTATTTTAAAAGCATTATTAACTTATAAATTAATTAATTAAAGTTTAAGCTATTTAAATTTAAAATTTAAATAAAAATATAATAAAATGCATTAAAAAAGTTTTAATTATTGGCATTAATATATTAAACTATTAGGCTAGTAAAGTAAATAAGGGTATAATTACTATTTTTATTAAAAAAATATTTAGAAATTAAGGGGAAAATAACTTATAACGAAAAAATATTTATTTCTTTATACTTTAATATAACGCAATATATAATGTAAAGCTTTTTAAAGTAAATATTTTGGAAAAGTTAGCGGATTTTAATAATTTTTCCTTAAAAATTAATAAAAATTTTATTATATAGATTTTAATAATGTTAATGCCGTTATTCTTAAGCTTTTTTTAATAGGCAAGAATAAGCAAGGGAGTTATATTGTAGGTAATTAAAAATAATTAGCTAGATTTTAATAATTTTTTTATAGAAATTATATACTTTCTTTTTTAATAATTATTATAAGTCTTTAGGGTTTGGCTATTTTTGCTAATAATAGGATTATGTTATGGGCTGGCCTCAAACTTGCAGAATAAAGGTGCCTAAATGGAGTTAATATTCAGAGTGCAAAGGAGAAGGTTTACTCCCTGTTTGCACCCATGCCAAAGCCTATTTTTATAGGGCCAGAGCCCGCTAACTAATCACTATGGGCACAAGCCCAAACTATAATATATCCCCTTTCCCTAGGTTGAAATTGCAAAGAGGCCTTCCTAAGGGGTTAATTATATAACAAAAAATAAAGAAGGCACTACTTTAATTGCAAATTAAATATTGCCTTTTGCCTAGTTATTTAATTAACCCGTGGTGCTTTAACTACGTTATTAAGCCGGCTTATATTATATATATATTTTTATCTTTTCCATACCCTATAATTTAATATATTAGCCAAAGCAAGCCAATAAGAGATAATTATTTAAATGCAAGCTAGCGGTTAAGCTGGCGGCATTCTTAAAATCCTTTAATTTATGCCTTTTATATAAGCTCCCTTACTTAAAGCCTTAAAGCTATAAACTTATTATATAACTTATAATTAATTAGTGTTTAATTATAAATAATTTGCTTTATTAGCGGAAAGTTCCTAGGCCCTAAGAGTTTCATAGCGCTAAACCAGCTAGCATTAGCTAACCCGCTTTAGGCTTAAGCCAATATTAAGCTAACATCACTTTAAGCCCCACCCTATAGAAAAAAATTTATACATTAAAAACAACCTTAATTAAGCACCTTTTCCTTGCTAAGCCTAATTAATAACAGCTATATATAGGTTCTCCTATAGCGATTTAGGCAATTATGCTTATAATAATCAAGCTAGCCATAAGCATAATACTTAACTTTCCTTATTAAAATCGCTGCAATATTAATATTTATTGCTTCGCCATTTTAAGGTTAAGTATTATTCTTTGCTATTATGGCATTAAAAACGCCCTTATATTGCCGTAAGGCAAAGCAAAATACCTTAAATATTTTTAGCCACTCCTTGCAATTAAGTTTTAACTTTGCTAAGGCGGTAAGTTTATTAGCTATAAGTAATATTTTGCAGTTATTTAGCTAAGCTTAGGCCCTAACTATATAAAAAAGCTAATTAAAGCAAGTAAGAAAATCTACCATTCCCTCCCCGTAGCGTTGCTATAACGTAATTAAGCTAAGCCTAGCATATCTTTGCTTAAAAGGATCCCTAAGCATAAAGCAAACCCTCTTTAAGAAGCTCTTTAGCTGCCCCTTAAATATCTTTATAAAACTAATATAGGGCAGAAATTAATTGCGAAAAGTTCTTAACTAACTAAATATATAAAAGAATTAAGCCCCTTTAATGCTAATTGCCTCCCTATTTATTATAAATTTAGCTCTTATCTCTACCAACTAAGTTACTAAACTTTCCCAAGATAAAAGCTCCTTAGGATAGGGAAGGGCTTAATAAGCTGCTATTATTCCTTTTAAGTTTTATTATACTGGGTTTTATATAATTGCATTATAGGTTTATAATGCAAGAGGACTTTAAATATATATTATAAGCTGGCTTTAAACTCGTAGAATAAAGGTGCCTAAATAGAGTTAATATTTAAAGTGCAAAGGAGAAGGTTTACTTCCCGTCTGTACCTACGCTAAAGCCTATTCTTATAGGGCCAGAGCCCGCTAATTAATCACTATGGGCACAAGCCTAAACTATAACAGATTATAATTATAGCTATTAAAAAAGCAAGGGAAATACTTATATTAATTTTCCTAAGAAAATATTAAGAAATTAAATAAAAATTATTAAAAATTAAAAACTTACTTAATCTTTAAATTTAACTAAGTAAATAATAATAAATAATATAATAAATAATAAGTTTTTAATTTTAAGAATTATTAATTTTTAATTAAAAAGCTTTAAATATTAATTATTAAGGGTTGGAAATTATAATTTTAGGTTTAAGGTATTTACTTAATATATATATTATTAATAAAAGGGAGGAAAGGAGCGGAAAGCGGTAATTTTAATAAGTATTTATAATTATAGGAAAGGCCTTATAAATGGGTCTTTACTACTTATGGATAATTTTTTATTGCCTTTTAATATAATAAGTAAAATTTAAAAAGTAGGTAGAAAGGGGGTAATATAATAAGTATGATTTATTAAGGTAAGGGTTTTGAGTTTTAGCTTAAAACTTAGGGTTTTCAGCATTTTATTGCCGGAATTTAAACAATTTAGCTTTTATACCTTTTCTTTCTTTCTTTTTATTTAATTAGGCTTAGCTATGGTAATGCTTAGCGTTTGCAATATATAAACCCGTTATACTTGTTAACTTTAAATTTATTTTTATTTTTAAATATTTCCATAGTTTTATAGGTATTTCCATAGTAAATAGTTAAGCTAATAAAGAATAAATAAATAATTAGGTTAGGGATGAGGAAAAGAAAGGCATTTTTTTTACCAGGGCTATTAAATGCTAACATTATATCATAACATGTCAGGAGCAACCTTATATTAAAAACGACTACATATTAGTGACGAGCAAATAATGCAAGACATACATAAAAACATACTGTTAAAACATTGTTTGCATGTCACTATTATGTTGCTTTCCTTTTGACTTGCTTGCAGCACCTAAATAAGAACCCCCCCTCCCCCTGGTAGGCTTTTCTTGAAATGAGAAAAGGCTGCCAAAACTTCATAGCCAAAAGCCGCTTGGTTGAAAGTATGTGGCTAGCTCTCACTCCTTCATTTGAAGTGAAACTTGGTTTTGAGCTTTTACATGAACCATCCATCACTGTCTCTTGTAATGCTTCCTGGCTGAACGGATGAAATATGGCGCTGGTAGCCTCCTGCGGAGGCGTTGTCACTGTCTCGCAGTAAGCAAGAATCACGAGCACATGGGCCACGCGGTCGGTCATCTCAATATCTGCGCTGCTTCTCAACGCAGCACCGGGAACAGATGGTTTATAAATTAAACAATTCTCAACGCTCGCAAAACTATTTAACACAGCTTGCGTCTTCTTCATGCGATACCAGTTGTGTGGAAGTCTCCCCCCAATGGATGTCGACATTGCGTTGTTAACGACGAGAATACTAGTAGGGACCTTGGAGTGTCTTTCCTTATATTTACTTAGTAATTTGTGCAGAATCCTATCATTTGCGAAATCGATTATGTCGCGAGGTTGAGAGTCACGGCTGAAGATGTCGATAAATCTCATTTTGTCTACCTCAGTTACCCAGAGATCGTCACCTGGTGATGGGATAACATGCACACTTAATGTTAAAATACAGACCTACGTTTCAAAGTTATGTCAAGGCCTGAGGTACATAAAAAGAACAAAGCCAAATAATACTCAGAAAATCACTAGCAGACTTGTGCAGTGCTGAGATGTGGTCAGACTGTGTTGTTGTAGGACACTTTATATTCAGCGCTATTATACGTGCCCAGGATACCGATATGGTAATAAAAATGCGTTTCATTACCCCGCTAACTACCTATTTAGGCTAGCGTAATGACGGACCTGACTTGATCGACGACCTAAATAGCTAGAGAGCATCTGCACAAACTGCTTCATCCATTTTCGTCATTCAAGATCCTTCAACATGTGGCACAATGAGCGAACATTCCATCTTATACGAGGAGTTGCAATCCTCATCTGCACAGGTCCGCCTCATTAGGCTGAGCTGGGATGACACCAACCGGAGCGGACAGGTCAGCGGGGAGCTGACGACGTTCTCGCTCGACGACCCACGCTGTCCGCCATTCACGACTGTCTCGTACACCTGGGGCGACGGCAGGGAGTACCATGACGAGTCTATCCAGCTGAATGGTCATGACACTTTCGTGCTGAGGAATGTGTTGGCTCTTCTTCGCATGCTCTGTTCTACTTCATCTGAGGCTTTCAACCTTGCCCAAGACTGGTTCTGGATTGACTCGATTTGCATCAATCAGGCCAGCCTTAGTGAGCGCTCGTCACAAGTCAAGCTGATGGGTCGGATATATCGCCAAGCCAACGCCACAATTGTCTGGCTCTCCGAAGGATCCGAAGACACCAAGACAGCTATTGAACTGTTAGTACATCTTGCCAACCGAAGGCATGAACTTCGACATGACTATAAAAAGCGAGGGAAGCTCATGCCTGCGGACTTGGCAGACCATCCCGGTTGGAAGCCCTTGGAAAGTCTCCTGGATCTTCCTTGGTGGCGGAGAGTGTGGACGCTCCAGGAGTTCATACTGGCAAAAGATTTGACATTCTACTGTGGTACTCATTCCATATCCCGAGCGGCGTTCCGCAGGGGGTTGCACGCACTTGAGCTATGCGGCCCTTTGGAGCGTTACATCAGGACCGCGGCATGGACAACAGCTTGGAATCGCCGGCGGCTCATCCAATGGTATGAACATGACCAGAACCGCTATAAAATGAGCCTGATATCCCTGATGGCCTTCTGCGGAGACTACGAGACAACGGATCCTAGGGATAGAATCTGGGCCGTGCATGGCCTTGCTCGTGAAGCAGACCGGCAGATGATCGGCCGTCCGACGTATTGCTACGATGAAAGGACACTGTACACCGGTCTCGTTCAAGCTTTCCTGCACCATTACAAGAGCCTGGACATTATTTGCTTCGCACAGCTGTTTCAAAACCCCGATAACGACTGGCCGAGCTGGGTTCCCGACTGGCGTGTCCTCAGTCCACCATATGTGGTTCCTCTAATGGTCAGCCAGAGTACAAATGAGGCCCTGGCCAACTTCAGGCCTATCACCGGCCCACCGAGGTCGATAAAGAAAGCAAAAAAGATGTCGGCCTACAAAGCTTCCGGTGATGAACTACCTGCCATCGAACTGAGGGACTTGATCAGTCATTTGAAATGTCGGGGCCTCATAATTGGCTCAATCGATGGACTTGGGGGTATTCCAGCGCAGGAGGACCGGGTTATGCAAATTATCCAGTCCACATCCCCTGTGAACAGTGCGGCCTTGAATGCAGAGACAGAAGAAGATATTTTCGAAGAACTCGTCCGCTCCTTGGTGCTCGATCGACAAGACAAGTATCTGGAGTCCCGTGCACCTATTCGACAATACGGCAATGAATTGATCCAGCTTGTCAAATTTGCAAATGAGGATGGTGAACCTGGAAGATCAGGGCCACCGTGGTTTCCGGCATGGTGGGAGCTGAACAAGGACCTCCATATACGGGGATTCTCCGTTGAGGAAATCTGTCAAATGAAAGCCTCTCTTTTTCCTTCTTCTGCCACTGGAGGCCACATTCCGAAACACTCGAAGAGCGTCTTTTCCCGGATCCGAGGCGTCATGGGAGGAAAGATCCGTCGACTCATGGTCACAAAAGAGGGCTACATTGGAGTAGCCCCAAGACGAGCACAAAAAGGAGATATTGTCTGCGTTCTCTACGGGTGCAGCGTGCCTGTGGTTTTACGCAAGTCCGGCACCGACGACGAATCTGCAAGTTTGTGCAAATTTGTTGGAGAGTGTTACGTGGATGGACTGATGGATGGAGAAGCTCTGAGTCTGGGAAAGGAAGCCCAAGACTTTATGATCCAATGAAATTCAGGATGTGGGGTCTGAAATACATGAAAGTCCACACAGTCTCTACCACGCCTACATCCAAAGAGACAACCGAACAGCTCCAGTTCACAGCTTGAGCTCATCCACGCCATTCTTCGCGAAGGTGTCCCTGAGAACAGAGATCGAAGGCGAGAAGAAGTACTCACCGCCCTTGGGAACAACCCAGACTTGGAAGCCTAGATCGAGCGAATTGGCAACGTTCACCGGATCAGCGCCGGTCATGTTCCGCGGGCCCTCGTTGTGGACCGTGTTATCGACCTGACCGATCAGAGGGTCGAAGCCGGGCACCTGCGGTGTGTTCGGCGGGAAGCTGATGTTGTTGGCCCAGCCTATTCGTTGCCCAGGGAATCAGTATGCTTGTCATCATCTCGGAGCTATGAGAAACGGCGTTCACTTACTCTTCTGCAGGAACTGGAATCCTCTGCCCAGGCTGCTCTGGTAGCTGACAAACAAGAGTCCCCTGTCCTTCTCCGTCTTGTGCTGCTTCTTCTCCCGGTCATTGACCTCAGGCCCATACTGGATGCCCCGTCGTATGACCCTATGCGGGTTGATGTCACCGATGAGGATGTCACCTCGGGGGTTCATCTTGCGGACATGAGATGCGAAGGGGCATTTGTCTTGGTTGCCTTTATCAAACGTGAAGATGTTGTTCCTCTTTGGGTCTGCAGCCAGCGCCGGGTCATCCTTGAACGGAGTAACCTGGATAGGCGCACCAGACTTCCAGCGGCCGGTGAAGCGAGCACCGAGAAGCTCGGCAGTGTTCGCGGCGGGATCGTTGACCCGAGGGGCATTCAGCTCCAGGAACCTGTCGAACTCGGGCACGAGCTGCTGCAGGAAACGGAAGGCCAGGAAGCTTCCGTCCTTGGCCCATACTGGCCTTTCCGCTTGTTGCGCATCGCCCTCGCGGCCCAGCAGGATGACTCCTGGGTCGACCGGTCCCTGGGTCGAAAGGTCCTCGCTGACTCCCTTCACAGCTGGGTTGGAAACACCATCCAAGAATCCGAAGCTTTTTTACTGAGTTAGCACATGGCTATCATTGGCACCTGCATAATTGTGACCCGGTCACCACATAATTATACGTACTGTTCGTGGCCACTCTCCTTGCCGGGACGGCTGTGCCCGAAGATGCTGATCACCTTGTGGATGGTGTTGCTGAAGACAGCGAGGATCTCGTCCAGCTTCTTGTTTATGCTGTGCTCGCAATCTCCAGCGATGACGATGACGCCGTCGATGGTCCCCTTCTTGAATTCGGGGATCCACTTGGGTTCGAAAGGCTTGCCATCGACTCCTGTCCCAGCGTCACCGAGAGCTTTCGCATCGGGCAGCATACCGGCTGTAAAGCCGTCGTCCTTGGCCTCGGCTGCATTGATTCCGATCTGAACACAAGTCGTGAACTGTCAGCCTGCTGTCCAACGGTTGAAAGGGTGGATGCGATACAGGACTGATGGACAGGTAGGAGGCTTACCTTCTGGAGGCCTTTGGAGGAGAAGGAAATATTTGCGAAAGCAAGAGACAGAAAACCTGTGTGGTGTTTCCTATGCGAAGAGATCTTGTCTCGCCCGGACGACACGAACTTGTCTGAGGCGATCAGAGGCACAACTTTGTGAAGGCGGGTACGGAATGCATCCACATTCTTGTCAATCTCGAAGAAGTAGAATGTCTCAGCTTTCTTGGGGAGCCCAGACCTTTGACGGGCAAAGTTAGTCGTCAACCGAGGTGTCTCAGCTTGCAAGGGACGGTCCGTTGAATTAGACTCACAGGATGTCTCCTTGGATGTTGTTGAGATCGATGGATGAAGCCATATTGCTTGATATTATCTTTGAGAAGTCTCGGATCTTGTGTAATTGATTTGAAGACGGTTACTACAAGGGAAAGCAGATGGGCAGAGGGACGGACACGGTTCTTTATCCCTCACACGAGACTTCCCTTCCTGTACGAAGCATAGCCCGCTGGAATGGCAGACCAGCTGTGCAACCTACGCTCAGGCGGGGGCCATTCCAATAGCAGATGCCAACCTTTCAGCTGCCTGAGAAAGCAAAATGAGGCCCGTTATGCCACCAGAATTCCAAACTCGGCCAATGACCAATCGTATTCACTTGGTAACCGTGCTGACCAACACCCCAAATATACTTGGCCTTAATGGTCCTACACTACACTCATCGCGCATGGATGTTTAGGGCTGACTCCGGCTGACTGCTTTTAAGGCTATGACGGGGCCACACAGCCAGCCCTAACCGAGGGCTGGAATGAAGCCACCTTGAAATAATTTGGCTTACACCGACTTTCAGCTAGACGGTGATAGGCCGTCGGACGCAACCGAGGAGGACTTGTCAGAGTTATGCCCAGGAGTAACTACGCAGACGAGAACAGGGATATCACGAATCTCTTTCGTGAGCCAAGGATACCGTTCGTATTCAAGCCACCATCAGTGCGGGCAGGAGGTCATACGACTGAAAGGATGCCTGCTTCAGCTCGCTGAGTCCTTTGTCATATACCCTTGCTGTCGGCCAGATTACACCGATGTATGTCCGTTATGAGCTTTGAGCCCATGACACGCTTAGCGGGGCGTCAAATGGTGGACTGGCGCTCCCGTGTCTAGCTAATGCTTTGTTCTCGAGAGGTCTTGTCTTGTCTCCTAATATGCATATGGCGCTGGGGTGGAATTTTGCATGTGCTACATTAGATAATTGCGACCATTAGCCTCGGTGCTATTGGTTCGACAATTTTAGCATAGTACGCGACATATGTCCAAACTAGGCGGTAGGAAGCCGCATCGTGCGTCTTCGGATACTTTTGTTTCGTTTCAAAATTACGCCGCTGTTGCTGATTCAGAACGGCCTAGAGTTTTTCAGGGCTGGCATATGTGAGGCCTCTATCCTTCGGCCGCTTACACAAGCGGGTCAGATGCGTTGCCAATTTTGCGCCCCCAATCGGAAGTCCGGGCCTAGGTTCTAGGCATCATCCTTGACACGAAAGCGCGTGCTTGCATTGGCGGAGTAATAAACCCTGCTATGATTCCTGGACAAGAGCTCATGATGTGCCAATAAACGTGTGGAGGTGGAAGTCACGCGCGGAAGGATATCAGAAGGTGCTTTTCGTTGGCCATTGCGACAGGCTTTGCTTCAGAAAATATCATCTTGGTGGGTGAGAGTTTTGTGGGCCAAAGAGTAGATTGCCGAACCGTATTTAGGGTCTTGTCCTGGAAAAATATATCCTTTTGGGGACGAGGCTGGCGCTGATACGTTGCCATCAACTTCTCAATTCAAGTACAAAACTTTGCACATCCGTATTATGCGGACAGTTTCAAGATCCAAACATACAAACCGCCTCACTGTCAATCAATGCTTCAAAGTCGGCAGCCTGTTCTGTTCCAACTCGAAGGCCAAAAGCTGGGCGAGCCTGGGACCACCGCACACCTGTAGCCTCCCAGTTCCAAGGTTGAGTAGGGTCGGTGAAGCCGAGCCGCCCAGCGCATGCCTCGAAACCTGAATGGGCAAAGTACAACTGTCATATGTGATATGCCCTTGTAAGCACGCCTTCATCAAGTCACGCCTCTGCGTAAGCACCGTAAAGGTCACTTCGTAACAAATACCAGAATCGTTCACACCAGGATTTTCGATGACTGGCCGGTTATTGAGAATTACCGCTTGGTGTGGTGATAGAATGACTCCGATGCCCATTGTGCTGTCTTCTGAACAAGCGAGGCCGCTTGTCGCCGCTCAGAACGCAGAACACCGGAAGTGATGTGCGAATAAGACTTCTCTAGTGTGACTTGCTTCACATGAGATGAACGAGGATGGAGAACAACACATGCACTGAGCCATGAACGCAGCGTATTGGAACGACAGTTTAAAGTATTCGTACAACTCCTCCCAATATTATTTCTCTTGGGCGGGAACAGAAGGAAATCTTCCAAAACACTACAGTCTTCGTAAAACCAAAATTCATATGTCCAATCATTGGAGCAATGACTTGACATCTGGGAAAGCAACTCGAAGAGCACGAGTAAACAACACCAGACGACAGATACCTTCCTGCCGCTCATTGGTTGATTTCCACGTGCTTTAAGCATTGGAGAAGATTGCAGATCGGACGAAAACCGTCAATGAGCTCAATGAGCTCCTGAAAGCTGCCTACAGTAAGTCAACTCGCACTGCATTGCAGCTTTAGAAAACAATGGTTGGAACACTTTGCAGAATACAATCGCAAATCTCCCTTTTCAATTGAACCTAACAGTCTCGTGGCCCAATCCCTCTGCAGAAGCATAAAACACGATCCCACCCATCTATCTCACCACCCACTTGATCTCGATCACAACATTGACCGTCGATCGACGCCCAAACTGAGACATCAGAGACCTCTGTACCCAGTTCCTCGTCAATCATCCTGTTGATCGCGTCTCGCATCTTGAGGATTCTTCTTTCCTCGCCTGATTCTGTCTTGATCACTATCTGAGAATGGGCTCCAGCAACCGTCAAGGCGCTGCCTTCTCAGGCTATGACCTGTCCCCTTCCTCGTCCCCTCCCAAGCATCGTCCTGGAGATCGCGACAAGTCTTCAAGTCCTTCGCAAAACGACCTCAGTCGATCGCATCCGCGCTCCAACTCTTCTGGCTCCGGTCAAGATTCCTGGTTCAGCTACCCATCTCGCCACACCCAGTCCGACAACGACGCTATGGCGGCGCCGTTCGAAGTCCCCAAGCTGTGGCGGGAGGCGATGCAGTGCGTCAGCATCAACGCGGGCCTGTTCCCTAAGCAGATCCTCCAGAAATACTACGAGCTTTACTCTTCCCAGGCCGCCATCCATCCTGGCTACATCGAGCTCGACGTCTGGCGGTCTAAGAGGGCGACCGTCCGCGGCATCAAGTGCGTGCACATCCGGTACCTCGACAACGACCCCGGCAAGATCTACCTCATGGTTATCTTCGTGGACGAGATCGACCAAAACACCAACAAGCCCATCGTCCGGCTCGTAACCAACACCTCGATCCGCCACGTCCTGGAGGAGCCCTGTGAGAACTGCCCCCTCTGGCTTAAGGTCCACTCCGACGCCAGACCGCACGCCAACTCGCCTTACCAGATCATCCCTTGCTGCGACCGATGGGTGGAGTGCGCCAACTTCGAGGCGCCCATCTCCAATGAGGAGAAGCAGGTGCCCGAGATGGTGTCGAAGCTGATCGAGGAGGTTCAGCGGAAGAGTTTGCTCCTTCATGCGAAGGAGCGAGAGATCGAGGCCAAGGATGATCAGCTTCGACGCCTGCGCGGGATGAAAGACCATGGCTCGGATGCTGACCACACCACCACGGCAGCGACGCATCTGGGGGGCCTACTTCCTACCTACAGAGTCGATCTTGGTAAATTGGAGCAGTATTGCTCAGTTGCTCTTGTTGTGGCCATCTTTGTGTTGCTGTGGATTCTGAAGTGATTAGAGGAGATGACGAGGTTCATCAAAGTTGCAACGAGGGGAACAGAGCCATGGCACTAGATGCGTAGGGAGGCATGAGCAATGAACGAGGACTTGGAAAGCACTTGGATTCTCAGGAGACACTCGTACAATTCGCTATCGCAGGTTTCACACTCAATGAACAAGACAGGTTTGGAAAGCGCACGTGGCCGGTCTTGGCCAGCTTGGTCATTATTCCGATAGAAAAGAATCCACGACAATTTCCGCCATTAGTACAATCTTGAACATGCATTAAACAGTCGGCCGTCAAGAGGAAAGTCACGCGATGTGGCCATCACCAAAGCTGCCTCTTCTCTCCGTCTCGACCTTGTAGACAAGTTTCTCACCGCTGATGGGTCTCATGTGCTGTTCCGTCCTGCCATGACCGCGGCTCGTCACGCCCGTCCCCAGAACAGTAAAGCCATCTGGCACGACCTTCTCCAGCCCACCAGGCATCACACGCACCGGGTTCGGTTGCAGGAGACCTCCGTCGGACAGCCACTTGTAGAAGGCCGTCGCAAATGACCTCTTGGCTGGGGATGTGTGCACCACAAACTTCTGGTACTCAACATCTTCACCTAGACCCTCCCAGACTGCCCCGTAAATTGGTTCTGTGCTCACGCCCTCGGTTTCCCACGCTCCAGCCTCTTTTGACCTCACCACCGCCAATTTCCCGCCCTCCCGGAGGGTCGAGCTGACTTCCCTGACGGTCGAGCCCTCAGATATAGCGTCGTAGGCATAGTGGACCCCGCCGGACGAGGCCCTCCGCACCTGCTCCGGCCAGTTCCGGTCCCTATAGTCCACCAGGTGGTCATACGCATACGGTTCCTCCTTCAGTATATCCCAATTTCTCGGGTTCGCAGCCCCAATAAGCCGTATCCTCCGGCCCGTGTGCTCCGCGCTCCGCCGCAAGCTGCGCGACGTACATCCCCACGGACGTCGACGCGCCGGACACGAAGAACGACAGAGGCCTCCGCTGCTGCCCGCCCGCGCCCGCACCGCCGCCATCCGACCCTTCGCTCCGCACGCGCTTTAGCACGCCCTCGTCCGACTCGTCCTCCCACCGGAAAGGCGCCTCCAGCCCCAGCCGGAAGAACAAGCCCTGCGCGGCCGTCAGCCCGCACAGGCTGACGGCCGCGGCCTCCTCGTAGGGCACGCGCCCGGGGACGCGCCAGACGAGGTCGGCCGGGCAGACGACGTACTCTGCGAACGCGCCGGGGCGCTCGTTGGCGCTGCACGCGCCCTGCAGGAAGCCCGCGACCCTGTCGCCGCGGTTGATGGCCCTGGCGGATAGCGTCGTGCTGGAGCGGCGGAGCGTTCTGCCGCTGCCGAACTTTGGGGGCTGGCTGTTGCTGCTGTCGTCCTGGGCGTCGGTGGGCGAGCGCGGCGAGCTGGTCGGGGTCGGGCCGCGCGCGACCACCAGGCCGGCGAAGTCGCTGCCCACCACGCGGCCTGTGCCGCCCAGGGGCTGGGAGGTGTAGAGCGCGTCGACTGGGTTGAGGGCGATGGCCTTGACGGCGATGAGGAGCTCGTTCGGGCCGGGTGAGGGGATCGGGACGTCCTGGACGGCGGCGGTCTTGTTCTCGGCGTCGAGGGTGAGTGCTTTCATTTTGGGGATGAATATCGGGCAGAGATGTGGGGATTATTAGCTTCGATGCGTTGGAATCAAGGGCACATAGCTACGAAGCTTATCGCATCAACGGGTTGCGGTTGATGCTTGGGCTTGTGCTGTGCTTATGTCAATGAAGAAGGTGGCGGCGTTGGGATATGATCACGGGTGTCACGCGATGTGGGAGGCTTGTCCCGCCGTGACTACTGCTGTAGAACGGCCTGAATTAGATGCCTAAATATGTTTGCTATCTTACGCAGGCAAGAGTGCCATTGGCTAGTCCAGCTCCTTCCTGAACTTTCCACTGCTGCTGGAGGGGCAGGGCGGCAAGCTTGGGGAGCATGACGATGAGTAATTTATTCCTGCGTCGATGGCGGCATGAGAGCGCCTCCAACGAGAACGTCGGAGAATCTGTCTACTCTGGTCCCCCAGTCACCTCCCCCAACCGCTGGCGGCAGGTGTGCCACAGGCGAGTGTTGTGTCACCTGTGCAGATGCAAGAAGACCGTTCTAGATCTTGCACGACGTCCCAACACTTTAATCTGCATATTTATGCCGCCGCTAGTTCACATGTGTGCAATCTTCATCTCGTGGGGGTAAGCAGAGACAAGTTACAAATAAATGCTCGAGAATACACATGGACCATGCAGTCGTCAAGCCATTTCATTTCGTTCCATATCCTATACGGGGCATCAATTTATCGGGCTTTTGAAGGTTCCACTACCTTGGTAGATCCGTCTGAGCCTGTACTGGGCTTGCATCGGCTGTTGCTGGTGTGTCTTCGTGGATATTCCTCTGAGATCAACTCCAGGGCCTCAGTCCGAATTACCCAAATTAGCCAGGGGTTTCATTCCGAGTTATCAAATTATGTGTTGGCAGATGAGAATTGCATATTATTCGGTCAGAGGTCGATGTGTAAGACAATCCCGGCAAAGCTGTTTCCCCTGGGTATCCCTGTGCTTCTAATCACAGTGGCCCATTCCCTGTCCGATTTCAAAAAAGAGTTGGTAGAGAGGGCACCGAAGACTCAATTCCTGTCAGAAGATATCAGAACAAGCAAAACAGAACTCCATTGAGCGTATGCTTGGATCTACCAGCTGTTCAATGCCTCGGCGGCTTCCCTTGCATGTTTCATCCGACATATGGTATTGGTGCTATGCTGACCATCCCATCAGTGGATTACGTCGGCTGGATCTCTGTAGATCCACGCGTAGCTAGGGTCGGGAAGTCCCCGTGCCCATGAAGTCGTCATAGCCTATTGAGGCAAGAAGAGATGGCTCGAATCGGACATTTCATGCGACTGGAGACTAGTGCACTGGGGTATACCAAATACATCATTCTGGCATGTATAAGGAGCATTTTGCATTCTACAAGTTGACAAACTCTGCCCCGTTCAAATCACCATTATACCACAGCGGAATCCCAGAAACAATACACCCAGACTGCAACATGGGGTTCTTCGGCCTCATCCTGATCATCGCCCTCCTCGGTGCGGGCGTCCTTTACCTAAACCTGGACCGCATTGTCAACTATGTAGCCCAGATCCTCGTCGACGCCTCCAAGATGGACATAACCTCGATCGAGATCACCAAGTGCGATGAAACAGGCTTCACAATCAGCCTCAGCGCAAAGATCTACGACACCGGGCCGCTGGAGGCCACAATCTCAGACATGGTCCTCTCCATGTTCGCCACCAAGTCGGGCAAGGAGTTCGCGCGGGTCCGGCTCCCGACCATCAACGCGACCCCGGAGGGCACAGTCTGCCAGGTCTTTGAGCAGCGCGTCGAGATCCTTGACTTCGGCGCCTTCGACGCCTTCAACAGGAACCTGCTGCTGCAGGAGGAGCTGCCCGCGTACGTGAGGGGCAGCGGCTCGCTCACCATCCCCTGGCCGGTGCGGCTCAGCACAATAGTCCAGTACAACAAGGTGGAGGTGATGCGCGGCCTCGACGGCGTGCACGTCAACGTGCTCGAGACGAAGAAGGCGTCACGGTCGCTGCTCAAGGGGAAGCCCACGGAGATCGAGGTCGACGTGTGTATCGCGTCGGGCTCGCCTGTTGCGATTCACATGGGGCTGACGCAAGTCTCGATCGTCTTTTCGGGCATGCAGATTGCGACTGTGGAGGCCGACCTCTTCCTGAAGCCTGGGGAAAACCGGGTAACATTCACGGGGGAGATGGACGTCTTGTCGATTGGGAAGAACCTTGGAACGGGCCTGAAGTTCCTGAGGCAGGATATTGCGGGTGATCAGGACATGGTTGCTTTCGTGAAGGGCGCAAAGGGGCCCCAGTGTGCCTGGCTTGACAGGACAATTCGGTTGATGAATAGCAAGATTGTGATGGGATCCACTATGGCCGACCTGGTGAGGAGCATATCCAAGGTAGAGGAAGGCTCATAAGCGTGCAATGTCAAGGCCGAAAGGAATGGATGCATCGCATATCAGTCAGTTCTCCTTGCTTTTGCACGTTCAACTGTAAAGAGGTGCGAGCTGTGTCGGATCAGCCCCATTGAGCATGAGTTTCATCGAAACGAAGTTACAATCAGGAAGTCTGAGTCGTGCTGTTGACCATCGTCTTGGTGTAGCCTCTGGGAAATATCACGCTCCTGTATCAGCCTGCCTCTTCAATGCTTGGATCCTCTCGTCTAGCAACCACATGGCATAGGCTCGGTGCAACCTTGAACTCCATTCTGGGATGGCCTTCTGATTCTTGCCCTCGCTGTCAACCCACTCGTAGTCATGAGCAGAGCCGAATCGCACCTCGACCATCCCCTGGCGGTCGGCGTCACCGACGCTGAACTCGTGGCGGCCGCCGCTCATGAACCGGAATGGGTAGCCCCAGTCCGTGGCCGCCTTGCGGCAGAATGCCACGAGATGGGATGGAAACACCCACTGGACAAGGAGGGGCTCGGGATGGGTGAGCGGGCGGAAGATGGACGGAGGCTGCGAAGGGGCCCTCAGGACCTCGAAACCGCCGTTGAGGAGCTGTTGGCCCCCGTGGAAACCATCCTCACCAACGTCGCCTGTGCCCTTGGTAAAGCCACCAAAGAGCTTGCCCTCGAGCTGGAGCACGGGGGACTGCAAGAAGACTCGGGCCCATGCCTCCTCTGGGCTCAGCCTGCGGCCAGTCAAGGAGTCATGTTGCTCGTGCAGCACCCTCGCAGGGACCCTGGCGCCATAGATGTCGACGTGAGGGGTGTGGTGCCTCCCAGAGTGCTGGTAGGCGTTGTCTGATGTAGCCCTAAAGGCAGAGGTCGAGGCAGCTTCGGGCTGGAGGCGCGGGTATGTGGCCTCAAGACGCGTGATCGTCGAGTAGACGTAGTAGGTCGGCCCGCCAACGACCGCGGATGTTATGATTAGACGACGTAACAATGGCATAGTGAATGCAAGTCCCGTGTTAGTCTAGTGGTTTACAAGCATACGTGCAGATACTGGCCGTGCAATGACTGAGTGACTGAGTCGGTTGGTCGAGTCCGGTCCGAGTGACCCTCAGTACCTCTGAGCAGCCGAGGCTGAGGGGAAGCCGTGGTAGGGAGTATGACCTGAGCCTCGGTATAGAACGGGGGAGGAACAGCTGGTGTCCCGGTAGTGCCCGAGCTGACAGCGCCCATGTCCTGGTCCTCAATCTGCTGCACCCCGGATTCCCACGCTTGCCAGGTCCCTCTCCCAGGCGGCCATTGTGCCCCACCACGACCCCTCCAGCCCTCCAGCGCCGCCTTCAAGGATTCCCCGCAAGACTCCAACACGGACGTCTGGAATCACAAGCTCGGCTTGCGGTCGGCTAACCCCAAAACGGCGACGTCACTCCCCTGGCAGCAACCGCATCCAGGGTACTCGGTGCTTGACTGACGTGTGAGTGTCGTCTGGACAGACGGCTCCTATCACATGGGAATGACTGCATCAGTCTGTACGTCTGTCTGTCGCTTGATGAGGTCGATTGCCTTGCAGCCAGCACATGCAATGGAGCAAGCAATCCTGATCAAGAAAGAAGATCTTACGATGCAGATAGGATCTGTGGTTAAGCAATTGGCTTCTCATCTGGCTGAATCAATGTCGAGTGTGTGGGCATCTGTCTCTCGCTTGACGCACAGCCAAAGTTGGAGTTCGGTTCCTCCGCTGCGCCGAACCCATCCCCAGCTCGCTCCCTCCCATTGACTCCCAGCCAAGTCCCTGCGCCCGAACGCCCTGCCACAAGCTCACCTCTAATAATACTGCTGCTACTAGTTCAATGCCTCTAATTACCACTTGGGGTCATGTACCCCCCTCCCGTCTCATGGATGGTGGCTCTCGTCCGCCCGGGTCACGAGTTGTACCTCGCTCCCCAAGCTTAATTCCTAACAGCCGCGGACCAAGGGCATTTCCTCCTTGAGCCGCCAGCCTGCTGCTCTCTTTGAGTCACGCTCCCCATCCTGTCGGCTCGGTCCTATCCTTTCCTGTCTAGTTATGCTTTGATTCCTTGCCTGTTCGCTTGTCTGGTCTGGTCTAATATAGAACGGGCCGTCCCTGCTTTCTTCTCTCCCAAGGTGAAGGTTCTCTCTGTCACATGCTTTGGTTTTTTTTGACTCTTGATACCCCTTTTCCTACTCTTCGTCTTCCTTGTCGCCGATATCTCCACCCTGCCTTTGCCTTCGCTCCTCGACCGTACTAAGTTGTACTCCAACCCAATATTTGGAATACCGGAAAGGCATTGTTGGCGCGAGAGTAGAGACGGGCGCAAGCCAGACGGGCCATTGCCGAGACAGAGACACAGCAATAGACACACGACCACCATGGCGACCAAGGTACAAGGAAAAGATGGTAAGGCGCCACCAGGCGCGGCTGTGAACCTCATAGCAGGTGGAGGAGCAGGCATGATGGAGGCATTGGTCTGCCACCCACTCGGTAAGTATACGAAGGGCCTCTCCCTGGCCGAACACAACAAGACATGTGCTAACATTCTCCTGTCGGGACACAACAGACACGATCAAGGTCCGTATGCAACTGTCCCGCCGCGGGCGGACGCCAGGAACCCCCAAGCGCGGTTTCCTGCTCACCGGCGCCCACATCGTCAAGCGCGAGACGCCCCTGGGCCTGTACAAGGGCCTCGGCGCCGTCATGACGGGCATCATCCCCAAGATGGCGATCCGGTTCACCTCGTTCGAGGCCTACAAGCAGATGCTGGCGGACGGGCAGACGGGCCAGGTGACGGGCAAGGGCACGTTCCTGGCGGGGCTGGCGGCGGGCGTGACCGAGGCGGTGGCGGTCGTGACGCCGATGGAGGTCATCAAGATCCGGCTGCAGGCGCAGCACCACAGCCTGGCGGACCCGCTCGACATCCCCAAGTACCGCAACGCCGCCCACGCCCTGTACACCGTCATTAAGGAGGAGGGCGTCGGCGCCCTGTACCGCGGCGTGAGCCTGACCGCTCTGCGCCAGGGCTCCAACCAGGCCGTCAACTTCACCGCCTACACCTACTTCAAGGAGGCCCTCATGGCCTACCAGCCCAACCTCGAGGGCAACGGCCTTCCCGGCTGGCAAACCACCCTAATCGGGCTCGTCAGCGGCGCCATGGGGCCCCTGAGCAACGCGCCCATCGATACCATCAAGACGCGCCTGCAGAAGACCCCGGCCGAGGAGGGCGTCAGCGCCATCAAGAGGATCACCGTCATCGCCGGGGATATGTTCAGGTGAGTCTTCTGTCCGCTAATGCTTCCTTTGGCTGGTCGTGCCCGTAACTAACACGCTGGGGTCAACAGGCAAGAAGGTGTTCACGCATTCTACAAGGGTATAACGCCGCGGATAATGCGCGTCGCCCCTGGCCAGGCCGTGACTTTTACCGTGTACGAGTACCTCAAGGACAAGATCGAGAGCAGTTCGTGGACGTCTGTCGGTGGTAAATACGAGGAGTAAGCCTGTGTGCTTTCCCCGATCGATACCACGGACACAACCAGGACAAGGACCAAGGCAAGGGGCTGGGCATCATTCTGTATACCTCGGGACTCGGCGCTCAGAGCAGCAGCATATAGCCTGTGTTTTTCGCATTAAACATGAATTATTCCAGAGACGTCCGTTCTGCATGCAACGCGGGCTCCTCTTGCGGCTCATTCTGGGCTGCCCGCAGCACTTGACCATACGCCGGCATCTAGACCTTGACCAACTGTGCATGTGTGCAAGCATGGATTGTAAACAAATTCTATGCTGCTTCCTCGTCAACACTGCGCCCCCTTACCGACCGGGCCTCTTGGGTCTGCTGAAGCCCTTCCGCGCCTCGACCTTGGGGTGCAGCTCCGAGATGACGCCGTCCTCGGTGATCTCGCTGGGCTCCTCGACCTCGAACTTCTTTTCCACCTCCAGCTCGCACTCGCCGGTGGCCACCTCCAGCACCGCGCGCTTCATCAGCGGGTACAGCATGCGGTCCTTGATGGCCCTGCGGCCGGGCGTGACGGGGCATGTGTAGAAGAACAGGAGCGGCGCGCCCCTGTGCCCGGCGTACTCGTGGTCGTAGCGGAAGAAGGTGAAGCGCGGCTCGGTGGTCGAGATGCCGGACGTGAGCTCGGATATGGAGGTCGGGGTGGTCGAGTCCGGGACGAGCTCGACCTTTTCGGTTTCTGGGTTGATTTTCTGTAGTGTGACGAACAGTATTGGTTAGTACAAGTGCCGAGTTCTACCGACATAAAGTGCCCATAGCAACATACCAGTGTCACCAGGCTCTTGCCCCCGTCGGGCTTCAGCTGCTTGAGGGCCTCCAGCGCGTCGTCGTGCACGGGCATGGCCATGCGCTGGCCGAGGTGGATCTCCCTGGACCCGGTGCCCCTGGCGCCCTCGACGGCCTCGGCCTGCTTGACGCCCTCGAGGCTCCTCTCCTCCTCGGTCAGCGGGGCCTCGAGCTGCTCGTGCTTGTCGTGCTTCTCGAAGCCCTCCGGGGTGAGCTCGTCGCGGGTGGTGGCGTAGATGGTCTCGCGGAAGTGCTCGCGGCCCAGCTCGCGCACAAGGGTCAGCCGCGTCGAGGCGAACAGCATCTTCTGCCGGACCTTGGCCGTGTCCGGGATGTAGCTGACGGCGACGAGCCGCGGCGCCGAGTCGTAGCGCTTGAGGAGGAGGTAGAGCGGCTCCGAATCCGCGAGGGCGGGGAGGACGAGGGAGTTGATGTTGTCGGCGAAGGTGGCGGACGGTGATGAGACGGTCAGCAGGGAGACGGGCGTGAGGGATTCATTTTCAATGGTGGCCAGGAGGCCGAAGTGGTCTTCGGACTGTAGGAGGTCGGTGAACTTGGAGGTGAGCTCCTGGGACGCTGTTATAGAGCACGAGTGTTAGACACAGACGAGACGGCGTCCACAGGAAAGCAACAGGCTGGGCGGGGAGTAGGTTAAGATGATGTTAGTGCATACCCGATATTCCTGACTGCATCTTGACAGTCTGGTGTTATTCAGAAGCTTGATTTGTTGTTTCTGCTTGGATAGCAGATCAAGGTGGTCGTAGTCTTGGAGCTGGAGGAGGCGCATTAGGTAGGCCATTGGAGCATCGTGCGACGTATGTAGCTCTCAGGGGCTCCATTTGGCGGGGTCTGCCTCTGTGTGTGGCGTGCAGGCAACAATGACGCAGCATCTGCCCGCGACGTTGCCAGAGCAGCCACGTTGGAAGCTCCTAACCCTACAATGCACTTTGGCAGATGGCATTGGGAGGCCCTCATGGGCTTGGATCCAAGGCCCATGACCATGAAGTGGCAGGACGTCTGCCTTGCTGCTTCAGTCAATGCAATTCCCTGACTGTGCCGATCAATCGTACGGCTGCACCCTCCTAATTGTGGCATGAATCCTTTTGCGGTTGCAGCAAGCTTCCTTCCTCTCTCGTCCTGGCCTCTGTGATGATCTTACCGTTCCATGATCGGCGAGCTGTGTTAAAGTTCTTCAAACGCCAAAAGATCAGCACGTGGTCTCAAGTTTCCACTTGGATGCTGAGTCGAGGAATAGTGCCGTCGCCTTGCTGCATCTCCGCGGCCCGTCTTTGAAATCACCGTCAAGACAGGGCCAAGCTTCTAACAGGCCGCCTAAGAGCTGCTCCTCGAGTACCCACTCCGTGTAGCTGCTTCAAGGTGTGAGACATCATGCCCTGCGGCTGTTTCGCCCAGCAAGTGTTAACAAGATTGGGCGTGGGCAATCGAGGACTCAAGGATGGATTCCCACGAGATGGCTTGTGTCAAGACACGTGGAGCAACGGCCAGAGCGCGGCTGAACTCGAGACTCGACAGGCGCGCACCCCTGGGGCTTCAAGTTTGGCTTGATCAGCTGAAGCGCCGGTTAAGCGACGACTGACTCTCTGTCCGCCGTTGAACAGCCCAAGAGGATTTCATTTGCGCTTCCTGAAACAACGTGTCAGGCAGACTATGTCAAGCTGAATCCTGCCCGCACTCGTACTGACCACCTTGGAAGATTGTGATCCCGGATCGGAGAGTTTTCGACGACGCTGGCGGCCTCGAGGCTTCCCATTCTTCCCATTTGAGTCAGTCCCACAGCCCATGCCTCTCGGGCCTTTCCACAACCTTGTTTATTGCCCGATGCTAGCTCGCTTTGGATCATCACCTTGGATGGGCTGTTTCGCATCGTCAAGGGCAGTCAGTCAGTCAGTTGACACAAGCGCCGGCTCGATGCCTGCATGGCTGGTCGCGTTCGGAGATGGCCGTCAACATTGACACCCAAACTTTGGGGGTGGGATGTCGACCCCAACCTAAGCCAACTATTGTCACCCTGCCTCGAGCCTGCGTGAGCATCAGAATATCTATGTCTTCGAGACGTCCTTATATAACGACTCGACGAATGGCGTACCAATTAAGCTGCTTTGCGCGGACACTCGCTAGTCGGACACGTTGTTTCGTTTCATCGTGCTGTGGATCCTTTTCAGCTCTCGCAGCCTACCCGAGCGATCCTTCAGGGATTCAGGGATCCCGGCCAAACATTGCCCAAAGGAGAAATCACCCTGGTTCTCTGGTCAGGGTTTGATTCAAGGGGCAATACGAATCCACTGTCCTGGGGCGCGCTCGTACCGTACAGGATGCCGCCAACAGTGGAGGCCCAAGACGATCCAGAACCGAAAGCTTTCGAAACTCCAGACAGGTTGACGTAAGGCTTTAAGAATCAATATCAATTGATTAAGTCCCTCTCAGGGCAGCGGCAGGTGCTCTTCTCTTCAATGCTGCGTACAACTTTACTCTCCCAATACAACACACAAACTTCACCGATCATTCACGCACCCCAATATGACAGGACCTCAAGAGCTGAGCACTTTTCCCGACTCGTCGTCCAGAAATGTTGACAAGGATTTGCCACCCTCGCCACCCAAGTCTGCAGCTGTCGAGACTTTCTCACAGTCCCAAATTCCAGAAGCAGATGCAACAGGGAGAACACCAACAAAGTTCCGGAGCTCTCATAGAAATAGTGGACCTGCCTGCACCACACAGCGGACACATCAGAATCCTGCAAATAAGCCGGCCATCAGCCTCTAATGCAATCTCATACGCACTGCTATCCGCCTTGCGGAAGGAGATACAGACAATTCAAGCGCAGTACAGTCAATTCACGGGCGCAGAGATGCCATGGACCGAGGGTGATATTAAAGGGCCCACGAGAGCATTGATCATTGCTTCAGCGGTGGATTCATGCTTCTCTGCAGGAGCCGATCTGAAGGAATTGTTGGGCTTCACACAAGAGCAGTAAGTTCTTGCAACGTTATAACACTGTCCGTCAACGGAAGTCCCTTGACTCAGTGACTAATTCTCATTACACAGGATATATAGCTTCTTCTCAGCATTAAGGGACACTCTGAAAGCTCTCTCAAACCTCCCGATACCCACCATCTCAGCAATCAGTTCAAGCGCATTTGGCAGCGGCTTCGAGCTAGCCCTTGCCACCCATTTCAGGGTCATGTCGTCGAACGCCTACATTGCGCTCCCAGAGACTGGTCTCGGAATAATCCCCGCCGCAGGCGGGACCCATCGACTGTCCTCCCTCATAGGCGTATCCAGAGCACGGGACATCATCTTGACAGGCCGACGGGTGACGGCACCAGAGGCCATTTCCATGGGAATCACAAACAGGATGGTGGACATCAGCCCCGATGAGCCCGGGCTGGACGATTCGACCTTGCTGGGGGTTGCACGGCGGAAGGTGCTGGTCGAGGCGATCCGGTTGAGCGAGGAGATCTGCGAGGGTGGTCCTGTAGCTGTAAGGGCGACGATACAGGCCCTGAAGGAGCCTGGAGAGAAAACAGAGAAAGCTATGATGGAGAGAGTCGTGGGGAGTGAGGACTGGGTCGAGGCGCTGAGGGCTTTTGGTGAGAAGCGGAAACCTGTATTCAAGGGCAGATGAGTCTGACTTTGGGGGAGGAAGCTGGAGGTTGTGTAAATATGCTTGATTCTGAATTCCACATCTAGATAGCTTTGCATATATGGTGATCGATTCTGCTTTTAGTTACACCTGGTGCCTCAGTGTTCCAAGGCCTAAAGTTCCTTTTGAGAACTAGCAGACAATGCACAATGTTCGAGATCTCAAGCAAAGTCATTAACAAGGAATAGGGAGTGGGTACCGAAGTGGAAAGAAAAAGAAGAAAACCCTGGAAAACGGGAAAAGTGAGTGGTGTCGCAAGTCTAACCTCATCATACGGCACTCTGCATGACAGCGTTACTTCCCATGCCTCTGAGAGCCTATATGGCTCTATGCACAGACTTGTTGGTCATTTAATCATGATATCACTCACGATGCCTTAGATAATGTCAGTCCCTAATAATGCCCTTCCTTGACCATGCCTGGTTAGTTACAATCAGAGCTCAGATTGTTTCAGAAGCTCGAGTCGTTTACATCAAACAAGGCTCTTCTTCACCAGCTCTATTGAATGAAACAAAGAATGGCACTAGTGCCTGGCCTGGATACTGAGTGTGCTGCCATGTGCCTGATTTTCAACTGACGCCCCACCTGTAGGCTGTGAATAAAATGAAATTAGCCAGGCCGCTGGTTACAATACCAGGCCATAATCTTCTGCATCTTTCTGTATTTCTTCCCCTCAACAGCCCACTACAAACCGCTGCGACCACAGCTCACCTCGCCACCTTTATGAAAACCACTTGTCTTTGACTCGGATTTCCTCCCAAATCTTCACAATGGAGGAATCGGACTTCGAGTTCGAGAATGATACCGACAGTATGTTCGATGCGTTCGATCTGCCACAGTACAACCTAAGTGGCTTGAGAATCTTCCTCGGATTCCGCCGCGAGTCTTCCATTGAGGTTGGCAACAGACAGGAATGGATCACTTTTGACAAGGAAAGCGATGGCAGCGGGGACGATGATAGTGAAGAAGATGGAAGCGAAGACGATGAGAACGAAGTCAGTGGCAGCGAAGATGACGGTTTTGCACTCCCCGAAGGCTTCGTTGACAGACGTGACCCCGTTGCCCAGCCAATGGGGCAAGCCATCGACCTGGCGCTTCGTCTGTTGGAGACACAGAAGTCGATTGATATCATGGCTGGTGTTGCCAAGCGGCTGGTCGACGATTCCCCTGAGGACATTCAACACATCACGCCTCAGAGCACACTGAGACAGTGCAAGACTTTGGTCAGGCACTGGATCGCGAAGCTTCGTCAGCAGGAGTTTTTCAAGATTCAAGCGATCATCATGGATGACGGTAGCAAAGTGGGGTCCCGGTTGCGTTGCTGGCACAGGCGTGTACATCCCGCGGACGCCCTCACGTTGCCCGACTACCATCCACACAATGCCGGGCTGCTGGAAATTGACATCGAGGTTAATTGAATTCCATCCGCTGAGAACCAGCAGAGAATCGCTAACATCAAGCCACAGATTCTCAGAAAGCTCACCTATCACGCCTCATCCAGCCATGCCGATTCCTCCATCGAACTACAGAAATGTCTCTTTCATGTAGCCAGCTTGCTTGTCCACGAGGTCCAGCGTTTCTGGGTTGCGTTTCTGATGTCGGATATGGCCGGAGGCGGTACGCAGGAGCCGGTTGCAATATACTCCGATGCTACCATACACTTAGTGCACTACTTTGCAGAACCCAGCGCCGGCTATCACTGGGAGCTGGAGTTCTTCGGCGGGAGTGTGCGATGGCTTTACAACCAGAGCAGCCCGCATGCCGATTTCGACGAGACTGGTGGCTTCGGCCGGGATCTTTCGAGTGGTGACGCCTATCTCCAGCGAGCAGATGGGACCGAGCAGCAAATCGCGATGGACAGCATCATCGGATGCGTAGAACACGGTGAGCAATGAGCATTTCCTGGACCCTCAAGGCTATCTGCGAGAGTGGGTATCAGTTAGAAATTGCCGCTAATTCTGAATCAAGATTTCTCAGAGGTCTTGCAGGGTGGACTGGGGACATGCGGGAAGAGAGTTCCTTCGCGCGGCTTCCCGTCCCTCGACTATGACTCCTAGGAAGGATAGCAACCTCTCTGGTTTTCTTATCTCAAGCCTGTACGTCTGGTTCTTGGCAAACTCGAGAGTTCATGATGGCTCATGGCTTCTTCTGCTAGTAGATCATCTTCATCTACCCATTCTCGTCGACACGACCTCCATCAAGGTCTCGCAGTTTCCAGGGGGAATACAGACCAAAAAGCCGGATATCTATGAGTTCCGGGAAGCTGGGAAAATATAAGGATCACCAAGAAGAGAAAACACAGTAGACATAGAACAAGGAAGCTACCGCTGGAGGAAATTGCCGCCGCATCTGAATGTCGCAGAGGTGCGCGGAGAGTGCGGATGCATATGGTCGAGGACCACAACAGCTTCGCCAGTTGACCACAGGCCTTACATGTATATGCGCTCACATTTCTTCCTGGCGTAAGGTGATTCCATGGGATTGCCACGCGTGAATAGCCTTGTCCTGGCCAGGCACTTCCATATCATCCCCAGACAGCACTTAGACAGACCTCCTGGTAGACGGAAACACAACATACTCCACCGAAACTCTGCGAGCCCCGTTAAGCCTGGATTTTGCCGCCAGCTCTGTTTTGAAATCATGAGGTGGCTAGGCGGAGAAGGCGGTCTGGCTATTGGCACCGCCCAGTGTAATTCATAAGACTGTAGTTAGCCAATAGGCAGGGGCTCTCGGTGGCGGAGTGAGACAGTTCATGGGAACATTGGATACAACGTTGTTGATAGTGTTGAGGCTGTGTCCTGCTCCGGTGTTGACCGCGAACGCCACAAACAGCACTTTGGGCTTGGCTAGCTCGGTGCCTAATGCAGTGTTTCAGTACCTGGCACACAACGCACTTCGCCCTGCCAAGCCGAAGAGGACACCGGCTGTGCAACTCTGGCGAGACTGGGAATTTGAGGGCCCTTTTCAACCAAAACGACCGCACATAGGATCATTGAACGTTGATTCATCGTCGCTGCTACGTGATATTCCAGCCTAGGTTTCTAGAGCACCACCTCATATAGACCCGCCATGGCCAGCAGCTCCTCAACCACCCCGAACAGTGCCCCTCAGCCTGAAGACACCCCCATTACATTTGGCCGGTTTGTTGCAGGCCGACTGGAGCGCTTCCAGGCTCCAATCAATGACCTCGAGTACCTCGCCATCTCGCATGTCTGGGGTGACCCGTCGCTACTCGAGCCGCGGGATGTACCAGGCATCGAGGGCAAAGTCCTCTGCACACCAGAGAAGGCCGAGTACATCGAGCATGAGCTGCCAAAGAAAGTGGGGACTAAGCCCTTCTGGATGGATATCCTTACAGTTGACCAGACAAATAAAGATGCGGTGACCGCCATCACGAAGTCCATTCCGTTGCTCTTCAGAAACGCTTCCTGCACAATCGTTCTGCGAGAATGTGACGGATTCTACGACTGTTGCAGAGAGGCCGTCGAGGGGTTCGATAACTACGGATCCTTTTTGAACAAGATACTTTCACACCACTCGAGCCATAAAAGTCATGTCAGGATTGAATCATATCTACAGCGACTCTGGACCTTGGAGGAGTGCCTGCTGTCACGCACTGTCCAATTCACTGTTGGCCCCAACAGTAAGTGTTTACTCCTCTGCCGTGTCATTGCGTGATGCTAGTGCCCATGCTTATGAGAACCCAGATACCCCTCGGGACGCTAAGGACACAGGCGACTCATTAAATGCATGGTACAAGTCTCAAGTTGATGCACAAATCATCTGTGACTCCCTATATACACTGGCTTGTGTGTTTACTGGGTCCAGCAAGCCCGACATAGTGGCCTTTCTCCGGGCATACATCAACTGCTCCACGATCAGGAAACCTTCTACCAACCAAATGGACAAGGCCATCGACATCTTCGACGGAAATCTAAGGAGCTTTCACTTGTCCTCGGCCAGAACCTCGACCAAGCATCGCGACTATGTCCTTGCGACCATGCCTCAATTCCCCTGGTATACTGTGCCAATCGACGCGAAGAGGATGTCTTTTGGGGAAATATTCCAGGACTTGCACACGCAGGCCTCTGCCCAGGGTCACGGGTTCGCCTTCAAGATCCTTACCTCAATGACTGACGGCACCGCGAAGGACGATCCTGAGCGCGCCTGGCTACCAAGCCTTAACCTGCCCGAACCACAATGCCTAGGGGATTTCTTGAAGCTGATGGGTGGACGCATGCCCGAGAGCGCCTTGGACAAGAACGGCCCGCTCCATCTCACAACTCAGGCCAGGGTCCGGGAATGGCTGAAGAATGATGACCCGGACACGGTGCTCGAGGCCATCTCAAACACCATGGCCCTCTGCTCACAGTACTTTGGCGACTCCCACAGCGCTGGGGAGCTGTCAAAATATGGCAACTTCCCCAGTCTCTCGTGGGACCTGGATGATATTGATGCCATGCACTTTGGCTGGCTGCGAATGGGCGATCGTAACGCATTGCGCATTTTGGAACAAGGTGAAGGCACGTACGTGGCATATGGTGGAGGATGGGACTATCACGAACAGCCAGATTGGATCTACGAAGACTTCGTCGAGATACATGACGGCCAAGCACAGGAGCCTAGCCGCCTACAGGCACCATCAAACCATGGGCAGAGTGACCCGCTGCTTCAGTACGCCCGCAAGGTGCTGGACCATATGTGGAGCGGCCATGCGAATTCTAATGTCTCAAATGTATCACAAAGGAGTGACTGGGAGCACTTCCGGCGGGAAATGTACCCTAGGTGGCCCGAACCTCTGATCCGAGCCATCATGCTTCTAGCAGGTCTCATTGGTTGCGGACTCGGCTTGTCGGCTGCTGCATGGGCCAACCGCTACTTCGTGCCGGTATATGTGGGCTTAGGAAAGACCGTTGTGGTGGGCCTCATGGCGAGGCATGCGCGGTCCCCTCCCAGCGAGAGAAAGGAGCCCCGCCAGTTCTTGAGCGTGGGAAGGCATCATCCCTCTACGGAAGGCACGAAAGCACAAGACAACCTGCTCGTAAATCCAGAGACAGGCCTGGCGGTCGGGATGCTGCCGGACTTTCTTCCGAACGTGCCTGTGTCGGATGAAGTCTACGCGCAGAGGATGGCAGATCTCTATCATGGATTTGCGCAAGTTCTGCCTAATAATACAGTAAGGATCCTTCACTTACCGTTTTTAGTGCCAAAGAAGAAGGCGGAGGCTGCTCGAGGATCTTAAATCTGCCTGACTTGATCAATTGCTGTTTGGTGGCTGTACTGGCCAGATGAGGGGCAGGTAAGCGGTTTTGAATCGAGGGAGGAAGTTGGACCGTTTAGAAAATCAAGCAGGTCAAAGGAAGGAATAGTTGGCAGAAGGCAGGAAAGTATCTCAGCCCGAGGGCCTTCGGCATCAACTCTGCCCGAGAAAGAACGAATATCAATTTCTAAGCCGAAATGATACTCTGGAGATGCCTCCTTCTAGAGATCTTTTATTTTAGAGCCTTGTTAAAGTTCCTTTCTAGTTTTCTCTTCTCGCCCCCTTTTCTGCCCTGCTGGTCAAGTGGGTGATATCTTAATGGAAGTAGCGATTTCCTCCTACCCTTCTGCCTAGGTTTCAAACCCCTTACTCTCTTCAAGCCGTTTAATCTGTTTGCACAGCTTACTTGTTAAGAACTCTGATATTCGCAGAGCAGAAAATGGAGGGTACAGAGGTACATGCTACCCCCATAGCTGCAGCCAATAGAAGTGCATTGCCCAAGGCCAATTTGCGCACATTCGCACAACCGCCAACTCGCACAACCCCCAATATAAACAATCGCCGTTTCGCACACCTACGGATTCGCATGCCTAAATCATACACAATTTACATACTTATTAATAGACAATGTAGTTTACATGTATATTCTATGATGGACGACAAAGGTAATTGATAGATATCTCCACCCAAAGCCGCTTCTGTTAGCAAATTGGGCAAAGTGTGACCAAGTAGTTCTAGAGCTACCCATATGGAAAGGTACAACACAAATGGCCTTTGTAATTCTGGCGTAGGTGTACTTCCTGAGCATCGGGAGGCCCAAGGGAGGTGTGCCTGAATGTAAGCAGGGTTGCTGGCAAACGGAGCTGGGAGGCTGTCTCATGGGAATGTGTAGGTCACTACCTACCCATGTGGTCCAAGGAAGCATAGTAGTGCAATCCTGTAGGATGATCTAGCTAATCCGCAATATGCGGCAGCAACATCATCAGCAGGCCAGGCAGGCTGCGTACCAAGCGACTGAGTTACGTAGAGGATATCACACCCCCGCCCCACTCTCCCCTTGGCAGTCTGCAGTGTGCCCACGCCTGTTGTCTGTGCCTCACGGATGGTCTATGCTCCGACGACACCCGGGACTTAGTTCTCGCAGGGAATCCGCTTATACTCTAGACTCGGAGAGCGGCACAGCAACGGACAGATTGGCAGGTATCCAGGCATTTAAGTCTCCGACTCACTATCAATCATGCCCACATAAGGTCTGCCAGAACTCTTGCCTCAGCAATCCTCACGCAGCATATCCGACAATATCAGCACAGCCTGAGTGTCGTATCAGCAACTCAACGAGTCTTCCTGCCTCCCGACTCATCAATGACGGCAAGACCAGTGCAGCGGGGCTATGGCGGCGCCCTTTTCGACCGCTTCACAACGTGGCTTGAGGGTCTGCCTGCCGAAACATGCACCTACACTACAACACCGGTGAGGATCCCCCTCAAAGGCGAAGAGGACGTCCAGCTTGCGGCAGACCTCTACACCCCCGTCCTCAAGAACCACGAGACCCCATCGGGGACTATCCTCGTGCAATGTCCCTACGGCCGCGGCCTGATGGGCATGACCGCACGCCCCTATGCGTCGCGTGGCTACGTCGTGCTCTTCGTCTCCACCCGCGGCACCTTTGGGTCCGGCGGCGAGTTCGACGCAGGCAGGGTGGAGTCGGACGACGGGCCGCGCATAGTGGAGTGGATGCGCCAGCAGCCGTGGTACACGGGGAGCTTCGCGACGATCGGTGCGAGCTACCTGGCCTACACGCAGTGGTCTGTGATGGACGGCTCTGATGGCCCACCCGAGGACATGGTTGCGGCCGTCCCAAGCGTCGGGCCTCACGACTTTTCCGAGCTGCTCTGGGGTACGGGTGCTCTGTGGCTGGCATGCGTTGACTGGGCGCACAATATGAGCATCCAGGAGTCGCAATCGTTCTTCAGTCAGGTTTACAGCTTGTTCAAGACCGACGTAAATACCTTGCGCCACGTGAAGAAGTCCGTGCCGCTTGTCGAAGGCGCCAGGTCCTTCTTCAGAGGGAAGTCACCCTGGGTTCTTGAATGGATCGCTCGCCCAGACTGGGCAAACGATCCTTTCTATGACTCCATGAAGCACGGAAAGGCTCTCCACACGTCCAAAGTTCCAACCCTCCTGATTGGTGGCTGGCAAGATATCTTTGCAGCCATGGCGGTGGAGCAATACCAGCTGCTTCGGGACAGAGGTTGCAATGTGGCCTTAACCGTGGGTCCCTGGAACCATCTCCAATCTCCCAATGGAGAGGGCGTGACGAAACAGACACTGGACTGGTTGGACAAGTACCTTGCTAAACGGAAGGAGGGGGAAGTCCGGCCAGCTCCGGTCAGAATCAATGTCACAGGAGTCAACGAGTGGAGATGGCTGCCCAGCTGGCCTCCTGTCACAACTCCCCTGGAACTGAGTCTTCGCCCGCGGGGAGGCCTTGTCAGACAGCATCTAGACAAGAGACACGAGGTATCGTTTACCTTCGATCCTCACGACCCGACCCCAACGATGGGTGGTCCCCTACTGTTCCGAGGTGGCATAGTGGACGACACGGCACTGGCAAAACGCTCCGACGTTCTCGCCTTTACCACAACGCCCCTGGATTGGGGCCTGGAAGTGCTAGGCAAGGCGCACATCGAGCTAGGCCACAGCAGCGACAGTGTGCACGCTGACCTCTTTGTTCGCCTCTCCGAGGTTGATGCCAAGGGCGTCTCGCACAACGTCACTGAGGTGTACAAGCGGCTCGACCCCAGCCGTGCCGTAGCTGGTCAGCCGGTGAAGGTCGAGCTGGATCTGGTGGACTGTGCCCATAGATTTGAAAAGGGGACTTGCATCAGGGTACTTGTTGCTGGTGGCAACTTCCCTCACTACTCGTTTAATTTGGGCACAGGGGAGGACCAGGGGACTGGGACCATGATGAAGCCAGTTACGCATACTTTGCAGCTGGGCGGTGAATTAGAATCGAAGCTGGTGCTGCCTGTATCATTTCTGGATTAGTCCTGAGCTCTCACCCACCCATCCTATACTCTTCACACTCTGAGCAATCTATTTACAAGCTCAGGCAGCATCTGTGTCTCGAAATTATCTCTATCATCCAAAAGGATCATATCATGGGACTAAACACTGACGCTTTAACCAACAAATCTACAAAGAATAGCTGTTGCTCCGACATCACCTCCGGTCTCACTAGACACTTCAGAGTCACCCCCGCTCCTTCAGCGAACACAGTCTTCTGGCTCTGGTCCTCGTTCAGTATCCGCATTTCCGCTTCAACATCCAAGTCGCCATTTGTTTGGCAGTAGCGGGCATTACACCAGAAAGAACCGCCGTTGAAGCCGTTCTGGACGTGTGAGGCGCTTAGGGTCCTACCCATGGCCACGATAAAATAGCCCAAAAGACCGCTGGTCGAGTCACCCCTCCGGAATATCAGGACGAATGGTGGCTTGTCTGCGATTGGGCCAGCTGTCCGTCTTTTGAAGGTTTCGTTGCGGCTGTCCCAACAGTCGGACGGGAGAGCACTCAGCAGTTGGAATTCGCACCCCGAGGGCCACTCAGGCATCGTCCGAATCAGAAAAACATCGTACGACCCGAGGTCGAAGTCCTGTAGTCTATTTTCCTTGAGTAGGTAGATCCTGCGGGGGCTGACGTCCGGCTTTGGCTGGAAGCTCTCGAGCCGGTCCGGGTAGACGCGCGTGTACCTCGAGATGTCCGAGTCGTACCCTTGAATCTTCATGACGGGCGACACGATTATGCCCATGCGTATGCCGCTTTCCCGGTCAAAGTTGACCCTCTTGCAGTTGAGCCGGAAAAGGTACAAATTCCGTCCCTCCGAGGACGTGTACTCCTCAATCGGCACCTTTAACCGCACCCCACGGCTCGTGATGGTGATGGGCCCGCTCATACCGTGCGCGCCATCTGGGGTCAGGCACGGCGCGACATCGCCCGACGAGGCGAAGGCGGCAGGCGACGGGGCCAGCAGGCCAGAAGTCTCGCTGATAGTCGTGCTGGCCCACGCAAAAAGGGACTCGTCATCGTACGCTTTGACGATTTCTTCCTGCAGGCGGATAAACGCCTTCGAGCCCTCTCCGTAGAGCAGCGGCATAGAAATGTCGAAGATACCCAACAAACAGTATGCCATGTCCTCTTTGCGGGTCGTCTTCCGGTTCGAGGCCCAGGACATCTTGCGCGCCACGCTGAAGAAGCGCAGGTTTCCGCCCCGAAGCGCTTTCGTATCGACACCGGTGATGGAGTAAATCCTGTGGAGAAGAGAGGCCTTGGAGCCCTGGGAGACCCAGTTCTTGTCGTAAAACCGGACATCCTCAGCAGCGATCATCTCTTGGAGCGTCCAGCCACGTGTAAACCAGCGGCACTTTTCTAACCCTTCTGCGTTACCATCGGGGTCGTCTAGGTCGGACAGGAAGGCGTAGCAGACCTCTGCATTTCGGTACCACTTGAACATCGAGTTGATGGCCTCGGAGAGCTCCGCCGAGGAGGACTTGTCTATGCAGACGGTGTCGGCCCAGAGGTATTCCCAGCCGTCTTCTAGAGCCTGCTGGCATGATCTTTCCAGCTTCCACCAGCTCTCTTTTGATTTGTACTCGCGCGGCTCCCGGCTGGCTAGGTCGTGATATGCAACCTCATCCGGTCCCCAGGTATGGGACAGGATAGCGTATCGTGGTATTGTCTCCCCAACATGTTCTTCAAGCGTTCTAGAGTTACAATTAATCAGTCGCATTTTCAAGAGTATCTATGATCACATCTAACAAGGAAAGGTTGAGGTGGTCTCCCTCCAGTCCTAGCTGATTGTAGCAAGAGGCATGCGAGCTGAGCCGTTAAGTACGCTTACCTGCTTTTGGACCACGTGGACAGCTGGACCGGTTGCCGATTTGGCACACCGAGTCTAACCTGATGATGCCCTGTGCCGCGCTGGAGTTGGTCCACTAACTTTTAGGCCAATTCACTGCTGCCTGTGCCCGACGCCACATGTAAAAAAGGCAGCAAGATTTGGGGCCACCATCTTTCATGTCTGTCGGCGTTCACACTGCTGTTTCCAACGTTTCCCAAAATGAAACTTGGAGCTGACATCAGATTGTCTAGCAGAGATAAGCCCGAGTGCCCTTTTGAAATTTGAGTGGATGCAATCAGGACTACATTCATAATCCCAACCAGGAGCCTCGCTGCTGCCCGTGTCCATATATGAGGCTTCAATAATGCTGCGGCCTGGAACCAAGCCTTACTGCCTTCTCTATTACTTTTCCGCTTCCCCTTTTCCCATGATCAAAATCCCATTGTTTACATATATATTCTAAGCCTTTTCTAGCTTGTCGTTTAGGTCTTGGCCGAGACAAGAACTGATCCTCTTGCTTCAACCCGAAGTCCGTCAAGGACTATTCGATTCTTCCAAGTCTAGGCCCTATGACCTCACATTAGCTTTCAAGTCCATATGCGACCTCTTTTGCCTTCTGCGCAAAGCTCCTTTCCGCCTCTTGCTTCCGAGACCTCTTTCAAGTTTTGTAGTGCTCGACAGATAAGGAGCCCAAAGGTTGTACATTACTGGTACCCCCTCTCTCCCTCCCCGGACCGAAAACCATCATAACACAGCCCCCCCCCCAACAAACCTGATGAAAAATCACCCCAAGGCATATTCCCATTTCAATTAGCAGGACACATCACGTTGTCACCTTGCAAATGCGGGGAGCCGAAGCTGGGATTTGTCAGCGGCATAGGCTTTAAGCAAGATACAAAAGGGTGTAGAAGGCTTGTTGGTGGGACTCTTTGACCAGCTTTTTTTGGTCCGAAGCACCTGTTCGAGAACGTTGTGGGAGACGTGACAATATTTGGTCATCGCATAGTTATCAATCGACTGCTTGCAAAGCGGCTGGAACTGGATGGCACGGCCCGGCCTCTCACATTGACTCAGATGGCGCAAACTACTACGGAACTGATGCCTTGACAGTCTGAACAACACAACTATTTTGAAGTGCTCTGCTCCAATCCAGTAAAAGCTAAGAATAAAGCTGGAACCCACGATGGACCGGCCCGATGAACATTCCCCAGGGAAGTGTGATAAGCTTGATCAGTTCCCACCAAGATTACTTAGCGTTTGCTCCAATACCTTGGCACTTTCAAAGGTGTCCACAAACTCAGTGTACTGAGAGATTTGCTTCCCATCTTGTGTGAACTCCAGGTCATATATAACCTTGTGAAGATAATCAGCTTCAGGTTGCTTCAAGATTGACTGAAGTCAAAACATCACCTCAACAGAGCTACTGGATCCATCGACCAGGTGCACAATCTTCTCGATCCACACGTTGGCCACGCGCTGGTGCGCATCGATAACAGTGCGGGTGACGTTCTGTTCCACATCTGTCATGGTTGACAACTTCATCTTCGTCTGCGCCTCGTATTCCGCGTTCGTGGTCTGGGCCCTGAAGAACTGCGGGTATTTGTTGACGAACGAGAGCGGCCGGTACATCTTCACGCAGTCGTCGGAGAGGACGGACGAGAGCAGGGAGACGTCCTTCTTCCTGACTGCAGCCGTGTTGTTTTCGACGAAGGCCCTGATCGTCTCTTGCATAACTGCTCGAAGCTGCTCCATCTTTGCTCTGTGGGCCTATCCAGGGCTTGGACTTCCGTGGGCAGTGTATTGTTTGAGACACAGCAACTGGGTCCGAATTACAGACGGATCTATATATAGGTGAGAGCAAGGGTCGAATATGTCAAGGACGCTTGTTGGTTTATCTCTAGGTCCTTTGTTGGCGGCCAACAGCTGCGCCGTTGGTAACGCGAGTTCGGGGCTATGCTAACATTGTAGGTGATCCTGCCAAGCGGGGAATCCTTCGTGCCAACGGCCAAGAGCGGGCTCACACCTCATTCGACCAGGGTGGGCCAGACTGTGCCTCATCCCCTGCGACTTCAGGGCTATGGGTTGACAGGCAAGGTGGGACAGACAACTGTATCAATGTTGGCTACGGGGGGGCGGGGGCACTTTATCCAGGCCTGGCTTTTTTTCTGATGGCAGCCAATTGAACCTGTGCGATGTAACTTTGCATTCGGTCGCTAGTTTCGTTTCCTAATCACTTTGACATTGAATGAACCCACCATGCCTTGCTAATATGGGTGGGTGGCTTGACTGCTCACATTCTAAAAATACTTCTATTGGCAACAATGACACCTTCCTCTGCTCATCCTCCAAACTGCGTTCTGGTAGGTATTATCCTGCCCGGTACCAACATCGCACTGCTGTGATATATTTTCAGCATTGTCGGTGACATATAACACAAGATTGACAGCCTTCGTCAACATTCTGTCACAGTACTACACATCCCCCATCATCCCATCCTATTCTAAACAATCATGCATTTCCAATCATCGGTTCCTGCAAGCCTGAGAGGCTCTCCCGAGCTCTACAACTACCCCGAGCGCGCCACACCATGTCAAAGGAATTCACCAAATTTGGTGCTCCGACAGAATTGGAAATCCAAAATCCACGTCGGTTGTCATTCCTGACTTTGTTCTTATCTATTTTGTCAATATTGATTGTCTGCTTCCTTGGTGAGACAATCAGATTCCCTACGGTTTGGTCTGAGGGTAAGTTCCTATTCTCCTCCCCCAAGGAGAGAAAGCTAGACGGCTAATGAAACCAGCACTTCCACCCATAATGATACTCCTGTGCATTCTGGTAAGTATGGACGACAGGGGATATAGCCTTTTGCCCCCCCCCCCCATCCTCCCTCCCCCCTTCTGCTTCACCGTCCAGCTACGCCCTGTGGCTCCAATCGTCATTTACCTTCCGCTAATTTCCGGTAGGGCGTGATGTCTTGGCCAAGCAAATCAACATGTATTGTGCTATAGGAGGATGATAAAGGAAGAGCATGGCTGGGTAGTTATGTCAGACTGTGAGGCCAAATATCTGGGTGTCCAACGGACTTTTGTATTTGACATACAGGGATCAGGCGCACGTGAAGGGCGCGGTATGACGAGGCGGGGAAATTGTGATTGGTTGATTCTTCTGGAGTAACAAATGTCTTAAAATCATTCTTACCTAGACTTACAGTTGCTTGCCTTGTAAATTGGCACGATGTTTACGCTTCTGCATTGTCAGAGAGACAGGGAGACATAGTTTCGGTCGGAAGGTCCATTAACTATATTGATCAAGGTGAACGAAATGGTGCTTTCGCTCCGTGGTATGCCTTGATTTCAGGAGCATGGCGTTAGCATGCCGAGGATGAGAAAGCAACAATACCAGGAGCTACCCTGCTCTGACCTGGAATGGGTTTTCAGATCCGAACTTGGGAACTTTATTGGTATCTCAGTACATTGCAGAAATAGGGTCTTACCTCATGCTGAAGGCGAAGTCGGCAGTATGTCATGGTGCAAAGGGGTGGAAGAGACCAGGAACCCAGTAGGGTACGACGGACACCTCCGCGTGGAGAACGTCAGACAAAAGGAATCGAAATTTGACGAGTAAAAAGATACAGGCCAATAAGGATAGTAGCCATGACTTAACTATAGACTCTGCAGCTCAGTTGCAGAGCAATGAACTGTGAGTGGCAATATCCTCGGCCCAAAAGCTAATTGCTAAGAGCATCTGGATCCAGACTACTTGAATTCGACGTTGTATTCTCCATCTTTCAAGTTCCCTCCCGGTAAAGCCCATTCTAGAAGAATGACATACATCACCCCATCTCTTGTATGCTGACTCTAGGGGTATCTATGCACACGTCCTTCATCATCGCCGCTATCCCATAATGTATTCTATGTTCACACACTTTGGCTCCCACAAATCCGTGTCATCGCCCATCCACCACGGCCCTCGCGGTGGCATCTTAAAGCCCGGCCGCTCTGGCCTGGTACCGTTATGTCCAGGAGGAGATGGCGGCGGCGGTGGCAAGCCGTCATCACCTCCCGGGGGGTATCTTCCCCCGGGCCCATGTCCCGGGCCCTCGACCGGAGGACCTCTTCCCCCACCGGGCCGGCCGGGACGTGTCCCGTTGCCAGGACGTCTCCCCGGGCCGCCGCCAGGGCCCCCTCCCATGTGCACCAGCGGCCACATGGGGATGTAGCACCGCTCGTCCCACGCGCACGTCTGTTGGCACCCGTAGTACTCGCTCTCCCACCCCAGCCAGGCCTGCAGCTCCTCGATGTTGTCGTGCCACCGGTCGGCCCTGTCAGCAGGGGCTTCCGTGTGCACACTCGCTCGCTCTTTGGTGCCATCGGTATGATCGAGCCATGCTTGCTCGACGCCGAATCCCAGCGTCAGGAGGACCGAGCATATTGTCCCGTGGACGCCCTCCACGGCTAATCGGATGTCTTCTTCCTCCCTGGGCAAGGGGGTCCGGAGTTCCTCTGGGACTAGCAGCCTCGTATACCGGTATTTGCAGCGAGAATATGTCTCCTCGTAGAGGCTCGACTGCGTAGACCATGTTTCCCGTCCGATCTTTGGTGGGTACTCCAGGTATCCCACCATGAAGAGGTGGATCTGGGCCCTCAGGTCATAGAGCCACCTGGACACGGCCGACTGGTCCCGAGGGTCCGACGGGAATGACAATAGCTTAGCGTCTAGCATGGTGAGGTGGTTGGTCGTCCGCTGCACGATCTCGGATGTCATCAGGACCCAGTCTGCTCCGCTGCAGTTGTTGTCAGGCCCCAGCAAGCCCCGTAACGCCCTCTCCGAGTTCTCCCTCATCAGCGAGGCTTCCTCGGGTATGACGCCCCCTAGGTGGTGAAACCGCCTTCTGCGGGCCAGCTGCTTGATGGCCTTGGTCCTGTTGCCGTGCTCGCCAGGTCCAGCCCACAGGCCGTCTGCCGTCAGGTTCAGACTCTTTCGCTCGTCCAGTGCCCGGTTGAGTGACTGGTTTGTGAACTGGGGGGAATAGTAGCTAAGCACGCCGCAGCTCAGCACCGTGGCCTTGACTTCACCCCGTCCTGGGCCGTTTCGGGTCGAGCCGTAGTGCCATGTGGCACTGTCGAACCAACCCCAGCCCTGGACAGCCAGGAACGGCTCGCGGCCGCGGTCGTGGCGCCAATTTGGTGGCGCGGCGGGGTGAGAGGGCTCGGAGTCGCGCCCGGTCCTTGTCGGTTGTGGTGGGAGGGGGTAATATGACGCTGGGTGCTGCTTGATGCTGCTGAGAACAGGCGCCTGGGCGAGGTCGTCCTCACCGTCTACGGCCTTGCCCTCATCTTCCGCAGCTAACAACGGCGCCGTGACGTTCAGCCTCGAGACTGACCTCAGACTCGGACTCGAGAAATCACACCAAATCATCTCAAATCCCGCGTTCATCCTCACTACCCCTTCGAATCCCCATCCCTGACCCCCGAGCCCGGCGTCCTCGAACCACTGGCACAGCCCATGTGCCCTCAGGTACTCCTGTCCCAGCCCGAAGAAGCCCTTCCCAGGGGGCCCGCTTACGTTTCCAAAGAGCTGCAGCATCTGCGTGTCCATTTGGCCCAGGCCCATAAGGGCGGCCGACTCGCCGTCAAAATAGAGGGCCTTGATGGGGCGGGTGGTCTGGTAGGTCAGCAGGAAGGAGTTGCGGCTGGAGCCCATGATGCCATAGGCCATCTCGAGGTCGAAGGCGAGCCACTCGGGGCTGGGCGGCGTCGGGGAGGACTCGTCCGGGGAGATGAGTCCGTGGTAGAAAAGGGTGTAGGCCGGGATCTCAACGGCCGCAAGAGCGTGGCCGTTGGGGAAGATGGTGTTGCTCCATTGGTGCAGCAGGCTGGGGATGGAGGCGAACAGGTGTGGGATGGGGGATGTGAAGTTCAGGGTCCATTGGCTTTGTTTATCTTTTTCTTGCAGCTTCTCAGAGACTCGAGCGTCGTCAACTAACGGCTTCTGCGAGTGAGAAGCAGCCGTCACGCAGCCAGGCGCAAGAGCCACAACGCACAGCACGAGATCCCGGAACACCATCATGGTCACTCGGACATTCGTTCACAATAAGCCATTTCCAGTGTAGAATTATGAGGCTTAATTGTCCCAGTTCATCTCTTTGATAAGTGAGATGCAGTGGCGATTTGAGCAGCGTATCAAAGGTCCGTGGCAGCTGTCAGCTGTCAGAGATAGCGGGAACGCGCGTCGTCCGAAGACATCCTTGTCATACCCGGATCCATACTCGACGGGCCCGGGGAATTTTCCTAGGAGCCCTTACCCACGCGACATGATTCGCCGTCTCCAGCGAACCACAGAGACAACATTTTAGGTTGGACACAATCGAGGTGTCAAACTCCCAATGATATGCCTTACTCCACATTTGTCTGGACTACACACTGCCTCAAGGTCGACATCTTTCAACTCTTGTGAAACACTTTCTATGCTGACAAAACTCCAAACCCCGGCTAGAGCTTTCATCGCCAGTGCTTGCTTAGAGGATAGCAGCGACACATCCAGCAACATATCCTCAAATAATCATGCAACAGCTTTAACGCTGTATTCATAAGGCTTCACCTCTTCGTTACGATGGGTAGTCGCCCCCGCTGCCACTCTGATAATCATCACGAGGAACCACTGCCTGGTCTATATTTAAACACTCAAGGAGTTATAGGAGCGTCTTGCAGCCACAAGGATCATGAACGGTCGTTAAAGTAGCAACATGGCCAATAGAAAGGAGCGAGAACCGGTATTGCATCTACCCTTCTCCTCATACAAGGATGAAGTCTTCAAACTCGCTTTCCTCATAAAACTCCAACGAGAAATCATCCGTGGGTGTAGTCGAACCTCGAATCCCCATCGTACAACCAACAGTGGGTCAGGAACACATACCCCTGGCCTTCACTCGTCACTGGCCGGACGAGGAAAGGACACCGGCTGCCGCTGAGGACCAACAGGCGGTCTCCTCGTTGCGGCTACTGGCCGCCGATGCCGTCCACGCTGGCGTCCAACCCGCCCTGACAGAGAACCCCGGGCTTGCCGCAGATATTCTTCCGCGCGAGCTGGACAAATATTAGGCAGGTAGGTCGTGGGCAGGTTACTAGCGCCAAAATGGTACGATTGATTGCATATGAGAGTAGGATGGGTAATGTCGCAGTGGCCCTAGTTAACTTTAGGCTGTGTAGCACAAAGGATGCCTGTCAGACTCGAGGCAGGTTTTTCTTACTTAGGGCAGATCACATGTGCGATGACATAGATCATCTTCCACATCCTTCGCATCTGACACACGAAAGGCTCGCTTCGAGATCCATGGATGCGGCTCAACAACACCACTCCTCCCCTAAATCCCAAGAAGTGATCAAAATACACTGAACTGTAGACTAACTCCAATCACTTATCCAAATATTGTCAGAACAACTCAGTCCCTGTTCATTTGTGAGATGCCAAAGGTGGCTTGATCTTTGCAACAAAGCCTTCGAACCGCCAAACCAAGGACCGAGGCGTTTTATCAATGGAGGACCGGAGAAACCCCTTTTGTTGTTATGGATGGGGAGGGCTCTTGGCCCTGATAATTGGTGGATTCACCCTTGGGTACGGATTCTCCCGAAAGAATTTCTCAGCCCATAGCAAGGGTCTCATCATCGCCGGAGGCGTCGCCATCGGGGTCTTATTTCTGGGCATCATCACCTGCATTGTGGCCAGCTGGCGACGCAAGAGGCAGGCCGCATTTGACGAAGAAGACCTTGTCTCATCTGCGCCGATGCGACGCCAGCCAAGCCATGAGCCACCCATGGTCGCCAACCCCCACAACCTACATGGCGGTACGGGTACGGATTCACAACGACTGGCAAACCAGCAGAGTGATTCACAGCAAAATGGCGTTGACGGCCTGCCCGAGAAGCCGCCGCCTGCATATTCGGAATACCCCGATGATCGAGTCTACCGTGATCAAAACCCAACGAGCCTGCTCAATGTCTGACAGACGACCTGCGTTCCACGACTGGGAAACACAGTTCAAACTTAAACGCGTGGTGTTGGATTGGCAGTGGAGAGTGTGGTCAGCAAAGTATGGGTGTTCACATGTGTCTCCTCAAATACGAAACGGATGTGGCGTGCGAGCGTTGTTTTTAGTGGTTCATAACTTTTTCAATGCTTTTGCCGGCTCAGCTCGATGTTTGCGGGTTTTGACGGCGCGAGCAATCATTCTGGACAGCGAGGAGCGGTCGAGAAGCAATCCCAACTATTCTAGGACTCATCATAATTATAATTATCAGACTTCGACAAGCAAGTTCCAAGCTTTCTCAAATTTTGATCGCGTAGGTACACACTAGGCCAGGATGTGTACTTCTTGATCACTTCACCATGGCAGCTTCAGTGGCGTAGACAAGCCTTTTCCCAGCGTCGCCTCAGCTGTCCCGATGTCCCCTGCATACAGTCAGCCGCGTAGTTCAGTCACTTATGCAATTCAAGTATTAAACGACTTACCTGGTCCTCGGGGAGCCCAGTACTCGCCGGTCTTGGTGATGTCCAGCTGCTCGGTCCACTCCACGAGACTGTTGGCTGCCTCATCAGTTGTCACAGCTGCATATAAAGTCAGTACTCGAGTCAAATCTTTTGATTGGACCAGATTTTGCATACCGCCACCGTCATCCCAGAACTTGTCGAACCCAACACCTTTGGTCATGTCTGAGCGCATGAAACCGGGGTGGATGACGCTGACGACCACGCCGGCATCCTTGAGGTCCAGACTCAAAAGCTTGCCAACCATGTTGAGAGCGGCCTTGCTCGCATGGTGGGCGTAGTTCCCGCCGCCCTCGGACTCGTGACGAAGCGTGATGCTTCCCGACTCGGACGACACGAGGACCACCTTGGAACCCTTTGATAGGAGCTGGGCGTGGAAGAGGGCATGGACCAGGAAAACGGGGGCGATGGAGCTTGTGGTGTACATTGTGACCTCCTCGTCCCAGTTGGGCCCCTTGTCGTGGAAGTCCTCGGTGGTGAATCGACCGGCCGTGATGATCTAGTAGATGCGTAAGGACGTCGTTTTGGATCGACGCTGCAGATGGACGTGACTTGAGTACTCACCACGATATCCAGGGGCTTCTCTCCCTCCAGCTGGTTTGAAAGGATATCGCCTACTTTGGGCTTCTGGAGGTCGACGCCCGACAGCCATTTGACATTCTCAGGGAAGTCATTCGGCACGGATGATCGTGTCGTTGCGAAAACTGTGCTCGATGCCTTGGACGCGTACTGCTTGGTGAGGGAGGCTCCCAGGCCTCTGGTGGCGCCCACGATCAGTGCTCTAGCCATGGTGCTGGACGGTATGGGAGATGTGGTGGTTGAATTTACGGTATGCGTGAGAGCAATCTGGCTGGTTTTGAGTGTTTGCAAAGTTCCTGGATGCAGGGGGGGACTGTTTGTGTTGAAGGTGCCTTTCAGACCGACCTCAAAGACGCGAAATGGTGTCATTCACATGATGACGTCAAAGTGAAGGGAGATTGAGGCAAGCTCGAGTGGTTGCTAAGCCACAGCCACTACGGCCGCTGTGAGACGGTAAAAGCAATGCAGTTCCTTCCCACCTGTGCGAACTACGTGTTACACGCAATTGAGGAAAGCAATAATATTTTGGTCTGTTAGGTGTTTTCTTCGCTGCACCACTGTGCAGTGGGATCCTATTGAACAACAAACTGTTTCGAGTGCGATTTGTACAACGTTGACGAATCAAGAATTTCTCCCGTTGACGAGCGAATAAAGTTAATCTCCAGGTTGTTCTCGTCCTTGAAGTTGAGCGTGGCATAGCTGAAATCATCAGCATATGCGAATCGGTTCGATGAAATGTTCGCCCCAACCGAGCTCAGGCCTTCAATATTGCCAGCGCCCCCTGCGACAATGTACATTGGGCTTTTGGGATCATTCATCCCCGCGGGGTCGACGACGCTGTTGTTCACAGGCGCAAAGCGCTGAGAGTTGTGGACGTGCCCAAATACCCCCAGGTCGACGCCGTACTGATATAGCACCGGCTCAAAGGCCGTCTGGCACGCAGTGCAGAGATTGCCGCTCCCACCTGTGGAGTACCACGGGCGGTGGCCGCCGACGATGACCCAGGGTGTCACGGTGCGATCAACCGATGCCAGATCCGCCTTCAGGAAGTCGAGCTGCTGGCCTGTGTATCCGAACGGGCCGCTGTCCAGACTAGCAGAGCCGAAGGGCAAGTCTGGGGCGTTGGGAAAGTCCGTCTCGGTGTCGATCATCGTGACGTGAACCATTCCATACTCAAACGAATACCAAAACGGCGGGTTTGCGAGCTGCTTCGCCTTGTTTGCGTTGACCTTGGCGGTGTCGTTGGACGACGTGGACGCGAACGCGCTCGGCATGTTCTTGCCGAAGCGCACGTTGAAATCTGTGAAGTTCTTTTGCCCTTCGGGGCAAATCGTCCGGATGGTCAGGGTGCCGAGTTCTGCGCAGTCGGCCTCGTGGTTGCCGGGACTGGCCATGTACGGCTTCCGGCTGGCGATGGGAGACAGCTGGTTGTAGAAGTTCTCTGTGATGGCTTCGTATGTGTTGGCGCCGTCCAGAAGATTGTCGATGTTGAGAATCCAATCATCGGCATAGGCTAGGTCACCAGGATGCATGACCCACTCGTAGTCGTTGAAGTTCTCAGCCAGGCGCCCAATCGTCGTATGGTTCAGAGCAGGGTCGATTGTAGGGATGGTATCTCGCTTGGAACTGTCGCCCTTGATCGTGTAACCATTTGTGCCGTATACCCCCAGATCAATGACAACGCTTGTCGTGAATGGCGTCTTGTCACCTGGAGCCCGGGGGCTCATGAAACTTTCAACGGTCGAGTTGGTAGAGACAATCTTGTAGTAATAAGTCTGGCCTGCGGTCAGGCCACTGAGAATGACAGTATTGGACCATGTTCGAGACGTATTATAAGTCACAGAAATGTCCGAGCACTGCTTCAGATCGAGATTGCTACTGCTGGTCCCATATTGCACGCAAGGCTGGGACAGCTGCTCAAACGTGTTCCATCCAACTGAAATAGCTGCTCGAAAGAGTCCCAAGTCAGCTTGACCTCATATTCCTAGACACCATTGGGTATGAGATGGTACTACACAAAGAGCAGCTTACAATTTGCACCACTGATGGCCAAGCGTTGCTGGACTGGAGTTGTTTTATCCGAGGGAATGGCAGGATAGTTTGCCGCCGCAGTAGCTACGGCGGCAAAGAGAGGCAAACCTCTGGCACAGTCCAAAAGCTTGTGCATGATGAGTGGATTGGACCTCGCCCTTGAACGTCAGTGTCACAGAGAAAGGTACGTCCTCGAAAACTTCACGAAGGTGATACAGCATCGCCTCGAGATCGAAGCGAGACGGCTCCATAATATATAAGCCTGGCCCAAGCCGGCGCGGCCCGCACACGTGCATACTTCGGATGATTTTCTTCAGAGGCCGAGTGTGAGATATCCACGCAAGTGATGGAACTGACATGGCATTGTAGATGAGGATTGCTACTCTCGGCTTAGCGTTCTCGTAAAAGTCCTCCAGGGTTCCGGTGGATATCGGTCGTGGTGCTGGAGCGTGACTCGTGGGTCAATTCATTGGACAGAAAGATCCCACCTTGCCGGTTGTGCCGACCACCATACTACCCAATCTCAGGACCCGGATAATAAGCCCCGTTACTTGAAGAGCAAGGAACGGAAATGACGGGTCGATAATAAAATGCATGGTTCCAAAAGGCCAATCATGGCAGACAGCCCATTCAGAACACCATGTCGGTCGACGTATTCGTCGTGGGCGGCCGCGTGTCGCTGGAAGGAGAAGGTGGCGGCCGCTAAGTCCAATGCATACTACTGACCAGCTGGTCTAACATTGAAACCATGTCGTATCTGAACAGTCTCCCCGGTGTTCTTGCCAGCTTAAATGCTACCCATTCCTTGCATCGTGTACAGACGAGTGGACGAGAGGATTTACGAAGTTTGTGACATCTCTGCTTCAAGACACTAGGAGTTGTTGCACCGCACGTAATGAGCAGCGACTAGCGTCAATTCTTCTATATTTGGCCCGGGGTAACTTTCAAAATTCATGTCGCTCCTCGTATCCACTGTTGTCTTCTGAACTTGTGGAAGGCCAGAAGTGCCCTCGATTACAAATGGGAGGCATTTGGATTTGGAGAGCCTAAGATTTCTAGACCTGTTTCTTAACATAAAAACAGTCAAGAATGCGTAATATATTGGGTGCTTGTAAAAGGTCTTTCTTGCATTCTAGTTCCCCTAGTCGAACGTGTCCTAAGGTATTGTTCTTGGTAGACAAATTCATGTCTGATAGAGCGCAAGGCACAGTGTAAAAGTCCCGAAGCGGCATGGTAATCGAGCAGACCTCTTCATTGAATTCCGAGGCAGGAACCGAACTGGTGAAAACTCCAACCATCACAGGAGTGGTGCAGCATTCCCATCGCCCCTCATATCGCTACCCGCAGAGTATACTCTCTGACCGTCGGCCGGGTCGTGATGGACGCGGATGATCTGCCCTCGGCCAAACAATGACCGCTCCATGCCTCTGACGATTTTGACCTCATGACCCATGTCCTCCAACTCGCGCGCCACATTTTCACCGATTCCCTCCTCGAGGTATGCAGTCCTGTCGACTGTCTTGCTTGGGTCAGTTGATTTCCCGGGCAGACTGACCCCGATGCAAATCCTCGGTGCATCAAGCGCCACCTGCGGATTCATGCCGAACCGTAGCATGTTCATTAGGACCTGCACGTGGCCTTGCGGCTGCATTGCGCCACCCATGACACCAAAGACACTGTGCAAAGTCCCGTCTGTTGCATTTGTCACCATGGCTGGAATAATTGTACTGTAAGGCCTTTTGCCCGGAGCGTAGAGGTTAGGATGGTGGTCGGGCCCGAGGTGAAAGCCGGATCCTCGGTTCTGAAGAACAAACCCGGTGCCTGGAGGGATGATGCGGCTCCCAAAGTTGTCCGAGACGCTATTTACGAGCGAGCACGCGTTTCCTTCCGCGTCTGTGACACAGAGGTAGATGGTGTCGCTGATCTTATGCATGCCGCCCGGGTCCCCTGGATCTGCGACATCTGTAGACCGAGCTGGGTTGAACAGCCTGGCCCGTTGTGCTAGGTATGGCTGGGAGATCAGGTAGCTTGGGTCGACAGCATGGGTGGGGTCCGTTATGTACCAGCTTCCGTCCGCGAATGCAATGCGTAATGCTTGGATGACGGCGTGAAGATACCTTTTCAGAGAACGAAGTCAGCAACTCTGTTCGGAGCCGTCTTAGTCGACATGACAAACAACACTATTTGAATGTCCTTACTTTGCAGAGTTGTGGTCCGCCATTGTGAATCGCGGAATCTTGCCGTCTCTTTCCAATTCGGCGAGGATCCCGAGGGCCATTTGGGCAACAATGCCTTGACCGTTGGGCGGGTGCTCCCATAAGTCAATAGAACTTTTTCCGGATGGAAGATCAAGTCGAATTGAGACCGAATCCACCTCTTCGCTGGTATGATTCCTTAGATCATCCAGTGTCAAGTACCCGCCGTACTCCTGGCTGACTTGCACAACTGCCTCCGCCACAGGGCCTTCGTAAAAGCCACTCTTGCCGCGCTCAGCAAGAAGCTTGAAGGTCTTCGCCAACGACTCGTTTTTTATGATTTCTCCTGCCCTGGGAGCTCGATACTTCTCAGGGTAGGACGGATCGTACTTGAGTAATCCTTCCTCGACGACTTTTCCTCGCAGCTCCTTCTCGGACTTTTGCCACTGAACAGACATGTTAGTTCAGACTTTGGCAACATATATGGGGCCAGTGCTTACATTGTAGCTTGAAATCTCGCTGACAGGCACACCCTCCTCAGCCATTCGGATGCCGGGTGCCAGGACCTGTGAGGTTGCCACCTTACCAGAGCCATATTTGTCGATGATGTCAAGCCAAGCAGCTGCCGCCCCTGGGACAGTAACGGAGTGGATCGATGTGTTAGGGATGGATGCAGAGCTTCGGTCTGTTACATTCAGGTCTCTGCAGACGCCATCCAGACTTGCTTTAGAGGGTGACCTTCCCGACCCGTTCAGAGCGTGGACTTTCCTCGTCTTAGCGTGGTAGAAGAGGCAGAATGCGTCGCCCCCAATACCAGTCATGGACGGATCAACAAGGTTCAATACCGCCGCCGCCGCGATTGCTGCATCCTAAGTTTTGAGGGAAATGTTTGCATGCTTGATCGACAAAGGTACACTTGAGACCGTCAGACTTACTGCAGCATTGCCTCGCTCCCTCAGAACTTGAAGGCCGGCTTCAGTTGCCAGCGGTGAGCTGGTGCTCACGATTCCGTTAGTGCTGTGTACCACACTGCGTCGACTGGGGAAGGTTATGAAAGCTCCATCATCCGAAGGATAAATGTCTTGAAGAGGAGGATCCATGGTGTGCCGACTTAGCTCTCCGGGGCCTCGAAGTGTCGGTCAATGAATGAGAAAGACCTAGTTAGGTCATCTGCTGGATTGCGATGTGTCTAGACTTGATCACAAATCAACAGGAGATATTCGACACTTCAACGCTATGCTGAGATGCAAGGGATGCGCATGTAAGCTGCTTGTTTGCGGTCGAGCGCATAGCGTCTGAGCATGTAGCTTTTGGAGTCGTTGTTTGTCCCCGATGATCGGCGTGCTTAAGTAGGGCCCAAGTTTGTGCATGATGCAATGCATGCACGCAGATGATTGGCTGGAAGAACACCAAGCGGATTGATTGCAAACGTCAAAGCTTGCGGTTTTCATTCTATTCTGCATCAGGCACGCATCCTTGGGTCCCAAATGTCTTGATCTATGCCATTATAAAGCATGCGACTTGTGCGTAGCCTACACGTATAATTGCTGACTATGATCCGTGTTGGAACTGCAATAGTCTACCTAAATACTTTGGAAGATGGACAGGTTTTGGCGCCGAAGTTGTAGCAGGGAATGCTAGTTGGAGAATATGCAGGATCCACGACGAGGTCGTCATATGTGATCAGCGAGCCGGAGTGCGACTTGAGATCAGGCACGTCTCCGTTTTTCTTTGCTACCGTGAATCGACTTGAATAACTTGAGTAGAGGTAGAAGGTCAGCTCTGCTATCTGTTAGGAAGAGTACGTTTCTCAGAACTCACTAAGCTTGAGAGCAATTTCCATTTACATAGGTTGTCTCGATGACACCTTCCACGGCATAGGTTTTGTCCAGGTCCGTCTCGGAGTACACCGTCGTAACATTGGGAAAGTGATCCCAGATCTTTGACCCATCAGTTGGCATTAGGTATTCCTTAAGTGCGACAATATCTGCAACCCCAACAGCTTTATTCCCAAGCACAATGAGAGCACCTTGCGGAGTGAAGAAATTCGTGAACGAGGTTGTCGCGATCGCATCTTCCGTCTCGGCATAGAGACTGCAGCAATCATATGTATTAGCCAGAGTAGTATTACTGTAAATGGGGTGCAGTTACGCTTGAAGGAAGCCTTCGAATCCTGATTCGACTTCACTTGACGGCTGATACAGATCCATGTCTACAGCGGTCGCCTTGAATTTCAGAAAAGGCAACACAAAGACTAGCGAGAGAAGGAATTGCATATTGAGAAGTTAATGGTCGAATAAGCTCTGGTGGTGCTGATAGACTATATGAGTTGAGGTAGCGACGGTGGTGGACAAATCAAGAATTGTGCCTTGGTCGTACTGATTCTAACCCACGGATCACCCGTCTTTAGAGATGGAAAAATTTTCGTGACGATCGTGGGGCGAAGTTGGGCGCTGGTCATCATAAGTGGGTACGTCGAGTGTAGTGACGTTGAGCATCTACTTCCAGCAGATTTTTAACCCAGCAGTTGGTGTCAGGGATCAACGTCACATGGGACCCTTTGGGCCCGAAGGGCCCCAAATGCCAAGAGAAATAGCCACTATTTAGAGGCTTCCGCGCAGCATACGCGCCCTTAGAGATACTTAAATCTTAGGTTTAACTATTTGGCTGGCTTATAAGGGCTATTTAGCCCTATCACTCTACCTATACACCTTATTTTTAATAGTTTAAACCTCCGCCCCTTTTAAGACGTAAATTAATAAGGCTTTATAAGTATGCTATAAATGCGCTATAAAAAAGCACCATTTGCAAAAATAGAATTTATAAAAATGTTATTTGCAAAAGCATATTAATTTTTATAAAAGCTATATAATAAAACCTTATTGCTTTTATAAAAGCTAATTATATATAAAGCTGCAAAAATGCCGTAAAAGCGCTATATATAAGCATTGCTATAAGAGCATATTAATTGTTATAAAAGTATGCCGTTTATAAGAATATATTACTTATAAGAGCGTTATTTATAAAAACGCCGCAAGGGCGCTTCCTAAAAGCTATATATTTATTTATTTTAAGCTAATAATTAAAAGCTATTACACAATAAACCTTTAAAAAGCAAGTTATATAAGCTTAATTAAAATAAGGTAAGATAAAGTTATATAGCGAATAAACTATAATTACGCTATAATAATAAATGTAAATCTCGCTAAGCTTTATATATTTAGCTGCTATACCCTTAATAAAAAAGCTAGCTATTTTGCATTAAACAGAATTATTATTTTAAAAAATGCTTAAAGGCATTATATGAAAGCAGCGCTTAAATAACGCAAATAACGCAATTTTATATTTAAAGAACTTTATATTTAATTTAATTAAAAGTATTATAAGAAAGCTATATATTTAAAGTTAAAGCTGCTTATTTAAAGTAAAAATAATATGAAAACGTTATAAGAAAGTAAATTATTTAAAGCAAGGTTATTTAAAGCTATATATTTAAAAGTGCTTATTTAAAGCAAAGATATTGTAAAAAGGCGGCAGCCTTAAATTAAAACTATAAAAAAGAAAAGTGTATAATAATAAAGAAATGCAAAAAAAATAATAAACAATTATAAAAATAACTTAATTAAATTAATATTTTATAAACCGCCCTTTGGCTGGCCCATAGGGGCTATTTGGCCCTATCACTCTACCTGTGCACCTTATTTCTGACAGTTGGCATGAGATACTTTTGATTGCGATAATTTCTGCAGCCCCCGTAGCTTTGTTCCCCAAAACAATCGGAGTCCCTCAAGGAGGAAAAAATATCTAAACATGTTAAGATGCTATAGTAATCCCAGTTGGTAGTGTGATTACTACGCCTGGCTGCTAAAGCTGTACAGTAGCAACAAATCTGAGACGGTGCACTGCGACCGCTACAAAATAACCAAAGCCACCAAAAGGCCAGACTTGTCCAGAAGACTTCTGGACAACAAATTATAGCCTATTTAGCTGTGCAGCCACACAATCCATGGAAATTGCAACATTCTTTTTCTTTACAAATGATGATTCGTAGGGGCGTTTCTTTCTCGGAGCAAGGGAGTCCCACACAGTTAGTACCACTTTTGGCCGACAGCAATGAAATATGCTTTTGGCTGGCCAATTCAAGCCGGCAATGATACATCATAAGCCACTTCGAGTCGTTCGCAGTCAGGCCCAACTGTGGCGCTCTTCGAACACCTCACACCCAACGAAAAGGGAAAGGGCAGTAGGCTCTCTGACCACTGTCATATACACTCATTCAGATGTTCGAGTCTCTGCTGATCCTGATGGATGATATTGACGCAGGGCGCAACCCAGATGGCGTCGGCGAGGACTTGCTGGTGACCGTTGAGCCACGCACCTGGCTCGGGGACTCTTTCCGTATCTTCGCCAGCATCAAGGTCATTCACAGGTCTGGCTTTAAATAATATGTTCCTGAATCATTCATTTTTAATAATTTTTTAATCATTCTAGTTTGTAAATGCATCTCCCTCAAGATTCCCTTTTCCATCACTGCTCACCGAGGTGCTTTGCGAATTCCGGTGGCTCTGTGTTACTACTTTTTAACTCAACATACGAGAATGCCTCCATGCCAGGGTTCATAAACATCTTCCCACAGTGTGTCACATGCCTTTCATTGTCATACCTCGCCTCTATCTTGACACCCGTGGTGTGAGATCTCTGTAATTTCCGCCAGTAGTAGAAGCAGTGCATGAAATGCCAGCGGGGAGTTGTCCAGAAGAGCTTGCCAGGTGTGTCTGCGAGATTGCCAACCTCCTCCAAAGTAAGCTCCATCGTGTGATTGGCATCCGCCCAGTACTGCCATCGCCCATCTGGTCCATCGCCGTCCTTGTCGAATTCGGCCACCAGATCTTTGTCCGTGCAGTGGGGAGGCAACCAGGCTGCTGCCATGGTGTCGTACTCGCAACCCAACGACTTGGCTTCCGCGACTGAGTCGCCACAGTCACAAGGTCCGGGCTTGTCGCTGACGAAGGAGTGACGGTTCGTCAAGAGTATAGCAGACCCAGCGAGGGCAATCAGGGAAAGATCTTTCAGGACCGAGATCCACTGTGGGATTCTTCTGCGCCTTTCTTGTACACGTAACGGTCGTTTCTGGTGTGCATGCTCATCGAGAAAAGGCTCATCATCCCCATGGGTGTTTTTTAGGCTGGGACACAAAGCGAATGTCAGAAACAAGGCGGAACAAAATATTATCATGTAATACTTACGTGCTGTAGATGGGCGACATCTTGCGTTTGGGAAAAACGTGAAAGCGAACTCCAGTTTGCGGTTAGAAATGGTAGAGAGAAAGGAAGCCAGCATGTATGTAATGTTCCTTTACTCGGAAGCTTTGCAGCGCAGACTGCCCTGGATAACCCTGACCCATGCGTTATGCTGGGGCGAATGCAAATCCAATTAGGCGGGATCAGCATTATTGCATTTTTGGAATTACGTTGACAAGCAACAATCAGCGCAATCACAATTGCCGGGATAGGCGGATCCGCCGAGCTCACGAGCATGGCCATGTCTCATTTCTTTCGGTCAAGCCTTTTTTTCCCGTTTCAAACTTTTCTCCACTATAAGCTGACTGCATATGTACCTAGGTATTGATCCATCTGATCCTGGGTGGAACACAGTGTGTCCGTGACAAGGGCCCATGCAGCTTACTGACCAGCTCAGAAGGATGTTATGCATAATGTCTACTAGGCGGAGCGTGACTTTGTACGACTCAACACCAGCCCTCAAGTGAGCTGGAAAGTCGGGATCCGAATATGGATTGGGCTCATATGGCAAACTTCATACGATATGCAGATAACCCGCGGGAATCCTGTGAGGCTGAGCCTGTTCGGTCCGAATACTTCGACGAGGCGATGTGCTCCTTCGCGCTGATGTGGTTGCATGGCTCCATCTGCGCGGTCACCTGCCTGAGATCGTTTCGAGACGTGCAGACGGAAGGATTATTACGTGGCAGGAAAGGATCAGGTCTGCTTATCTTCACCGAAAATTTTGATAATTTGGAATCGTAATCGATCACCATTGTTCATTGCGAGTTTGGGCCCCGGTGGAATTCCGTGATGCCCATCCACTCTTCTCATCCATGGCTGCGCCAGATGACTTGACGAACTCGCTGTCACCACCTGAGACACCAGACACTGCGTTACAGCAACATGGACACCAAGGTTCACTACATTCTGTCTTCTTGCATGGCCCTTGCGGCCGGTCTGATATTTCTCTTCGGCGGGAAGCAACAGCCTACAGCTTTAGAATGTACTATGAGCATGCATTCATGGTGTAAGTCTGTTTCCCCAAAAGTATCAGGTCTCGGCGACGACTGAACAAGTCCGATAGCTCCAGCATGGGATGCTGTTGACCAAAGATGGGAGACTTTCCAAAACGACTTCTCTCAAAAGTCCGTCTTCAGAGGCCAGCCCACGGCCACGATAGAAGCAGCATGGGATTCTATCTTGCCGGGTGAGTTCACGAGATCAAAACGAGGCGAGGGAACCTCTTTTCGAGACTAATCCATAACCTTAGAAAACCCTATTTCAATGTCCGCAAATGAAGTGGAATTTCCCCATGGGTTTGAACCAAGTTCTCTGGTTGCAGACAAATCCGGCAATTTCCTGGGTCATCTCGAGGTTTTCAGAAATTTAGCCTGTCTCAACTTGCTCCGCCAGCATACATTCAGAAATGACTACAATTATGAAAGTCTTTCGGCGTTCCAAGGAACGGAGGGAGAGATCATGGGCCGCTTGGATGGCTGCGTCCAGAGACTGCGGAACGTTCTGATGTGCGAGGGAGACGCCACTCCTTACCTGATCATGCTCACCCCGGAGAAGAAAGAGAAGGAGTCACCAGACTTTGACACGCTGCACTATTGCAAGAATTTCGACAGCGTTTTGAATTGGGCTAGAGCAAACGAGGTCCAGGAGAGCGTGGCGAGTCCGCCCCTTTATAGTTTCACATACGTATAATTGGTTGGCTAGATAACGTAGAATACACCGTGATTCGATCTCCTGATAGCTTCCAAAAATTTGTTTGACTTATTTGGTATTGCTTCAGAATCTGATATTTGAGGTTTGAACGTGCAATACGCACAGAGGAGTCTGGACTGGTGTAAGCTAATTACCTCAGCGGAGGAAACAACCAGGGGTGGTTTCCCACATCTCCAGCCCCTTATTTAGTCATCTTTCACCTTTATTCACTCTCCCATCTGCACACTTTAGATATACGGTGTTATCAAAGTCATCCCAAACTATCCAACAAGCGACCCGGCAATATGAAAGTCGACCAAGAAAAAATGAAAGGCATCACTTTCAGTGCCGCCGCAAGCATGCTTTGCGGCGTCATAATAGGCTCGACGCTCACACAATTCGTTTTCCCCCGTCCAGATTGGCGCACATGCCGCCAAATTGGTCTGGAGGCTAGTGCTACTGGAACCCGTCATGCAAACGAAGAGCAATGGAACAAATCCGTCCCGCAAGACAAGCCGCATTGTAAGCTCCAAAGCTCGAGAATGGAACCTTTCATTGTATTCACCGGGCCAAACTCTAGCGTTCGAGCTGCTGCACCAAAATGGCTACCCGAACGACCTGCAGACACTGCGTACCTTAGGCACCCACGACGCCCGCAGTCCTTTCAAGGGCCCGCCCAAGAAGGAGGTCGACGAGGCGTGGTCCAAATACTGGCAGGTGTGGATGTTCAGCGTTGGCGAGGACGCTTTCAAGGCCTCCGTCCCGCAGCACTCCGAATCAGCCGTACGTGTCCATGACAAGAAGTACGACGATGGCAGCGCAAGTCCCCGTTATCTTGCAACTTTCGAGGCTACGCATCAACTCCATTGCCTATACAATCTTTTTCGAGCATCGTACCTCGACTACTATCCGGATGAAAAGAAGGACTACGATGCAGACCCTGCGCAATGGCATGCGCGAGTGGACCATTGCGTGGACATACTCCGCCAGAAACTTGCCTGGTAAGCTTTCCGCCACCTTGGGCAGTCAACTCCCCCAAGTTGCTCGATTTTCTGACTCTCTGGCGGATAAAAGTGACCGCGATACCTCGTTGATTACCTACAATTGGGTCAAAGGCAAGAAAGGACCGGTGACGAACTTTAACGTGCAGCGGATCTGTCCGCGTTGGGAGCATTTGGATGAGTGGGCCGCGAAATACGAGGTGACAAGCATTCCCACCAAGCCGGAACATGCTGTGCAACTAGATAGTATTCCTTAGTTCAATATTGGGTTAGCGGGGTAAGCATCATCGATGGTGATTAGGCATGGTGGGGCCCTAGCCAGAAACTGAAGAATAAGCGCTTGCCCGATGAATCTGGGCATTTTCGTTTCAGCATTCTTTCTTGCAGTCTTGTCGCTTTGTTATCAGCAAAGCTTTGTTGTCTAGGTTCCGCAAAGAAAAAAAAAATGGATGACCTAGAGACGAAAGAGCTCCTGGCTTCAACTTCACAAGCGTCACCTCATTTTGAAATCTCCAGCCGGCACTACATTCGGAGGGAGCGGCACATCGCAAGCTTGATAGTTTCGTCCATTCTCACCTTCGTTATAACTGCCATATCGTGTTGGTTTCTATACCAACCATCCACGCCCAACGCAGTGAAGGATCCCTCAACCAATTTGTACTGTAAGTTAATTCAGGTAGCCTTGTGAACAAGCACAAGGCGGTAATTAACAGGCTTCTGGGGCTGTAGCTCCTGCAAATGAATACGTGGAATACATCCCGCGCGTTTTTCAAAGGAGTCGCGGGGATGACAAGACTCCATTCCAGGGTTGGCCCACAGACGAGATCGATAGGACTTGGCAAGAGGCTTATGTCCGTAAGTCAAAACTTCTTACGTCCCTGACGGCTTTCAGCCAGTACTGATTTTACCAGCCGGAATCGTTTCTGTGATAGATGGCAAGACGGCGTCCTTGCTACCAGAACAAACCGAGCGTCTGGCGGTAAAAGGCAGAGAGGACCAATTTGTGATGACTCTCGACGTTTTTCACCAGATGCACTGCCTGGATGTAGTAAGGATGGCTTTGTATCGTGATCGGTACGACAAACATTTCTACTTTCCAAATGGAACAGTAGACTATTGTAAATGGTTGCATGTTGGTAAGTGCCACACAGTCCCTTTTCCTTTGGTTGTTTTGATGTATCAGGAGCTGATAAAGATCGCCATCTTAGACCATTGCCTTGACCAAGTACGCCAAGCGTTAATGTGTAGCGCAGACGTCAGCGTTGTGCACTACGCCTGGAGCGACATCGTGCAGGGAGTCCGGCCCAGAGTTGACAATCAGCACACGTGCAGGAACTATAGTAAACTCCTCGACTGGGCTTCGGAGAGAACCATTCCTGAGACTGACTGGCACCCAAGTCGTCGTGTTATTATCGGTGAAGATGGAAACTTTGAGATCCAGCAAGGCAGAAATCATGCCGTGGACAGTCAGGGAGAGTGTAACGGGATTTAGGGTCTAATATTGCCAAGTATAGGAGTATAGAATGGCTTCAACGCGCACTTACATCACCGCACTGCATCTTCAAATTGAGCCTAAAAATTATATTGAACAGGATCATAATTTGCCATCAACCCTCTTTTAGCTAGGTGAGATGCATTGAAACAGTATGATTACTTGGGTCTTGTAATGATATTTTACGTCTTTAAAATTAAATCTACAAGTTTTGGGAACAGATTGAACTACTAGTATCAAGTCGACCTGTGAGACCAATTGAGAATAGTGAGCTTGTTTCCTAATCCGGCGGCAGAAGATCACGGCTCAAGACTCATTGCGATAAGAGGCACTGGAGTGGAAGAGAACACTTTGATATTAATTGTCTCTAATTGAATCTGTTTTCTCGAATTGGCCCCTACGCGCAACTGACAAGCAAAACAAATACTGCGCAAGCACTCATTGACAATCCAGACATTTCCCAACAATCAAAAATTCAACTCCCTGCAGCAACAGCTTAGCTGTGGCGAGAGCGGGTGAACCTATCGAATTTGGGTGGGTGGAGGAGCTAGTTACAGTCTCGCGGTCAACATCTCCTCGCATTCAAGGTCGGAGTCACACCAATTAGACTCACCTGTCGAAGCTGGTCTTCCTTACTCATCGTACTCCCCGTAGTTCTTGGTCCAAGGAATAGCGCATCGCTTCACAGTGGCACCGTCCTCGTCGACAGAGCTGACGCAGGCGCGCTCATCAATATCGCGCTTCGCGTCGTACTCGCCATAGTTCTTGGTCCAGGGGATGGCACAACGCTTGACGTTGGCTCCATTCTCATCGACAGAGCTGACGCAAGCACGCTTGTTAACGATGTCGCGCTTCTCGTCATACTCGCCGTAGTTCTTGGTCCAGGGAATGGCGCAGCGGCGCAGCTTGGTGCCGTCCTCCTCGACAGAGTTGACACAGGCGCGCTTCTCGTCGTATTCGCCGTAGTTCTTGGTCCAGGGAATAGCACAACGCTTCACCTTGGCTCCGTCCTCATCGACAGAGCTGACGCAAGCACGCTCGTCGAGGACCTCACGCTTCTCGTACTCGCCGTAGTTCTTGGTCCAGGGGATGGCGCAACGCTTGACGACGGTGCCGTCTCCATTGGTGGAGCTGACACAAGCGGGAGCTGCCAGCACGGAGGCTGAAGCAGAAAGGACGACGGCAAGAATGCTCAGCTTCATTGTGAAGTTCAAAGGGCTTTTGATATTCGAATAAGTGAAAATTGAGAGGCTTGGAATGAGTACTACAGAGCGCAAATGCTGAGAAAACAGAACACGTTGATGGTAGCAGAGACGATCCTTTTGTATTCGGACATGGGAGAAAGTCGTCTCGTTGTACCCGAACCTTTCGCAACGCTCATTCCTGCTGCGTTAGCCTCATCCTGGCAACTTGACTCCGTAATGCGCAAGTGCAAACCAACACAGCAAACACCCAGCCTTCGACCATCCTAGTCTCATTTGGTCGTTCTTACCACTATCTATTACCGTGAATCCAATTCCAACCCAGTTTATAAGCATATGGTACACTTTCTGGAATAACGCAAACCCCTTCTAGTGCATCTCAAAGAGTTATGCATCATGCACTCACTCATAACGCATCGCATAAATATATCGAATGCGATTGTGCGGGCCGCTGAAAGATCCATACGGATGAGGTCGTAGTAAGATACCTATTTAGGTAATCACCGAAAATGCTGCTTCTAGGCCCACTGCATCACTTACTCACCAACTTACTCGTCTAAGTAAGGTTAACAGTCAGCTTATCTTGCCGGAGGATTCGTGGGGTAGCAAGATGAGTCCGCAGTAGTAGCACATGCATGCTCTTACACAGTGTTTAGCCAGGTACCCTTAGTGGTGACACGTCGAAACCCCAGCCGAGTCAGCATTGTTCAGCTAGGAATCCAACCAGGGCCACCCAGCCGCTCCCGAAGGAATACACAATGCAATAGTGGGTCTTATCCACAGCCTTGCCCTCTACCTCCACCGGAGGCATCTCCGGCGATCCTCGGTTGTGAAACTCCCATGGACGCTCTAGGTATTACTCCTCCAACAGACTCGTTCGTAAAAGGAATCACTCGGTCCTTTTTGCTAGATCCCAGCTTCATGGAGCGCCGGCCCTAGTTAATCGAAGGATCGAGCTTGGAAAATGCCGCACAGCAAGCGAGGAGTGAAATGGGTTCCACAACCGGACATTGGCGCGGATGCCTGTCCAGGTGGATGAAGGCGGTATGCATCTATCGCAAATCAGATTTCCAGCTGCCAGAACTCCTTTGCCTGATCAGCGTATGGTCCTCGTCCTGGACTTCGGGCGTCTCGTTCTACGTCTGACCGAACGAGGCGAGGCGATCTGTCTTCCAAGAGCTGCGACCCTCAGCAGGAAGCAACATTCTGTCATCCATCTGATCAAAGCCGCTTCCCTGTGACTTCTTCTTCTTGGCTCTGCATCCCTATCAGAATACCCCAGGTCGTTGCAGCACTGGCCTTGTCTGTCATTCTCAGTCAATTTGGTCGCTCAAGTGTCTCCTATTTCACACAAGACTATCATGGCGCCTAATCATCACTACAGTCAACTGGTGCTGAATACCGTTGATGAGGAAGTTGAAGACAGCTTTGAATCTACCGAGAAATTGGACGACCTTACCCAAGCACACACTTGTCATAAATGCAAAAGACACATTTGGCCTTGGGCAGCAGCGTTGACTTTGCTCTGTCTTGTATCCCTGCTTGTCCTCGCTGCCATCACTCGGTCGCCGAGTGAAACTGAGTGCATGGAAAAGCTCTCAGTTTGGTGTAAGTGCCATATACTGAGGTCAAAATGTTATTCAGCATCCTGAAAGCAAGTTAGCTCCCGCTTTCGAAGCCGTGGAGTATGTCGATGTCCAATTCCAAAACAGCTTCTTTGAAGAATCAAGGTACAGGGGCCGGCCAACGCCAGAGATAGAGAGGGCTTGGTTTGATCTTTGGAACTGTGAGTATGATGCATCTGCACCGTCCGAGGCAAAACTTTTGGCTGCAAACATGACATCTGACTCCGGCAGTCGGCCCTGTGAATATCCCGGTAGACAAGCTCGGCGCCTTGAACAAGTCGGAAGACGACGACTGGCAGAGAACGAAGACTGAGTCGGGCGGAGGTGTGATTGGGTCATTGGAAGGTAATCACAATCCTTTGCGGAAAAGAAAAGTGATCGTCTACAATGAAGACTGCTGACATATGGAAGTTTTCCACCAAATACATTGTCTAGATTTTATTCGCCAATACACGTACAAGGACGAATATGACTACAGCGCACTACCGAGCTTTGACGGTTCACCACGGCTCGTCCGAGAGGCAAGTCAAACAACCCGATCAGGGTGGGTGCGGAGTTAGGTCCTGGAAGTAGCTAACAGCAACAGCATGTCGATCACTGCATCAATAGTCTGCGGATATATTTGCAATGTGCGGCAGATGTGACACCGTACCTCATGAAGCGGGACGCACAAAAGCCTTTGGGCATCGACCCGGACTTCAACACGCAGCATAAGTGTCGCAATTTTGATGCAATACACGCGTGGACAAAACAGCACGAACTCCAGACAGATGATTACCAGAAAGATATAGAGTGAAGTTGGCTCTGGTGCCAGGTATTCGTCAGCACTTAGTGGATAAAACATGAGTTACTCAATAGTAACAAGTCTAAAATAAATGGGTTATAATAAGCAATTGCTCTGTAAATAAATTCGCCTTGGAGAAATGTGTTCGGTCTTGCTGGCGCATTGAGACTCGTTGTAAACTTGGGTTAATCAGATTTCTCAATGATAGCCCGCCACCTGAAGATTATTAAGTCATCACGACCTTGGGACCAAGGTCAGTCAGCTAGAATTGGTTCCCTCCTCAGGTACCAAGGATGACTATGAGGTTTCCTGGGGCGCTGAAAATGGACCAAGGCACTTTTAGGACATTTGCAACAGTTCCACAGATTCATTATGACAGTAGATTCTCGACTGGTATACCTATACGGCTATTCCCTGCCTTTGCTGTTTCAATTCGGCATTTTCTGATAGAAGTCGCTGTGCAGTCACGGCAATGCTAGTTGATGGAAGATCGATCAGCCGCCAAAACACATCTGCAACCCATATAACCACAGCAACCAACACGAAGTAGCCTGCGGCAAAGCCTACGACGTATCTCCAAACAACTTGGGTGCCAGAAATCTTCCAGAAGAAGGGGAATACTGCGTAGCCAACAGTGTGAACCAGCGGGCCGTGGACAATGTAGAGACTAAAGCTTATTTTCCCCAGATACTGCAGCGATGCTGAGTTGAGCAGCTTGTTCACCGCGCTTTTCCCCACTTCCACGTGAGTGACCAGAACGATGAGAAGCATGCCTCCTAGATTTGGAAGGAACCGAAATGGTGCCGGGTCAGAGGAGGAAATGAGGCGAGAAAGAAGCTGATACCCGGGTGTACTCCCCATGCAAAAGTCCGGAGACGACAATAAGTACAGGCTCCCGAGAATGGCTACAGCTCTTGTGGCTGCGAGTAGAACACGATGACTTGGGTGTCGACGTGCAGTCTGCTGGGCCCCTTGCGCCCGGCAAGCGATTGAAGTATCCGCTGTAAGGAGGCCTGCAAAGAAGAGAGCAACATCCCAACGGTCAAGCGAATAGACGTAAATAATGGTAGTTGCCATAAGGAGCCTCCGAGCGATCGGCTTCATGGAGAGATACGCCGGCAAGACGAGGAAGACCGCGAGTGAACATCTGAATTCGGCGGGAATTGTCCACAGATGCACGTCGTATGGATTGTTGAAATCTCCCCACCAAAAGACTCGGCACATTTTCCACGTCTGGTGGAGCCAATCCAACACCTGAGCCCCGAGGGATCCCATCCTTTGATGATGAGTTTCTTGGATGACTGGAATCCAATGCGAATGGAGGGCGACTTGGCGTCCCGGCTCATATGCACCCAGCTGGATCGCGGCCATAGTCACCATGGTCGCAAATATTGGAGGGAGATAAAGACGGATAGGTCGACGGAGCAGCCTTGCGGCGGTGGTCGCTGCCGCTCTGGAGGGCGTTGAATCCGAGAATGAAGTTGCCTCCAAAATCGGCTTGTAAGACAGCACGTATCCCGAGACAACGAAAAACACAGAAATTGGCCACGTGCCGCTGTAGATAAGCCGTAGAATGGGCAACTGGTGGAACCAACTTGTTCTTGTTTCCAGATCTTCGGGCCGTCCACATGACTGCATTGAATTGTACGATAATCCGTAGCCGTAGAAAATGAAAGACTGAAACGCGTAGAGAATGTGATAATTCATGACCGCGTACGCTGCAAGGCCTCGAAGCCCGTCAAGCGATGATGTTGAAGAAGGCCTCCGTGCTGAGGCAGATTGATGTCCGTTTCCGTCCGGCAACAAGAAGCTTGGTAGCAAGACGGAAAGCGACTTCCAAGATGTGCTTAGTGTATCGATGGTAGAACGCTTCCCTTCGCTCAGAAAATTTCCCTTTTCCTCGTCTTCCTCCATATGGTCCGACCGCGACTCCGATGTCATCAGTAGCTCTAGTTCATCTCCACCACGGTTCTTTGAGAACAGACGGAGAGGACCATGCGGAGCTGCCCACTTAAGAGGGTTGAACATGGCTGCAAACGCTTCAATTGTTTGTTTTGATTCCAACTAACTCCTTGCCGTAGCAGTGGTTCGGAAAGCAGTCCTTGCCTCCAGATGAGGCACAAGTAAGGCAATGGCGAAGTCTGGTAGTGGTACAATGCACGAGGATGGATCGATTGGCGCTGCCGCTGAGCTCAAAGCCAACGTTTGAAGGAGTCACTCCTGTCTCTGGCCTTAGTTGTCCGCCTGACTGTGAATAGGTAGCTGCGCAATGAGGACCAAAACTTCCAAGGTTGTCACTGTTTGGTAGGATCTGTGCCCACGCGCCTCAATTTGGCCGGGTTTTTTTTTTTTTTGGATTTCTTTTTTAGAACAAGGAACAGTAATGAAGATCGCTAGTCGTAAATCCACCAATTACTAGTATTCGTCGTGTGGAGAAGCTCGTACTGCCAGTTTCCGCCGTGTCAACTTGGGGTGCAAGGGATGCATATCGCAGAATACCCTGCTTAAACACAAAAGATCCATTACCATGTACCACCGGTGATGGTGTCATTCCCTGCTCACCTGAAACCCAGCGGTGAGGGGCCTGACCAACTGACCCTGGTACCCAGTGGAGCTGACCCTACTAGCAGGTGTGACTGTAATCCTGCGCTAAATTCTTACTGTTCTCGCTGACCGTTATCACTGGTAGTGAGATATCGAGTTATCAGGTAAGTTGGTTGAGGCAGGGTAAATGACGAGTCAAGGAAAGGTGCTCGTACTAGAGCTCCCAGGACCCTAGGCAGACCGGAACACGTTAACTCAAAAACCATACTGCAAGGAATCCTCGAACCTTGAGCTCTGTTGAGCAGACCATCTCACCGATGACTGATCATCGCCACTCTTCCTCCCCGAGAGTATTCTCCCTTCCACTCTTCAATATGTTCAGGATTTTCCAACGCAATGAAGCCCCATCATACACGTTGGTCAAGAGTCCCGACGAGGACGAAGAAAACCAGCCCAGTCCGGGTTCTTCTCAAGTCCTGCAAAGAGACCATCCATGGGCTGCCGTGGGGATCCTAGTGGCAAGCGGAATCTTGCTCTTTCTCTCAATCTCGCGGTACGCATATTACAGGACAAGTTACCTCACAGACACAGTTTGCACGCGTGAGACATCAGCCCCAAGTGAGTCAAGCCACCAGGTGCCAGTCGCCTACGGAAATCTTCGAAGGGTTAGCCGGTTGCCAGACTGACAGAAAATGTTCTGGCATCAGGTCCAGCATTGGAAGCTGTAAACTTGTACTGGACTACGTTCCGTGACGACTTTGAGCCAGACATTTACAGCGGCTACCCAAATGCAGCCTCAGAGAAAGCATGGGCTGAATTATGGGACTGTAAGTTTCCATTCAGATAGCCCTCAGAGCTTTGGGATCTGACACGAACTGAACACAGTCGGGGCTTTTGCTGTACCTGTGAGCATGCTGCCTGGGCTGAACAAGTCATCAGTCAACGGCGAGTTCCGAACAATTAACGATGGCTCAAGTGTTGGTGGTCTTCTTGAGGGAGCACATCAGATTCATTGCTTGGTGGGTACACCAATTCTCTTTCTCCCACACTCTTGGATCACTCATCGACACCTTGATGCTATTCACTGGGGATGGTCAGACGGATGCAAATACTGACAATTTTTGGCCCTCACGCTAGAACCTCGTTCGCCAATTTATCTATCGGGAGCACTGGGATTACAGCCAAATCCCGTCTTTCAGCGGTGGCGAAAAAACGCGGCGGCATCATGTAGACCACTGCATCGAGACACTGAGAACTGTGTTCATGTGCCAAAGTGATGTTTCTCCCGTCTTTTTTGAGAAAGTCAAGATAGGCTCTCAAGACAAAATGGTACCAAGCAGCTTGCCTAAGAAGTGCCGGGTGTACTCGGATTTGGTCAGTTGGGTCAGAGATCACTCAGTGTTTGATACAGTTGAATAAAACAGGGCACAAATCATGAGTTGTTGCATATCTGTGCTTGCGACAGCGGTGCGGACTACCCGCTAAGTGCATGCTGGCCAAAACAAATACTAGCTCCAAATTCACTAGCGAGCGACCAACGCTTCTGTTCACGCTTTTGTCAACGTGCCAACCGCCTTCCACTTCATTCCATTCCCGCCTTCGACGAATTCAACCGCGTAGCCATGGCCATTGCGAAACTCAACGTCCTTTCCGCCACCGCTGCAGATCTGCGGGACCTGTTACAGGCCAAACAAGTCAGTAGCGTGCAGCTGGTGAAGGCGTACCTGAGCCAGATTGCCGAGCACGATGCAGCGCTAAACGCATTCATTTGCTTGGCACCTGAGCAAAACATCATCGCGACAGCTGCCTTGCTAGACAAAGAGAGGCTTGAAGGCCGCGTGCGCGGAAAGCTACATGGAATACCTGTTGCATTGAAGGTGCGAAGCGGTTGCGAGCCCCACTCTCTTTTCTGAATGCTCGCGATCTCATTCTCACTGTCGGAAAGGATTGCTTTGTCAGCGCTGCAGATCTGGGAATGTCTACCACGGCTGGATCATGGGCGCTCGTTGGTGCCAAAAGCAACAAGAATTCCGCTATGGTGCAGAAAATGGTCGATGCTGGCCTTATCATACTCGGGAAAACAAACATGACGGTGAGAAAATCGATGGTCTCTTGAAACATTTATGGCCATACTAAGCCCAGCAGGAATTTGCGGGCATGAAAATGACCATGATGATGCCAGGGTGGTCGGCCTACGGCGGCCAGACTATCTCTCCTTATGCCGGAAAAATCGAGGATGGAGACACGATACTGGGCCACTCTGTAAGTCCCTGCTGGGACCGCACACTGTTACTTTTCCTCACGCGTTACTAGGCACCTGGGGGGTCGTCAACTGGGTCTGCTGTAGCAGTTGCCGCAGGGTTCTCACCACTTGCAATAGGAGCAGAGACCATTGGCTCCATAATCACGCCTGCGTCGCGGGCTGCCCTATATGCTCTCAAGCCAACAGTCGGGGTGCAAGATGTGGCCGGGTCGTACTCATTAACAGAGTTCTTTGACAGCCCCGGGCCGATGGCAAAATGCGTTGCAGACGTTCAAGCGCTGCTAGAAGTTATGCTGCGCAGAGACCTTCTTCCCAATGGGTTTGGGGAGTGGAAAGATGTCTCTGTAGGCTTTGCTGACCCACAAGTGTGGAAGATGGCTGGGGCAATGTGTCGGCAGCATGAAGGAACGGCGGAAGAAATGGTGAGTTTAGAATGGATTACGACGGCACGGACTTTGATTGACAAACGCTTGGCAGGAATCACAGTATATCTCATGCGTGGATAACCTGAAATCTACCGCCTGCCAGCTCCAGTACCCGATATCCATCCCAGACATCTCCGTCCTCACGGTTGATGAAGAGGACGCCATCATGCCTATCGCCTGTACGAGTTTACCCTTATTCTGGCAAAATTTGGAGTGGAGCTAATAATGAGAAGTCTGGGAGTTCAAGAACATTTGCATTCCCAGATTCCTTGACGCTTTTGACGAGTGTCCAGTTCGCAACTTGGAAGACATCGTCCTATTCAACAAGCAAAACAAGGACAAAGCGATGCCTGAGCGTCAGTTTCAGTCCCCCAGCCAATCTTGTAATTTGAGAGATGCTAACACACTCCCAGCCTATACGGAACAGGGCGACATCATCAAGGCGTTCGAGAACGTAGACACAGAAGAGAATATTGCACGACTCAAAGATGGTCTGCGCAAGAAAGCAAAATCTGTCCTAGAACCCGTCTTTCATGACAATGGGATCAACATTATCGCTGCCCCTTCTGATTCTCCGCTGTGCATTCACGCAGCGGCTGCCGGTAAGCACAGGGGCACCAAGAAGACACGACGACCAAGTCACCAAGCTAGAGGGACGCCTTCATACTGATGACACACTCTGCTAGGTTACCCGATCGCAACGGTGCCCTTGGGACAGCTGACATACAACCAGCGCCCTTTCGGGCTGTGCCTCATGGCTCGGGATGGATACGAGGAGGCTCTGCTCCAGCTCATGCATCTCTACGAGTCGGCGACCCCCCCTCGCCCGATTCCGCAGCGGTTGGGTCGCGCTTGAAGGATTACGCGATGAAATTTGCCGGCCCGGCGTCTTTCAGCTTCTTACAAGTTGGCGCATATCTTATGCAGTGAAACCTAAGGGTTGGGCGGATGCAGTGGATGCAATCCGTGTGGCGAGACTCAGCAAGGATAGGACTGTGCAAATGTGGCCCCGGGGGACATGCTAGCTCAAAGTCCATGCTAGCTAGCCGAGGCTGAGCTGGTGAGGGCCGTTGCATCCTATCTCGAGCCCATTAAGGAAGTTAGAAATACAACGACGGGTTACCGGACTTGGGTTCCTTTGAAGACTAGACTAGTGTAATGCGGTTGCTGAGCTTGAGATCCTGCAGCTCACTTGAGGGATCCCGAGTGGGCTGAAGGATCCGGAGACCACCATTCTAAGGTTGGCGTGAGTTTCGGCGCGATATCAGCGGATTTGTAGTGTATGGTGTATGCATTCACTGACTCATCCACATACCTAGGTATCTTGCCGGGGAAAGCCGCTCCGGGAGCTAGCTAGACGACTAGGGAACAATCCTGCGTGGAAGTGCGTGAATGGCGCCATCCTTGCGTCGGGGAACGTGAAGCGTGAGCACGCTACCCAAGGTGGCCCAAGGTGGGCCTACTGTGATAGGTATGTACTGGTGCTTACGGATTATTGCATCACCGGGATATCAAGCGATATTCGAGAATATTTAGTAAAACAGGTTCTCGCAAAGTAGGGATCATATTCTCGGGACTGGACGACTTCCGACTCAGCTAAGTTTGGAGAAGGAACACACTTGACGACACAGATGTGCCTCAATATCGTCAGCAGACGACACAAACCATTTCCAAAATTTAGTTGACAGGCAATCCCCCCTTGGGATCTACAGCCACAATGTTTGGCGCGTTTGAGAAGTATCACCACAGTGACGACACTGCAGGCTCCGACGAGGAGGAGACCTTCCTCCCCAAGTCCGATCCAAAGATCGAAAGCGTCGTACGAGGCTCATCTTGGACGGATCATGTGTGGAAAGCAACGACTCTTCTTTTCGCAGTCCTCTTTGTTGTGTCTCTCTTCTTTCCTCGGCCTATGATCTTTCAATCTAGGGATACTTACGAGACCGGTTTTGATACCGACTTGGGTGCGTGCCTCCAGCAAGTCGGTGACAACATAGAGACGTTGCTGATCAGCCTGTAGAGCCAGCGGTTGCATCAATCAGAATGCAGCGAACCAAGTTCGCAGGCGGAATCATTGTAAATGATTCGGATGCCTTCGAACTCGTGCTGGACCAAGGGGCGCCTCAATATACTGGCCATCCCACACAGAAGCTTGACGACAACTGGGACAGGCTGGTCGGTAAGATATCTCACTTTCAGACCCCTAACGAAACTGCCAATAATTAATCCTATGCTCCAGGTGGATACATAGCTCTCACACAGGCGGAAGCCGCCAAAATCCAGGGCGAGGTCTCCGTGGATGGCGGCAGCTACTTCGTAGTACCACATGTACGGCATAGTCTCCACTGCGTGAACTATCTCCGAAAGGTGGCGTATGAGAAGTGGTATCCTACGATTCGCACTGAGAACAAACCTACTGTGCCGACATTTTGGCAGCACGTCGGTGAGTCTGCTCCTGGAACTCTTTCATGGACAACTGCTAATCCCGAAAGAAGACCATTGCATCGAGACGTTGAGACATACTGTCCAGTGCCAATCGGATCTTACGCCAGTGCCCCACGTCTGGTCAGAAGGAAAGCAGATGTATTTGGCAGACACGAGTCTGGAACATACCTGCAGAAATTACGAGGCACTTATGAATTGGCAAGACAGACGTGAAGACGCATTCAAGGCCAAGATGGGCCACGAATAGAATGATGACCATTCGGTATGTCTTGAAGAGCATGATTGGTGGTAGACGGGGCCGTGGAAGACTTTCACACCGCAAGAGTTTACATAGTCTTAAAAAAATTACACTTCATCTCGAGTAATGTTCTTCTCATTGAAGTACGACAGTGCTTTAGTCCAGTTCAGCGGCCACCACGGCAGACTCACGTTCGAGGAACTATGTACAGTAGGCCGGGGACCGCTTTTCAGTCCTGGGCTTCCAGCGCTAGAAAATTGCATTCACTTGTCCGTTCAGGATATGAAACCCCTACTCTTGTGCTCTTGAAATTTCACGAATTCCAAAGGAGAGAAGAAAAGAGTAAAGAAAACAAATTGCGTCTGTGATATTATCATCTGCCTTCTGCAGGATAGTCGATACCTAGATGCTCTCCGGTTCAACTTACGTGACACTTCTTGGCGTTCGAGTTGGGAAGACTTTATGCGATTATACTCAATGCATAGTCCCCCGATCAACTCTCGCCTCGATGCTATTCATAACGAGGTCTAACTGTTGAGCGTCTCGTCTCCCTTTCCGCGACCAGCGCCCTGTGCCTCGATCCATCGTCGTAACTCCCCAATCACGGCGATCACTTTGGAACTTTTGTTAGCCTTGCTGGCCTGCATAATTAAGGATCAAAAAGTCAGCAAATGGGCCGAGCTAGGGTAATCCTTGGGCTGGTATGGGAGCCATCAGACCTTGTGGACCAGCCACGGGGTAAGTGTCTATCAGTCCCGAGATTCAAGTACATGAAGGCACGATGCACTGTATGGATGCGCTGATTCATGAACTACCACAGTGGCTCGGCTGAAATGCGACCAGCAGGCTGCATACTCATCCATGCAGGAGGATTTTCGCCTACGGCCCCCAAACGCTTGGAATCAGTCAAGCTTTTAGGGGCAGGTGCTCAGCACTAGGCAAGGCATGGAAAACCCTTGCAAGAATACGTTGGCACTGTGTGTGAGCGGGTTCAGCTCACGAACTACGGGGGCTGTCTGTGGAGACGTTAGGATAAGCTTCGCGGTCAGCGGCAATCCCCGTATCGGGCTAACCCGGGCCAATTGCCAGGGCCGGCGCCCGAGCGATTGATTTTGCGTTTAAAAGAGATGCCTTAATGCATTTGACGAGGAGCAAGTTCTCGTGACAATGATGTGCAATAAACGCAAAATGCCTACCATCCAGTTCAAACATTAAGAGGGCGAGCAAGATGGGCATTAGCTGAATTTGGCATCTTGTATTCACTCTGCTTGCTTGCTCCCCCCACTCGCCACAAACATGGCACCTACTTCGCGCTCTTTCAAAGGTATGATGTTGTGGTCTGCTGCTACGCTATCCAGATCCGCTGCCGCTTTCTCACAAATCTTTCCACTTGACGAGACCTGGCCAAATCATCAGCAATGCGTCGACCTGTACGGACGAGATGCTCTTGATCCGCGGTCGGAGTCATCTATCACGGTCGTTATGGAGCCCCAAAACCGAGCCGGCATTGTGAGTGTGGTGATATTCGAGCTGGGCGATGAGCATCTCGGCGGCATAGTGCGGCCGGGCACACATGAGGTAGGGTCTCCCAGGGCCTCAATTCCTGTATTTACTTCTTGATGTGTACATTATCGCTGACGCCGATTTAGAAAGAGGTTTTGTGCAGTGCAGAGACAGCTCAGGAGGGTCTGTGCAACGAGTCCCAGCTGGGCGAGTTCCTGATCTCTGACGCCGCCAGAGCGGCTGCTAAATATCCAATGATGACCCGCGCTATTGACGTCTCTAAGCCGATTCCTCTTATCTACCCAGTCAGAACGCCGGGGTTCTATTGCGCTGCGACCTTCAGCTTTTCGGTCGACAAATTCACCGGGACGATGAGGACCTCGGAGCCAGCCAGCAACGGGCCTGCTTTCAAGAGAAAGTTAGTCGATGTCTATTGCTACTTGACTCCTCTAATTCTGCTTATATCAACTATTTGGGCTTGTTTCGAGGCCTGGAATGGCTCGCTGGGACAGTCGAAACTTGCTATCTCGCTGGTAACTCTCTCCGCCTTGGAGACAATGGCACGATGGGCTCAGCTGGGAGAGGGCGACAAAACTGTGGCAGATCTCCTCAATGCATCCTGGGCCCTGATGCAAGTGGTTCTCGTCGCCATGACCATCGTAACCACCTCGACGCTTGCACGGAAGCATGGCGTCTGGCTGTCACCATTGGTGGCGACAGTCACGACGCTGATAATGGCGTCTTTGTGGGCCTTGTGGATCTGGGCCGAAATCACTGCATCAAGCACGGATTTTCGTCCTGTCTATTTGGACTTATTGATATCCTGCTTCTTGGGCTTCTTCTTCTTTGGTTGTGGCATCGCATACTGCAGGAGAAGGAAAGAGTTAAAGCGGGGATTGCGTGCCGAGGTGGCCGTCGGACTGTGCATATTGATTCCTGGAATTCTCTTTGTCGCTATTGGCGCAGCCAATTGTGGGATTCTGACTCGGAAGATGGACCCAGTCGACTTCGGGAAGCGATATTGGAACTACAGGTTATGGCTTGTTGACGGGCCGTTCGAGACGACACTCCCGGTATGGGCTGTATTTAATGCCCTGATGTTGAGCGTTGAAGCTTCAAGGGGCAAATGCTCACATGAACACGATCCTTGGGCTGGAGAAATGCAGGAGCTTAAGGAAGAAGGGGCAATAGAAGCATAGACACTAGCTAGGCTAAATGAACACCTACTTCTACTCGTACCTATTTACTCTGCCTGTATTTAATCATCCGTGAAAATACCATAGGGAGAATTCGTGGACGATAAGAAATACGTGATAGACAGAGCGGAGCTAGCTAGTCTGACGTCGTAGAGACTTCTGAAAAGACTAAGCAGTTCACTGCTGAAGTGGATCCACTGATTCTCTGCGATTACTGATTAAGATAAATCTAACTGTCTACTTTAATCTCTCTGTGCATGTCTCCGTGTTGAACCAGATCTTCCGGTCAATATAATGTTATGCTGACGGGTATCTGCAATTAGAGCGTTATTAGATTTTGATGTTCTCCCATTTTCTATCTTGCGTTTTGCCTCCAGGGTTTCAGAACTTACATGCTTCCTCCAAAGATAGTTTTTATCCTTTGCAGATCTTCAGGCCGTGCATATCGTGTGTGTACGCGGAATTAAGCGGACATCCGTGTGCTGGACACTATTTCATTGCCAAACACTTCAGCTGCTGGGGCGTTAAATTCGAGGCCATCCTGGGTAGTTGCCCACGTCTGAAGCCATGTTAAGTTCCGACCTAAGTCTCACAACCATTTTCTGCAGCCTTGCGAGTAGCAATGAGGACCGGTGTGATTGCTCAGACGATATCGTGTACCGTCAGGAAACGAAGATTGGGGGTATCATGGAGATTGTCATCGCCAGGGTACACGGCGGGCGGTGGCTCCGGGACGGCCCGGAGCGTTATGGCAAGGCCCGGCCCATATATCCCAGCTCATTCCCGGACCGCGTCTCTCCGCGCACTCATGCAGGTCGTCTGTCGCCATCTGTTCGGGGCCTTCAAAGACCGTCTCGGGTATCATGACGGGAACTTGGTAGTATTTGATCGTCCAAAACCGATGTTGGATATACCGTGGCTCGAGATTCCACCATCGACCTAGCCTGGCTACTCTCAGTAGTGCTGTTTCTACTGGTAGTCGTCCTTTTGCTATTGAGCTTTGACGATATGAGGAGACTGGGCAATGAATCTTGCAACTTGTCCTGTTTCCTACTGCCACGCGCTCTGCGGACAGAGAATCGCTTATGAGTTGGTCTGAAGTCGTCAATTGTATCCCGTAAACCCATTTTGTGCATCGAAAACAAGGGTCGTAGCAAAGGCGCGCAAGCTGCTGAGGCACTCCAAGGTCAGCATAGCTGGTGAAGTCGAGATCAGGGAAACACTAACCTGAAATGACACCAAAATTAACCTCCACATTGGCCCATATGAACATGCTTGAAATAGTGTATGATAATTCCTCAGATGTTTCATCCAGACGCAGAGAACCAAGAATAACAAAAGTTGTCCCCAGGCAGGTGCTAGAGAGTCTGTGAGCGGATTGCATTTGTTAATGCTCAGCGGAAGTGGGTATCTTACACTATTCCGAACATAAATAAAACAATAACACCGATCTTGCGACGGAGACTCATCCGAAGTTTCCTCAATTCAAATAGGGGGAGAGCAATGATCAAGACGTCCAAAGTGAGGTGACTGAACGCTCCGGCGGGGAACAACCTTGCATCGGTGATGGGACATCGACCATCCACTGATGGGTCCCAGTACTTTTGTATTGGTATGCAGCGAACAATTCCCAATGTAGTCTAACAATACTGGTCCGTTAGAAAGCATGATTCTCACCTGAGGACGAAGCGTGGGAATTGAAGAAGCGTACCCTGATCACAGTCCACAGGACCGAGCAAATAGTAAGAACAATGATGGGGTATCTCAAGCGGCCGAGCGAAAACATCCGCCAGTACAGGGCCAGGACGGCAATCTTGGCGAAGCCGACGGCGAGTGCGTAGAAGACTACAAGAAAGAAGAGGTTCATTCGTGCGGCCTTCAGTGTCTGGCTCGGCGTCATCCACGAGATTTCTGCCCGGTGCAGAGCAAGGCCATCACAAACCCCTGAGTACCAAACATTCAAGTCAGCCAAAGTCAGACGCATGCCTGCGTGAGCAGGTAGATATTCTGTGCTTGGCGAGGGGTGACGTACACTTTATACCAAAGGCACTGTTTCCGACTGCCCATACCTGCAGCACGCCCGGGTTGGTCAACTACCGGTCTTCTCCACGGCTACAACGTTTCGCGAGGCAAAATATGGAACTCACGTAGGCAGACAGTGCCATCCAGTCATCCCACCACAGCCGGGTCTTGGTAATGCGTCGGGCGAGCAGGCGCAGAGCGATCGCGGCTGTAGACAACATCCACGGTATGGCCAAGGACATGATCCCCGGTACCTGCGAGCTCTTCATCGCGCGTGAAACACCTGGGCGGAGCTACACGGCTCGCAGCAGCGCATCGTGGCACTTCACAAAGATTCCCAGGGGCTTGGTGAAGAGTGACGCAAGAAAGAAAATTGGGAAAAAAAGGGCGGTCGTCAGGTTGTCAACCGGTTCTCACTCTTGCAGGCCAGTATGTAATGATCAGTCGAGTGTTTTGAAATGGACAAGACCAATTGCAAAGTCCGGAGCATACACCGACGGCATTTGGGGAGCCCATCTTGATGACCAGCGTGCCAATTGCCACACTGGGCAGCTGGCTGCCCGATGCAGCAGCCCACGAGTCAGAGACCGGCAGTTCAATGCGACAATGCCAACTTTGTTGATGTCGCTCCTAGGGTCGCCGCCGCCCGATCAGGGTGTCGCGCACATTCAGGGAGGGCAATCAGTGGTCAGCCAATGGCCGTAAGTGGTCAGAAGGTAAAATCTCCAACGGCACGTAAATTTAATGGCCGGGAGACAAGGCGGGAATAACAGGTTGCTTGTGAAGGAGAGTGCTGAAACAAGGAGCATCCAAGTGTCATCGCCGACCTGAGCGTCAGACCCTCAGATTCTAGAAAGAGCACGAGTCAAGGGACAAGCTTGTCTTGTGATCGGCCACAAAGGCACGGTTTGCAGCCATCGTAAATTCATTAATAACTATCCACGAAGCTGAATTATACATCAACATCGGGAAAATGTTGAGCCCGGGAGCTCTCCTATTTTTGGCCAATCTCCAGCCTATTGAACAAGGTTCACTCGCATGCAACCGTTCGAGTTTATGTTCAGGGCTGCAGCGCAAAGTGCCGCACAGCCCTTTCAGCAGCGAGACCCACAGCGCCTGCTACAACGACTGCCAAAGCCCATGGGTTGGCAGCCTCCTGAGTCTTGGGCCAGAAACTGTTCTTAGTTGCCTTGTACTCGGCGAACTCGTTGGCCTTGACCGGGTTGGTCTTGGCGTACTGCTGCTCCTGGTAGGCCTCGTTCTGAGCATCGCCACCGACGTATCTCAGGAATGCGTAGTTGGCGGCCGGTGCAAGGAGAGTGATGGGATGGAGCTTGCCAGATCCCCACAGGAAGAGGGGGAACGAGAAATGGACGAGGGCGTCACCGAGGTAGCTGGATCACCAGGTTAGTAAAGGGTCGGAGTAGAACTAATACAAGTTGGTACATACTTGGGGTGGCGCACGATGCTCCAGACACCCTCGCGGTTCAGGGTAGCATTGCCAGTCTTCTTCTTGTGCTTGTTGAGTTGGTAATCCGCAAGGACCTCAAGGGCAAATCCAGCACTGAAAACAAAGACTGCGGCGTCGTGAGCCCATTCGAGAGGAGCTGACAGAGACGAGCGAGCACTGCAGACTGTCAGATGTCACATTCCGAGCATGAACAGACAATAAGCCGATACTCACCTTGCGTATGGGTTGTGCAGAGACAGTGTGAAAGGCAGGGAGATTACAGCCTGCACGACCGCTTCAGGGAGGAAATATTTGAAGAAGGCCTTGTTCCAGAAACCAGGTTCCTGCTTGTCCGCAAGGTATCGGCCGTCGTCAGAGTTTGACTTGGCGCTTCGAGAGGCGACTTGGTAGAAGAGACGAGCGCCCCATGCTGTGATTCCACCGAGAAGGACTTTGTCCGGGTAGACCAGAGTCGAGAGAGCAGTGCCAACAGACACACCGTCGTAGACGACGCGGGTACCGACTGCACTCCACCAAGCGTTCGCAACCGGGCCAACAGGCCAGAGCCAGTCTTTTCCGTCAACACGGTTGGCAACCCGAGAAGCAGCATAGGCAGCAATGCTGAGACCAGAGTGGAGACCAACAGAGGGCAGAAGAGTGTCCTTCAGTATTCCAATTGCCGTCGCATCGCGAGGGATGATGTACCTGTCAGGTGTAAAGTGGGCACCATATATCTCCTGCTCCGTGTGCCCACTGCTCGGACCTCGAACAGGGATCCCAATCCGGTTGCTGGTAGGGTTGTTTGCCTCGCCTCGGCTCCAGTGCGATGCATATCGATCTTGCTCGGCGCCGGAGGTGGTCCAGACTGGGACGCTGATACCCTCGGCCTCGGCGTTGCGGGTAGCCGAGGGACTCCAGTGAGCGGCGTATCGGTCCTGCTCCGCGCCGGACGCTGTCGGCACGCGGATGGTGATGCCCTCAGCTACGCCACTGCGCGGAGCCTGACGGCTGAGATGAGTGGCCCAGCGGTCCTGCTCTGCTCCTGAACCTGTGGGCATAGGCACGGGTATTTCCCGACGAGCGGGATTGTTGGCATTGGAGCCCCAGTGAGAGCCGAAGCGATCCTGTTCAGCTCCTGAGCCTCGAGGAACGGGGACTGGGATTGATTCAGTCGTTGGGTTGTTGGGCTTGGACCCCCAATGGGAGCCAAATTTGTCTTGTTCAGCCATGGTGTTTGACTTGTGTTGAATCTGAGGTTAGACTGGTGGAAGCAGAGGGAGGATCAGAAGCACTCGTTTAAGGGAGCTCTGGGAGCTCTGGGAGCTCCGGGAGCTATAGGTCAGCCGAGTGACGTGATGGTTGCACCGCGCCGTTCCTGGCATGACATCAGAATGATCACCCGCTGCTGTAGGGCGCCGTACGTGGTAACCAGCAAGAAGATCGCCATCTTAAGGCGCTCTGTAGGAGCTCGGCGGACCTTTCTGGCATATGACAGACTTGTTTACTTGCCTCCAAGTTAGTTGGATCAACTTGAAGCTTTCACGACTCGTTTACACTCTTGGGAGTATCTATCAAATTCGGGATTGACGAAACCCGACCCTAACCCTCAGAAGACTTAGCCAAACCCTTTCCCCCCCCCCCCCCCCCCCAGCTCATTTTCCTTGGCCCAGTTCAAGGCCGCATCAAAGGCAATGGCTACTTCTAATGGCAAAACAAGTGCGACCTTCTTTCTGCCTATCAGCTATGCTTTTATTTTTTAATAGATTAAGTTTACTTGAATAGATGTCAATTTTGATAGGACCCAAATGAATTGAGGACACAATACAGATTAGAGCTCGTCACTTTCCATGGAGTGCATGTCCAAAGACGGCATCACGCATCGAGCATCTCGAAGGAACTGCATCCCAAGTATTCCTTGGCACAGGAGGGTCAACGCCGAATATTCTGTATGACTTTGATTCGGCTTTGATTTGGTAATTTCGTATGGAGTATATGATGCCGATGGCTCGAGTTGCTGACGATCGACTTCAGGATATTCGCAGACAATGAATATTTCACCATGTGAGTTCTGACGACCACCAGAATTGAGCATGACATTAATCCGAGCATTTCCACACGTTGCGCCGGGTATCGATAGTCGTGACGTGTTTGGACGGAGGCAGCGCCCTCCTAGTCAAGACAGAAGTCTCCATGGGACGAACATGACGCCGCATTTATGCCCAACCACTGCTTCAAGAATGGGCGAATGCCGTATGGAATGCCGCTGGTCGAACCTGCATGTATACAATTGTGCTCGGGGACTTGGTGCCTAACTTCCGCGGAGCACAACTTTCAATATTGAGCAGTGGAGTGAGGGAATACCGAGCAGTCTGCAGCCGGTGTACAGCATCCGCGTGCTTCAGTCCTCGCAAAACCACATGTATCCCATGCCATTGCTGGGGGCGTTTTACTGATTTGCAGCCGTGTAACCGGGTTTGAACTCACACGATTCATGACAGGAGGAGAGCATTGTTCACCGGGCCGCGAGCCTGAACACAAGGTCGCAGTGCCTCTTGAACGTGCCCCCTCGGACCAGGACCAGGCCTTGATATGGGCAAATGGGACTGTTGGTGGCGCAAGTTGACGCTACCATGTATGGAGAGTGATTCTTATGGGGTGCCTGGCTGGCAGGCTCTGGTATGGAGGCCGGTGAAGCGATCAACAGATGTCCATGCTGCACCCTGTGTTGCAGATACTGCCTGCCCAGGTGTGTCAGCAAGGGCCACCACCGTAGCAGAGTTGGACATCGGTGATGAAGGTGCCAGTTGGTGCCTGTTCATTCCTGGACCCGAAGTGGAGACTCGTGGGCCTCAAGAATACTGGATTGGCCCATCATTGGATCGCCTGCTCCATGCCGTGGTCAGAAACTCGGAGTGTCCATGCCCGTCGAACGCATAGTCAAACATTGCGATCATGGAAATCCAGAAGCCACCACGCTTTTCTTCGCCATAAAGAAATAAACAGCTTCAATTTCTCGTATCGCAGAGGCAGAAATGTTGACTTTGTGGTGTAGTGAGAGTATGGGGTTTCATCGTGCGCCAGCCCCTGACCCAGTTTAGCAGCTTTGTGCTCAAGTGCTTACTTTGCTTTTCAGGCCTTGCTTCAGCGACCTCTCGCCGGTGTGACTCAGCTGGAACTGCTGTGTCGCTGCCTGCACACGCGCCTCATACGAGATCGCATTTAGTACTTCAGCAATCGTCCCCCAAAACCATTCCGCACCTTTCTACCAAGTTCAACGCCAAGGGATTCCACCGGCCGAACTCACCCTAGGCCACTTCTCGCACGCTTATGGTGCATCCCTTGTTTTCTGAGAGAACTCTTCTCCCTACGGTGCCTGCCTCGTCACATGGGCCAACATGGATGGCATGGCGCTCGAAATCTCACGCTTTCGCGGGTGGGTACAAGTGAAGGAGCTTGTGGCTTACTTGGATGAACTGCGAACAGGTGTGGCAGACGCAGATTCTGCCATCTGCCAGTCAATACTCCAAGCCGTCGAACAGAACTTGGTCTCGCCAGATGTTTTCAGCATATTCATTTCTTGGTCGAAGTCTCCTGCCGTCATCGCCAGGTGCCTGAATTATGAGTCCAACACGAAGATACGGAGATTCGCTATCAGAGAACTTGGGAAACATCTGAGACGCCCTGGGAAGTTCGACTGGGAGCTGACATGGAAAGCTTTGGGGGGTACCGAAGGGCTCGTTCAGATCTTCGGCAGGAGCTCCGTCGACGAAGTCAAGACGATGTCGATGCTCATAGGAGGCTGTAACCGCGGCAAGAAGCACGAGCAAACACAGCGATGTGTCGAAGAGCTCCTGCGGGCCCTGCTCCCCGGCGTCTACGCTTCTACTTCGACCATACAGAGCAACGACAGACGCCCGATCCAGCAGCATTACGCCATCATGCTGCCCGCCTGCTCCCAAAGCTTTGTCAACGAAGTCCTCGACTCGCGTGACGATGCCAACCCTCTTTACAGATGGCGCGACCTGAAAAGACTGGTCCGGAGCCACAGGGCTTTGCTGAGAGGACGTGCGATCAGCCACCTCTTTAGCAGCGGCCCAGAGGACGAGGATGCTCCGAGCTACCTTGATACCTTCTTGTTCGGTGACAGAGAATTCGCGATCAAGGCTCTCCAAGGTCGCCTCGATGGCACTGTCACGGATGAGCGGTGGGGGCATAACGACGAGATCGCGGTGTTGATGCGCAATGTGCGTCGTCTTGCCAAACACTGGAAAGCACCCGTCGAAAAGAAGCGCCGCATTCATGATCTAATCAAGCTTGGACTGGAAATACTGGGAAAAGACCGTGAAAGGAGTAGTGACCTGTCCGATAACCTTTGGGCCATGACTTTTTCGCGATGGCAAATATGGCCGGACCACTATGAAGATGTGCTTCGACTTGGCTTGCAGTTGGATCTCGCCGAACGACCACACAAGGATCCCCGAAGCTACCTCCCTGTTTTACGGCGCCTGGAACCGGGGCCGAGGGAGCGACTGCTTCAGCTTTGCTACCTGGATATTCCAGGAAAGCCGTTGGACCTCTTTGCCGCTGAGGACTACTCGGCGGTCGCTAGGCAGACTTGGCCTTTCGAATTGTTCCGCCTCATGAGCACCGATCAAGCGATCCGCTTGCTGAAGAAGTTATACCAAGCGAATCCGGAGTACAACTTCCTTGAAACATCGGATAGAACATCCATCCTCCCTGTCCGGGATGTCGGACCACAGCGCAACTTCAACGTGGATTTGTACCTAACAATACTCCAGCGCGACAAGGAGAAAGTGCAACAGAATTCCAGAGACACAATCGAAAGGCTGCGGAAGAAAGCGTCTGCGGCCAGGGACCAGTCTGACAGGGCTTCACTCGCAAAAGCAGCGGCATGCTATGCAATCGCGACTGGAGATCTGGACGTCTACGGCGAAACCGTCGTCTGGCAGAAGCGCTTTGTCAAGGACCCACTAACAGCCAAGGTGCTGTTCAGCAGGGACGTGGTCCGCTCAGTTGAAGGTATTGAGCTTCTATTAGGGACTCCCACTCTCGACACATTGTCTGCCACATGCAAAGACAGCACACCGCTTCTCCTAGACGAGATATCTCGCGGGATCAAAAGCGCAGACGCTGTTCTCAGGACTTTCCAGGAGTCGTATCTCCTAGCAAAGCGAGAGCCGTCATTTCAGGAGTATGACTGGACGCATGTCAAGGGACTATTTACCGCGGTGTTCAGCTCGCGATTTTCCCGGTCAGAGACCCTGCAAAGGCATTTTAATGTGCCGAGAAACGAAGTCTTCCGGATAGTATGGAAAGGCCTGCTGGCAGCGCTTGAGTGGCTTAACGCAGATTTTCTCCAAGCTATCCGAACTGCAATCCAAGAGCTGCTGGGAAAGTCACGTCCTGAATTTCTCGCGGACGCCACGAGATCATTGCTCGACATCGGGACCGAGGGGCGGAAGAGAAAAGAAGAGAAGGGCGCATCACATCAAGCTCCGGCAGGGTCTCCGGGCGTTTTTCCGATCGGGTTCCAGACCAAGGGCATGCCCGCGTCTCCGCCGCCTGGGTTTCCCTCGGCCATCAGGAATTCAAAGCTAGGGGATGAGACTCTTGAGCAGATGTCCTACGATGCTCTGACGAAGCTGGCAAACAGCGACATGCCAGCACTTGCGTCGCCGCTCATACTACAGACGATCCTGGAACGGCCAGACGCGAGCTCATGGCACAGGATCTTACTGTCAGTTGGTTTCCTGAAGAGGTTGCGAGCTGAAGAGGCACATGAACTTCTCTTGGGCCTCGCAAAAGGGATTGGTGAAAAGCTGGAAGAGCAGTCGTATGTCCGAGTGGGCGAGTCCGAGCCGCCAAAGCATGCGCCGTCTCAGCCCGCCGTCAAGGTGACGACGGTGAAATACCTCGCCCAGCTCCTGAACAATGCCGAGTTCATCTCAAATGACGCAGCTGCTGAGGTGTTGATTGAGCTGTTCAGGGCCGCGCAGCACCGGGATATTCGCATTGCCGCGCTTGAAAGTCTTTTGAACTTGCTGGATGGCATCTGCACCGGGACGCAAGAAGAACTGCGAGCCAGCCCCGTGGTGCGCAACATAATGGCCGCCTTGAAGACTGTCGTTCCGGTGGCTGGGAGCATAAACGAGCGACGCCCTCTGCGCAAAGAAGACTGGACGGAAGCAGAGACGACTGGAATGCTACCAGAGTTGTCTGAAACGCCCCTGGACAGGCTGCCACCTTTGATGAGAGCAGTCGTCAGCGCGGTCGAATTTCGCTCGGGCCTTAAGAAACTGGAGAAGGAATTCGTCGAGCACATTGTTCTTCCCGTGCTTGAGCAGTCCCAGCAGGAGCACACAAGATGGGTCAACATGTTCCTCGCCAAGCACAAGGCCACTGCGCTGGGAGACCTCCTTCCGGAGACGCCAATAGTGCCACTTCTTTGGACCACCGTTTTGTGCAACTACTACCGTTTCATTCCCAAGGAGCATCTAGCAGCCTTCAACAGATACGCAATCCACCGCATCGCGCCGACGCCCGCAATCGAGAAGTTCAGTGCATCTTTGCGGGCTGATACGGAGCTGTGGGGGAATCCCGAGGTACAGCACTGGCTAGAGAGTTATGCCGGCGGCGATTTTCACCCCTACCGCTCGCCGACGAACACGCTGTTCACGCTCCTCAACTCCGTGCAGGACGAGCCCGCTGAGCGTGCTGTTTTGCTCGACATGATTCTCCAGCACGCTGCGTTGTATCTCGAGGAGTATGAAAAGTACACAGACATGTGGGACAATTTCGTGAATTCTCTCGAGCCACGTGCAGCGTCCGGTACGATGGAGGATGAGGTTGAATACAAGAGATGGTACGATAATCGTCGTTTCATTGCATTGCAGGTCATAAATCTGGTCAGAAACAAAAGACAGCAGGGGCGGCGCCTCATTCTTCCCTCCACTACGAAACTCGAGCTCTGGCTCCTCTTCACGATGGGCTGGTACAGCGCGGATGACAGCTGCAATGATTTTGCCTCGAGGCTGGAAGAGCATCTGTTGGCTGTTCTTCAGGAAGACGAGACATGTGCTCTCCGGTGGTACGAGGTCGCACGCGCGACCTGGGAGGTGGTCGAAGCGGTCCTCAACACGGACGACGAGCGCTTGAGAGTTGCGTATCATATCGGCAGGCTTGGCCAGGCTGGCCAGGCTGCGGGCGAGACGAGCCGGCAGCTGAGGGTGGCCTTGGACTTGGTCAAGCTTGAGGTGACTCTGGAACTCATAGGCTCGTGCGAGACGGACAAGATTGGCGATTCATTGACGCGTCGTCTGGAGGAGTGGCGTGCATGTGACTCTGATACTATCAGGCGGATGGTGTTTCAATGGGAGGCAAGTAGGTCGACGGTGTAAGCAGTCATTTTTGGGATCATTATTGAGGTATCAGACTGACCAAGTCTTGATCTACTTGTGACTCTGTGGCCGTGCGCCTGTGTTTTAATGCCTGAGTTCAGTATCCTGTCCTGCCTCGCAACGATGATAACTAGCAGCTAATTCTGAGCACTCCATGAATTTCTCATTGCAAATGAATTGGAAAATGTTGCAGTGACTGGTGTGCCGTTCGCCGAATCCAGGCAGTGAATCTCAACGACCGATTCGGAGGCCATCACACGGGAAACCATCCATACAGCCAGGACGAGAACAATGGCAGGGGAAGTTATATTTTTATTTATGGCGGCGCGCCCACATTCCCAGGAATACGTGTCTCCGGAGAGAAAGAAAATTCCTAGAAAGATCATTCGACTGCCCCCTGCCTACGGCCAAGGCGCAACAGCATATGCCCACCCTCCTTCCAAACACCACCGCAGACCTTAGCCACACTCGCCGGCCTGGGCACATTAGCATGGCTCCTGAAGCTCATAGTCTGATAAATCCTATTACGCTACACACAGTCCCCTCCTCCAAATTCCCGTACTCCGCCAGCCCGCACTTCGCAGCAATGCCCCGGTGAAGATTGCCAAGGTGACGCTGTTCACGGCCACCTACAGTGCAGTTCCCGTTGCTAGGTCCTATCAATCCACCGTGGTGACTGCAGATGTTAAAATACCCAAGGGGCTCTACATGTGCATTCACGATCAATGGCCAAGCTCGTGCCTGTCTTGTATGTCTGACAAGTCATGTGATATCATTTGCCCTGGGGCTTCAGCAGTTGGACCATAGTGTCTGTCCGATTTCCCCCACGGCGAAGACACGTCCGTGTACGGCTTCTGGTTGTAGCCAGGCTGTTTGCTATAGTGATGTTGTTGCTGGTAGCCCGCTTGTACGTCTCTCGACTTTTTCTTCTCGCGCATGAGCATAAAAGCCAACGCGCCGACCGCGATGGTTAGTGGCAGGCCGACACCCACTCCGATGCCTGCTCCCGCACCTGTCGATATCCCTTGGTTGGCCTGCTGCGTAGATGTACAAGTTGGGTCGGTGGCGCCTCCGGTGCTTGGACTCGTGGTGGTAGATGTCGTTGCCGTTGCCCCGCTGTCAAAAAGGTCCGTTGAACGGGCAGCATTCGTCACCGCCCTGTAGGCACTGACTGTGAAATTCTGACTGGAGCAATTATCGAGGCTATAACAGGCGAAGACCCTGGAAGCGCATACCGACACGCCAACATGAGCGCCGCGTGATGCTGAGAAGGGAGTCAGCTGTGAACTGCGAGACTCTCATTGTAATCATGGCCAAGAAATGAGAGGATAAGCTCACTTGTATCGCAAATATTCGGGCATCCGGTCTTCTGGTATTGCTCATCCGTACATCCGCCGCGGTACCAAGTCCCTTCAGTCGGCGACAGGCAAAGGCCATTGGTCATGCAATAATGATCCGCAGAGCAGCACGCGGCAGCCTCATTGCTGGAAGCGACCGAGCACGCCTTCAATGCGAGTGCCGCGTTGCCGTTGGGCCAGCAGCAGCTCTGGCCGGATGCCAGCTAGAGGGACACCAGCGGAAGCGTTGCGAGGAACCAGGGCAGCAGATACATTCCCTGCTGTCTAATGCAAGTTCGCACGACAAAGTAGAAGCCGGAAAACAAGATCCCGTGGCATCTGGGAACAGTACTGATGAATAGCGAAGCTGCTGCGCGCTGATCATGCCTGGGCAGTCCAGTTAATTAATAACCCCAGAATCTGGGCGGCTCCCTAACCCCCGCTGCTCGCCTTTCGTGCAAGCAACGCATTGGGCTCTCGGATTCGGTGACCTGCAGTCATCTTATGCAGTTCGTAAGGGCGCAGGCCGTCTTACACTATTAAAAGGTTCCTTTATTGTTGTGAATCCCTCACGGGCCCGCCTCCTCTCCTCACCCCACTCCCGCTGCTTACACCCAATGCGGGTGAGCTGCATCTGGCCCAAACGTCCGGTCTCAAATGAAATTGCCAACCGGATGGAAACACAACATATGGGGCATCCCACATTCCTACTGAAGCAGTGGCTGCGGCGTGGATCATCCCACCTACTTGGCTCCGTGCCGAAGGGACAGGACATGAGAAGTCCAGATAGCCGCCTCTCTCGAGATATATAACACCTGTACATTCTTTTCTATCTAAACAGCCGTAACATACGATGGTGGCCTTTTGTTCTTCCCCTTTTCGCTGGCGCGCTTGCCCACTCGCCGTTTTATCACCTCCCATTCCGGTGATGCACAAACACTCCCCTCTTCAAAGTCATCTGCCAGACACCATGTTGATGCTTTACCCATATTGAGTTTGTCGTTTTGATTATATCGAGCATAGAAGAAATGTTAAGTACGCCAGCGCGAAAACTAATATCAATAGATGTGCATCTTTCCACAAGAAGACAATAGAACTAGTAAACATCGATTTCCTTGTGTGTACCTTGTCTAAATAGGTGCTTTCACGTAGATAGATAACACAGTAATTATGTTAGTATTTCCTGAAGCCGCAGACTGAACCTGACTCGGAAGGGGTGATCTGGGGACTAACGTTGATGAAGAGCTACCCATACAGACAGGATGAGGATAAGGCTAGGAAATTTGTTTTGTTCATTTATTCCGTGTCACGAGTATAAGAAGAGGTACCGAGGGCAAGCGTGGTCGTAGAGTTGTACTGGTGTCGCCGTTGGGAACCATCCCGCTCTCCCAAGCGTGAGGGCCGGAGTTGCACAGGCTTTCCAGGCCAAAGGGCCGGCCCTTGCAGCTGCCGAACGTGCGTCATTCAGGGATCTGTCTAGGGAGGGGTGGACCCCTTTTCGTCCTATCTAATTGCAGGACAGTGCCGCGCGGTGGGCTGGCTACCCGTGACTAGGTTGCTCCCTTGACTCGTGGGTTTATTACTAGTGCCAGGTGTCTGCATCACCCTCTCTAGCCTCCGGACCTGAACCTTCCCAAGGGCCGGGAGATTGCAACGCCCACAACACGGCCAGGCCTCATCATCACTCGCCAACACTCGCTCCAACTCAGCAGCCCAGTTGCAGCCCGGCACTGAATAGCGCTCCCAATTGGGTCGATATCACCAAGCACTGGCCATGGCAGGCGAACGCAAGTCGGCAGAGGCCGACCGGAAGCTGGAAAGCGGGACCGCCAAGGGCGCGCCGGAAGCTGCGAGCAGCTCCGGCGGTCTTGGTGGCCTGCACCCGGCCTTCTTCATCGCGTGAGTGTGCACAGCTCCGTGTTGCCCCTCCGGGCGTTGTCCGAGTGGCCGTGGTCTTCGTCCTCCGGGGTGCCGGGCTAACATATCACTCCTCGCTGTATAGTCTCTGGATCGCGCTGAGCTCGAGTGTAATCCTCTTCAACAAATGGATCCTTTCCACAGCAAAGTTCGGTAGGATTCCCTCTTCCTTCCGATATGCCGTCATTCAACTATGTGGTAGACCAAGCTGACCTAAATGACTTGCAGAATACCGTAAGTTGCATCGCAGTGCATCGCACAGACGAGCCGCCCGAACCCCCAAACAAACACAACCCGATCGAACACTGACAATGTCCTCCCACCACAGCGTTGTTCCTGACGACATGGCACCAAGTCTTCGCCACGATCATGACCCAGCTCATGGCCCGCTTCACCAAGATCCTCGACTCGAGACATAATGTCCCAATGACACCGCATACATATGGGTTAGTGCTACATGAGCTGGACCTAAAGAGGATGACCATGGGACGGCTGCTGATCCCGCGATTGTCTCGTACAGGCGCGCAATAGTTCCCATCGGCGTCATGTTCAGCTTGAGTCTGGTGTGCGGCAATCTGGCCTACCTGACGCTCAGTGTGTCTTTTATCCAGATGCTGAAGGTACGTTCGGGATTGTAACCAGCCAGTGTCGACTCTGGAAGGGATTTGGTTCGCTGACAGTGTCCTACTGCACAGGCTACCACCGCCGTGGCGACCCTGCTTGCCACATGGGCCTTCCGCATCGCACCCCCTAACGTCAAGGTTCTCGGGAACGTCACCGTCATCGTCCTGGGTGTGGTGATCGCCTCCTTCGGCGAGATCAAGTTTGTCTTCAGCGGCTTCATGTTCCAAGTGGGCGGCGTCGTCTTCGAGGCCCTGCGTCTTGTCCTGGTCCAGCGCCTGCTGAGCTCGGGCGACTTCAAGATGGACCCGCTGGTCTCGCTCTACTACTTTGCTCCTGCCTGTGCAGTGACCAACGGCCTCTTCACCGCGCTCGTCGAGCTGCCCCGCTTGACCATGGCAGATATCTACGGTCTTGGGCCGATGATTCTTCTTGCGAACGCGTTCGTGGCTTTCCTGCTGAACGTTTCAGGTGTTCTGCTTGTAAGTCATTCTTCCCCATTTCATCAGGCCCCGTGACTGACCAGATAATTTTCAAGATCGGCAAAACCTCGGCTGTCGTCCTTACCATGTCCGGCGTCCTGAAGGATGTGCTGCTTGTCTTTGCATCCATGATCCTGTTCCACGACCCCGTGACTGGTCAGCAGTTCTTCGGCTACTCCATTGCCCTCGCTGGACTGGTTTACTACAAGCTCGGCGCCGAGAAGATCCATTCCCTGGCCAAGGACACGCAGCTGCAGATTAGCCAGTACCGCCAGAGCAACCCGGCGAGGGTGAAGCTTGCGGGCGCAGCCGCTATCTTTGTGGTCGTCTTCTTGCTGATATGGGTATGGGGCCCGGCCTCGACGAGCCAATATACCGAATATGTGAAGGCTCGCGCTGGGTACGGGGGATGAAGGAGAGCGACATCCGAAGCCGAGGACAGGGCGACCGATTGGTAGTCTGAAGCAGCTGTGAAATGGTTTGGCGTTGCAATTCGGGCTTTTATCTTCTCTTTAGACGACCTGGCACTCATCCGCCTAGGTTTCATTAGTGTTCGAACTTGTGGATCAATAGACTTGAACAAGTGGAAGTGTACGATCTTGTGACGCAACCATGTCAATTTCGAAGGACGAAACAAAGCCAGAAGAGCCCATCAGTCAATTTTGGAGGTCTTGAGGGGTAAAGTCCGTGTTGGCAAGCTAAGTCGTCGAGAAGTGGGCGCCCATCGTCACCGAACATTCTCCATCTTCCAGCAGTCTTAATACCAGCTTGAAGTCTCCAAGACAAGTCTTCGTGGCTCAGTTGGTTAGAGCGTTGGTCTCATACGGTCGTATGATTCTCTAGGACACTAGAGGAATGCCCAATCCAAAGGTCGTGAGTTCGAGTCTCACCGAGGACAAATCATTGACTTTTGCCACCTCCTTATCCACGGACGGTGTGGTTTTTTTTTTTATTTTGTTGGCAAGACTTGTCCCTCGGAGAGCGAACAGCTTTCAAACTCGACACAAGTTCCTCTGACAAATTATCGACTTGTTGGTGGACGTTGTGGGTGGTCTATGTCTCCCCTATTACTTGGCAACCCACTAGTTGGTTGCACGCACAACACGCTTCTGAGGTTCTTCAGAATAGGGGTTGGGATATAAACGAAGTCACATAGTTCAATCTAATGTGGAAAAATAATGAGTGATTTGTTGCTTTCTAGAGCAATAATTTATTACTATGATGCATCTATATCCGACCGCGTCTAGTCCACTTTATGTCCTGAGAACGCTGTTCTAGGTATGTCCCCGCCAACGCCTTGCGCCATGACTCATTCCATCTTTAATCAAATCAAAAACATGTACAAATCTATCTCATCTTTCCTCACGCCTTGGTCGACTTAGCCGCGCGAGCGCGCTGGGTGGGCCTGACGCGGAAGACGTAGTAGGTGCCGACGGCGAGGAAGATGTTGAAGATGCAGTAGGCCCACATGATGCCGAAGTTGCGCCAGCGGTCGTCCCAGAAGATGTTGCTCCCGGCCAGGTACTGGTCGCCGTTGGTGAGGGAGCAGTAGCGGCACGCGCTCGTGTCGTTTGGGTTCTGCAGGTTGCCGATGCCGCCCTCGGGGCCCGACAGGTAGGCCGAGAAGTAGTCGCCGCAGGGTCTGGCCCGAGGGCGGGTCGATGATGGTCGTCTCGGACACGGAGCAGTTGACGGCACGCCCGTGGATCATGGTCGCCGACATGGCTGCGATCCAGTACGTGAAGGGGCTGACGCGGTACATGAACACCCAGAAGCCGGGCAGCGCGCTGGGCGTCTGCAGGACACCGAACATCATGCTGAGAAGCATGAGGATGGTGACGATGGCTCCTGCGGTGGTGGCGTCTGGGAGGGCGGCGATGGTCATGTGGGCGAAGGTGCTGGCGTAGATGAAGAGCATGATCGTCAGCAGGAGGACAAGGACCTGTCTCTCTCCGCTCTGGCCCGCGCCCATGACGGGGTAGTAGAAGCATGCCCAGGTGATGATACCAGTGAGGATTTGCCACGGGATCTCGACGATGATGTTAGCCATCATGAAGGCCTTCCAGCTGTATGCCTTGCTTGGTCGCTCGCGGACTTCGTAGAGGGACCTCTGGGTGACGAAGAGGGGCTGGATCTGTTGTACAATGGTCGAGAAGAGGGTGATGATCTGGAAGGTCGAGAAGACAATCATCTGCATTCCCACACGACTGCCGCCACCGCGGTAGAATGAGAAACCGACAAAGAGACCAGCAGCAAATCCGAGGAACAGTTTGGCCATGATGTACGAGGGCATCCGCCAGTACTGCTGGAAGACACGGACAGTGACGGCGCTGAGCTGCGCCATGAACGGCATGGCAAATTCCGAGTGGGAACCGTGGTCTTCAACGGCCTGCTCCTTGCCCTTCTCAACGGCTATCCTGTCAATCTCGGCCTCGACAGCCAGACGCTCCGGGCTGTTCAACCAGGTGGAATGCCAGTCGGTGGTCTGTCCGTTGGCAATCTCCAGCATGTACTCGGCCGGGTTCTCCTGGGATCCACACTTGCGTGCTCCGTTGGACTCGAAATAATCCAGCAGGATCTGGGAGTTATTTCCGACATCGCCAAAGTAGACGGTTTTGCCGCCCTTGGCCAGGAAGAGGAGGCGGTCGAACTCCTGGAACAATACGGCGCTAGGTTGATGGATGGTGCAAAGCACAGCCTGACCAGCGTCGGCGAGCTTGCGCAGGAAGGCAACAATGGCCCAAGAGCTCTGAGAGTCAAGACCGCTAGTAGGCTCATCCAGGAAGAGCAGAAGCTTAGGCTTCGCTGCCAGTTCGACGCCGATAGTCAAGAGCTTGCGCTGTTCAACGTTCAGTCCTTCGCCAGGAACACCGACGACCGCATCAGCGAAGTCGCCCATGTTGAGCATCTCGATGACCTCTTCGACAAACTTGTACTTCTCCTCTGTGCTGACGGACGCTGGCTGGCGGAGCAGGGCACTGAATCGGAGACTTTCGCGGACGGTAGAGGTTTCCAGGTGAAGATCTAGTAGGGCAAGGTTAGCTTCTGAAAAAGGCCATGTTCATGTCTGGAATATTGGGGTCGTGCTTACCTTGCTGTTGCACGTAACCAGTCTTTCTCTGGAAACTCTCATCCAGGGGCTTTCCGTTGACCAGCATATCTCCAGTGATCACACCCATCGTGACTCTTTGTGCAAGCGCGTCGAGCAAAGTGGTCTTTCCAGCACCGCTAGTTCCCATGAGCGCCGTGAGTGTACCTGGCTTGACCCAGCCTGAAACGTGATCCAGGAGGCGGCGCGTCTCTGTCTTGATCTGGACATCGTAGGTGACATCCTTCCAGGTGAAGATATCCGTCTGAGGCTCCAAAGCGCCAACATTGGCTCCTGACTCCTGCATGGCATCGCCACCAGGTCGGGTCTCCTGGGACTGCTCGCTAGAGTTGGCCGACTTCTGGAGGTAGGCTGGGACACGTCCGCGCTGGAAGACGAGGAACTCTGCCGCGCTGCTCATGTTGGAGTTGAGCTCGGTCGTGAGCGTGTAGAGGATCAGGAAGAATACCAAGAATCCGATGAGGATTCCAAAGTTGCGCCAGACATGCGAGTAATAGTAAGAGAAGCTCGTCTCGATGTACGAGTCTCCGTTGACAGTCGCACGGCCAGCCACAGCCCCGACGGCATTGCACATCCAGGAGTCTCCAACCAGAGGCGTGTACGAGGGGATGATACTGGAGCAGATGTACTCGTGGCCGTGGAATTCGTTCGCGACCAGAATCTCGAAGGCGTAGAAGAGCGGGTTAATCCATCGAATCCAACCAAACCATACCTTCATCTCGGGAACTGCGATCATGAAACCGGTGTAGATACTGAGAGCGAGGATGATGATACCAGCCACACTCATAGCCTGTGAAGACGTCTTCGTAGCGGCAGCGACAGTCCTGAAGATGCCCGCGAACACGAAAGTGGTCACGTAGGTGACGAGGAAGAACAGGAAGAACTGTCCAGGTTCCCGACGCAGACCGGCCATGAAGTACAACACTAGGTTGAAGCAGACGGAGATGAAGAATTTGACAGGTATGTCGGCGACAATACCAGCCAAAGCCTCGGTTGCAGGGTGATAGAAGGCGTACGAAGCGTGTTTCTCAACGATGGGACGTTGTGCGTAGAGACTGCTGATTTCTGAGACGGAACTGAGGGCGTTTGACAAGACGGCGATGAAGAGGGCGGCTCCTTTGGCGAAGAAGCCAGCAGTGGATTCATAATTGACAGGGGCGTAGAAGAGTGATCCCATAATCAGGGCGATGATGACCTGCATGATGGCGTTGACGACTGTGGCCGATTTGTCTCCCCAGACCCGTTGGTAGGCCCGCTTGACGTTGAGGCTGACCTGCTGGCGGACGGTGATGATGTAAGGCGACCCCGGGCGAGCATGCTTGGCCTGGCGGGATTTCTTGGCCTGGCGGAATGCCTTGAGTGTCTCATGCTGAGTTTGGCTCGGGTGTCTCGCCAATGCATCCTCATCATCGGACAACGGGTATTCTTCCATGTGTGAAGATATGTCGTTCTGCAGCCTGCGGTACTCGGGGGATGAGCGCCAATATGTCTCGAACTCCTCTGGTGTGCGTGGAACCTTCTTCTCCATGCCTTCACGAGCCCTGCGCTCGCTGGGGTTGGTGACCGAAGTCAGGAAGTCTCCAGTTGTCTGACGAGGAGGGCAGTACCACCCTTGTCGTTCGAAGAAGTGCTTGGCCTCGCTTGCGGGTCCGTAGTAAATCTGTCGTCCTTCGTAAAGCACGGTTGCCTTGTCGAAGAGTTCGTAGATGGCCTGACTGGCTTGGTAGATGGCAACGGCGTGGGCGGATCCGAATAGGTCGCTGAAAAGACGAAGGGATTGGACGAATTTGAGAGCGGTGGCTGAATCAAGACCACGGGTACTGGATCATAGTGAGTTAGAAGTGATGAGACTGCTGAGGGAAGTAAAATCATGAACGTACCTGTTGTCCCACGCAGCAAAAGGAGAGCCAGCGAGCATCATCTCAGCGATACTGACACGCTTTCGCTCACCTCCAGACACACCACGAACAAAGTCGTTACCGACCTTGGTGTTGTAAGTCTGTGTCAGACCGCAAATAGCCATGGTCACTTGGGCCATGAGCTTGGCGTACTCGTTGCGGCTCATGCCCTCCATGCGATCTGATGGCGTGCGAACCGCAGCGGCAAACTCGAGTGTTTGACCAACAGTGAGATGGGGGAAGTGCTTGTCGACTTCCTGGTTGTAGATCACCTCACCCTTGAACTCTTTCTTCATGCGAGCTTGGGGGATACCATCGTAGCTGATCGTGGCGTCTTTGTCAAGGCTGAGTCCATTGAGCTCACCGCTCATGGTCTTGAGCATTGTACTGCAGCCCGAGCCAGGGCGTCCGAGAACGATGAGCAATTCGCCGTGCCTGAGCAAACCGTCGAACTTGTTGAGGATCCTTTTGGGAGCCTTCTTTCCAAGGTGGAAAAACTCGCCCGGTCGTAGAGGTCCTGCCATGACAGATCCCATAGTTTGTTGTAATTGGACGGCGTCTCCAGTTCCAGAAACTGTCAGATCCTTGACCATGACGCCCGTCCGAGCTGGACGAATACCACGTCCCTCGATTTGCCGTACGACATTCTGCACCCACTTCGCGGGGTCGAAGTTCTTGCTTTGTGGGTTTAGTGAGTCGTCACTGGCGTTGTTGAAGGAAATCGCTTGTGACAGATCTGCAGGCTGACCGCCAGCTCCGGAAGCGTGAGAAAAGACGGTGGCAATACGCCTCAACTCGTCGGCATCTTCTGGCTCTATCTCTGCCGAGTGAAGAGCATGGTCAACCGCAGTTCCTTCGTCAGACGCGGTCATGACACGTGTGAGCTCTATCTGTCGCCCATACTGGTCGACGTGCTCAGAGCTCTGCGACTCGAGGGCCGCGTCCTTCTCCATGGTCGTTACGTGTTCTGTTTCGCGCAGTAAGTTGAGTGATGTAGGGTGAAGAGGGAATTAAGTGGTTGTAGGATGTAGATTAAATTATTATCCGCTGTGAGCGGAGGTATTGATATGATTTGAGGTTATACTGAGAGTGTTTGACTAGTAGGAGACAAGCATGGACGGACTCGAGATGTGATCAGGGACGCACTGGATCTATAAACATCAGAATCTGACAACTAAGACACTTCGGCCCCTATGGTTGATGATGACTCGGAGATAATGCAAAGGGCTTTAAGTCATCACGGACCCGTGTCCGATCCGTTTCCCTGAGAACCTGATAAATCCGGTGGGCCGCGTGTGCGGCACCGAGCGGTCGAGAAGCGTCTGCGCTGTTTCGGGGGCTCCATCTTGGCGAGCTCGCAGTTCTGACACAGACCGAGCAGGACTCAGATCTAAGGATTAGTCGTCTAATCACTCGCAAATTAGATTCAGAATGATATCAGTCCCCCCTGCAGTAGAAGGCGGCGGTGGCCCAGACAGAGGCCGGGCTGTAGATCATCGGTACCTAGGATGATCCCGCCCTGACAGCTTGGCTCGGGATGCGACAGCAATCCGGCGCCCCGGGTGGCGGAGCCAATGATGGGGGGCGCCCCACGCCCGGATTGCCGGATTGTTATTTAAATGCCGAGCTGGCGCCCCCAAAGCAGTCAACCGTGTCAACAAGTGCCCTTGGCTTTCACCGAAAGGTGCTCCCCCAACAACTAATGACGCCGTATTCATGCTGGCCTTACATGTGTTCGTAGTTTTTCACTGCACTAAGCGATCTGACACGTGTAACCATCACTTGCATTGCCAGGAATAGGACCCTGAGGGCGATCGCTCTGTAGCTGTTCTTGACTTAGCTCCATCGACAGTCGATCTTCAATCCTCACATGTCAAAAATGTCTGGATAGGCCATTGCGATGTTCGATCCGTCAGTCCCTGCAGCTCGCAGGCGGCCTAGACCAGCGATGCACGTCATTTTAAGCTTCCGAGTAGAGTGCCATGAAATCTCTTCAACCTTGTTTGAGCCCTACTTGCCGAGATGATGTTTGTGCGATTGGCATCTCCCTCCAGCAATCGTCAGCAAATCCGGCTCCGTGGATGGATTTGGTCTACCCGACCCACGTTTTCCACGTGTGTCTGGTTGCAACCGGAGTTCGAGGACCCAGACCTGCCGTGGGCCCCGTTCCCAGCGTGTGGCTGCGGGCATATCCTTGCCTGCGGGTCAGCCTTACATCAGTAAGCACCTCGGCCCCCTGGCCGCAGGTGGTTCCCGCCAGGCACTGATTACGTGTAGAAGACAGAGCTGTAGGCGGGGCCGAGAGAGTATTGCCTTCGGTGGTGCAAAAGGCAGAGGTCCGAACATGCTTGCCGGCTTTCCGAGGGTTCCACATAGCCCGGGGATCAGCTGAGTAACTTCTCGATGTTTCTGCAGGAGAGTTCGACTCATAATGTGTAACATCCTGTTTACATGCATGCGTGGTCAGCAGAAGGGATTGCTCAAGCGCAACGCTGCGCCCTGCGCCCCTTCCGTTTGAGTCATCTATCACGGTCTCTCACAAAAAGTGCCCGGTGCCTAAAGGTGACAGACAAAAACAGAACGAAGCAGAAGTGCTGCTGGAGTCCTGCCCGATCCTACGACGATCAATCAGTGATTGACCGGGGCCTGCATAGTACCTCGACTTATCTAGTCTTGCATCCCAGGCTATGGGAGAAAACTGAAGGAAAGGTCAGCATTACCGTGTTGACCTGCGATCAAACAACACAGCCCAGGGTCTGGCCCTCAATGTTGCCAGAGTGTTCGGTATTGTAAAAGTTGTTCCCGATGCATCAGGTGGAAACGGCAAGCTGAGGGAACCGCTGTGAGCACAGGTAGCCCGGGGGCACCTGGCCATGACAGCAGGTTGTCATAGGAGCATTGACATATTTGAAAGTGGGTACATAAAGCTATGTTGGGGAAGCAGGGTAGACTCTGGGCACGTGGAGTGTACCCGATTGTGCACCATAGCAGGTCTGCAGGTCCCGACCTTTCGGCCGAAAGCCAAGTTGATGGGGTGCTTGGCGCCACAGCCACTGCTTCAATATACAATATCAAAAACAAGCATTGTCATAGTCGTCTCAGACTTTCATATTTGTCTACATATCAACTGAATTGAAGCCATCGTGTCCCCTGAACCTCCACACACACTATGGTAAGTAAGGAGAAAGAGACAGGAGGAGTCGCTTCGGGCGTCTGACCGGTTGGGCTTCCAAGATTTAAATGTGTTTGTTTCGGATGAGATACAGATAATTGTCCAGGGCTATCAACCAAGCTGACATCCCAGCTGAAGCAATCCCAAAGTGAATGAATAAGTCAGAGTACCCAGTCACGCACACACCCCATCCCGCACAGCCATTTCCCACCAAAAAGCCCGATTTCAGCTATATAATAACTAAATCTATAAAAATATCACAACTATATAAAGTATATAAATATTTAAAAGAATTTATATTTATTATAAATATATTTGTAAAGTATTTATTATTAATCTTTACTAATATTAAATAAATAAAAGTATTAAAAACGTTGATAAGTTAAAGGTCTTTTACTGTAAAAGTGCTCGAGTCAGAGGTCTTGGCAGCGAAAATGGTGACTTTTTTCCAATAAAATCTCTATTTCTATTTATTTCTTTATATTAACTTTATATAATAGATATCTTTAAAATCTATTTTAAATTTATAAAAAGTTCTTTAAATTACTCTGTGCTTATTTTATTTTGTGTATTTTTATAGATTTAGTTATTAATAGGCTGAAATCGGGCTTTTTGGTGGGAAATGGCTGTGCGGGAGGGGGTGTGTGCGTGACTGGGTACTCTGACTTATGTTAAGAAGAGAGAAATGTGTTGTTAACTAACAGCCAGTAGGTATATGCCCAGCAACAGAAGACAAGCTATGTATTTTGCCAAATTCGATCCAACTTACACTTCTTTCCAGTAAACCAAATTGTATCAATGGGAATTGTACAGAGCAATATCGACAGTTAATTCTCAACACTGTTGTAATTGGGATTCTCATGTCGAAGATCCTTTTGGATAATGTTTTCGACCTGTTCTACGGTACGTTACGTGGGAGAAAAGCAGCCGTCGGTTTGACAGTATGTGATGCATCTGAACGGGTGCACACGTCTGAATTCACGAATCAGTTATCTTGGTGTCCAGTTGACCTTATTAGGGGTTGTCCTCAGTGATAGGTTATTAATGACTTTGTGCCGAACCAGTAAACGGCCCCTCAGCATTATCAGCGGGTTTCTCGCTAAAGGGTGACTGTTGTCATCTTGGACCCCCCATTTGAAATGTATTCTCATGGCCTTTCCAAGGGCCGGAGGCCAGAAAGTCGTTTAACCACTCGGTTTTGCGGTTCACCTCTCTTTCAAGTCTTGTAGCTGCACTGAGACTGTGTTCCAACGCTAACCGTCAAAGACCAGCATGTGACCAACCAATATCTGGAGAAAGATTCCTCGGTCTCGTCTCCTGAAAAGAATAGAGCCTTCTCCGCTCTGGATTATTACCCGGTCCATGTCAATTGATTCGAGGACGTTGCTGTACTTTCTTAGACCATAGGGTTAAGATTGTGCGGTTGCTCATCACCTATCCCACGACTATTCTTCACAACCACCTTCACAAGTGGCAGACAGCAACATAGAGCACAGATGTCATGACCAGTCCGGGGTTTGACCCAGCACATCGGCTGGGTTCGGCAGTACCTGGATCGAGGGAGCCAAACCGTAAGGCATGGTCGCGTGATCAATACAATCCGCGTTCAAACTGACAGGGTTGTAAAATTAGTCTTGAGTTTTAGTCAAATTAAATGTAGTTTTTAGTTTTAGTTTTTAGTTAATACTTTTTTAAAAACTCAATATAGTTTTTAGTTTTTAGTTAAATCTAGTAACTAAACTTAAAAAACTCAAAACTAAATTGAGTTTAACAAAAAAACTACATATAGTGGGGCTACATATATACATGGGTATATAGTAGATTGTTTGGAGATTCCGGAGGAGTTAAGTGGGCCTGTGGGCGAGTGGTATAATTCCTTCCATTGTGTTAAAGGTCCCAGGCTCAATTCTAAAAAGCTCATTAAGTTTTTAATCAAACCTATTAACTAAACTACAATTTTTTAGTTTTTAGTTTTTAGTTTTTAGTCAGACCTATTAACTAAAGTAAAAAATTTTTAGTTTTTAGTTTTTAGTTAGACCTATTAACTAAACTAAACTAAACTAATTTCAACCCTGCAAACTGAGACATAAAGTAAGCAAACCGTCAAGTGAGTGCAGGTACAGAGATATAGTGTTGCTCAACCGCCTCTGCGGATTGCTCGATATCACCATATGCTCAAGACTCGGGGCGCGACGGAGTAGAGCGTGCGAGGTCGTGGCTGCATGGGACATATATTTGTGTGGATATCATGCAGCAGTGAAGAGATTGATCGGAAAATAAAGATGTAATCTCAACCGTGTATACTATATCGGTACACTTTCTTGGCAGGATTGCTCCTGTGTGGGTGGGTGCTGCTCTGCAGGTAAAGGGGCACACCACGTCCATAGAACCCGTGATATAGGGGGAGATCCCGGTGGCACAGACACTGGCGTTATGATGGCCGATTCCCCTGCCCATGACATTGCTTGAGAGTGGTTAATTGATCACCAATCCATGTTCATAATAATGCTTCTTCTCTCAAACCTTGAAAGCCCTTCTTCCAACTTCGCCGTTGACCAAACACCTTGGGAGTCCACACTTGAAGCTGAGACAGTGTTGGTCACTACTCACCTCTCTATCGAGCATCCGTCCTCAACTGGGTCCTTACCACTGAGCGCGAACTTTTCTTGCAGCGAAATTTCCAGCGAAACGGGTCGAGGAAGACTGGAATGACTGACACTGACCTGAGGAGATTGTTGCCAGAATCGAGCAGCAGCGTGTGGCCCTCTTATATATCAGGGTTCCTGATAGTCCACCGTTATGGAGGATCTTGAGGCTAGCAAACAAGTTGTTTCTTCGTCCCGTTTCTCACCTGCATGCACGGAGTACCCAGGCAACTCTCCTGGACACCGGCGCAGACTAGTCATTGTCAGATCTCTTCGGCGATCCTCCCACGAACTGGCCAAAGATGGTCGAACCAGAGACTTGGCGGAAAGTTTCGGAAAGTTTCGTCCCCATTGATTCTTCGAATGACTTGTGTTAAGTCAGTAAGAATGGCACAATTCGGGCTGGCCGAGAAGTATTGTCGCCACACTGAAAATGATAAACCAATGCGGTTACCTCGCCTCTGGAGGACCCTTCACCCACCCATAAGCGCTTTTGTTATTTTTATCGGAAAAACACAGCAGGATGTGACTTTGTCGAGGCGCAAGGAGGGGATGATGAGCACGCCATTTGACACCATCACCACTGACTACGCGCAGGGCAGCGCTGCCGCGACCAAAGTAGCACTGCAGGACTGCAATGATCTTCGAGCTCATTATACTGAAACCACACAGGGATGAACTGCCAAGTATCATTAGTCGGTTCACCTGCCCGTCCACGCCCGAAATGGTGTAGTGCCCGCGCATCTGCCCTACAAACTGGGATAATACTGACTCGGCGATCTGCGCTGCAGTAGCACTGCATCCAAAGTGGCACCCGCGTGGCTGCTCAAGTGCCTATTTTTGGGCCTATCAGCAATACCGTGCCAGCGACCTTTACGCTTAAACGATATGCTTGGCTTCAATATTTTCGATATCGTGTCGATCTATATAACAAAGAGACGGCTCGCAAGGTCTGATCACGGAATGTTGTGAGACATCGCCTCAGCTCCCTCTCTTTCATTGGTCGCTTGTCCTGCACTCGTGAGTACAAGAACACTGCATATGCAGATGGCTTCAGCCGACTGCAACACTGGAAGCGGGGAGGAGTTTGTTGACTGACCTATATCTTGCAGCTGTGCCCTTCGTTCTTTTTCGCTTCGATCCGAGAGTCAGTCTTTATCGAACGATCGAGTTGTCACCACATTGAACAACTCTCCACTCTCGTTACCAGCCATTGCCGGAAAGATATAACCAGCAACATGTATATCTCAAACATTCTGTCGCTTCTGCCAATCCTGGGTTTGGCCAAGGCCGCGGCTCTGCCCGAATACTCAGCTCCGGCTCCAGAAATTGATGAGTCAACCGTCTACGATGCTATCATCGTCGGTGGTGGTCCTTCTGGATTAAGTGCACTGAGCGGCCTCGCCCGTGTGAGGAGGAATGTCCTCTTGATCGATTCCGGTGAATACCGTAACGAGGCGACGAGGCACATGCACGATGTGATCGGCTTGGACGGTAATGATTCCGCCAAAGACTTGCGAAGTAGGAGCCCAATACTGACGAGCATACAGGCGTTACTCCGGCTTACTACCGCTGGCTTGCGCGAGAATTAATATCCGACTACAAGACAGTGACCTTGACCAATGGCACAGTGACGGGGATCCAGGCCGGGAGCAGCAATGTCACTTCCTTCACAGTGCAGGCAACCCTGCCTTCAGGCGAGAAGACGCTCACAGCGAGGAAGATCGTCCTCGGAACAGGTCTGAAAGACGACCTCCCCAGCACTCCCGGTCTTCAGGACAACTGGGGCAAGGGTATCTACTGGTGCCCCTGGTGCGACGGAAATGAGCACGCCGACCAGGCCCTCGGCCTCCTCGGCCCCCTGGAGGACATCCCCGGGCTCGTGCGCGAGGTGGCCACCCTGAACAGCGACGTGGTGGCCTTCGCCAACGGCACCGACACGCCCGAGGCGCGCGCCGCGACCGAGGCGTCCTTCCCCGACTGGGAGGAGTACCTGAAGGTCGCCAACGTGACCGTGTACAACCAGACCATCACGTCCATCACGCGCCTCAAGGACGGCCACGACGCCTCCGCGGACCCGAGCCTGGCCACCTCGCCCGAGTACGACCTGTTCCGCGTGGACCTCGACGACGGCACCTCGGTCGAGAGGGCCGCCTTCTTCGTCTCCTTCCCGGACGAGCAGAAGTCGAGCGTCGGCGCCGACCTGGGCGTCACCCTGTACGGCGACCGCCTGTATGCCAACCAGGACAAGGGCCTCACCACCAACATCCCCGGCACCTACGCCATCGGTGATGCGAACTCGGACAACGTCACCAACGTGCCCCATGCCATCTACACCGGCAAGAAGGCGGCTGTCTACGCGCATGGTGAGTGGCGTCCCCGGCATCCCATCCGGTCTTGGATGGCTTCTTTCACGTTGTTTATAGACTAACTCATTGTTTAGTGCAACTCGCTCGCGAGGACGTCGCGGCTCAGCTTGCGGCTGCCAGGAACAACGGCACCGCCGCGGCCGAGAAGAGGGAGGAGTCCGCACTTGACCCGCGGGATGTCTGGGAGCGCATGAATGGCCAGCCCGGAGACCTCCTGTATGCTGGGGAGTTCTGAGTTGTTAGATGAAGTAGAAGCCTTGCGTAATGTTCAAGCAGGCTTCAGATCTCTACGAGTTCCAAGAGATAATGCAAAACGATTTATTCAGTAATATTGTCATCGGAAATGCACTGGACTCTGATCTAGGTGGTTCTGATGTGATGACAAGAATGTGCGGCATCCTTTCCCTCCGAGTTATGACATCTGGCTCGAGTGTGAAAATGATCGATTTAGCCCCAGGGGCTGCGAGAAGTCTCCCCACGGCGTTGGTGGACTGAGAAAATGCGTACCATCATCCTCATTCAGAACTCAGGGGACGAAAGATGTCGACACAGTGGACGAAGTTAAGGAAACCCATTGATCATTACTTGTGCTTGTGCTCATCATCATTATGCTGTGTGTCTAGGTAGTGCTCCAACCCCTGCCCAATGCTATGCTGAATCAGTCAAACGCAGTCCTTCCAGGCTATGCCTCTGGTTTTCTTCAGCTAACCGAAAACAAAATCAATTTCAGTGTGACTTTCCCGGCGTCGAGAAACTCCAGCCTCATCCGCCTCACTCAGTCGGGATATCCCTCTTGGCTTTCATTTTGTCCACAAGTGGCACGAGGAGGTTGTCTTTTAGACCCCTCAGGATTATCTGCATGTAGGCCTTTCTGTCAAACTCATCCGGCAGCACCTCGGTAGAACAACGGTAGTCGTAGGTGTCGACGAAGTAGCGGAAGTGTGTGTCGACCTGGCCCAGTCTCGTCAGCATCCTTCTGGCCTTGGCTGCCCCGCTCCAGTCCAGCGTCATGAGCGACGTGAGTTCCGTCATCTTGACTGGCAAGTACTGGAAAAAGAACTCGTAGATGTAAAACCACCGATCGTCCGTCCCAATGTACCAGCCTTTCGGCTTGTAGAGAAGAATGTTCTCCGGCTGGTCAAAGTACGTGATAGTATTGACGACGATGTCCCATGTGCTTTGACCATTCTTGGTCGTCGAGACACATTGCACAATCTTTGCGGGCGCTGTCTCGTGGTCGACGTTCAGATCCTGATTCTGGAGAGCTTCTTTGATCAGGCACTCGGCAACGACGTCCACTGGCACAACATCGAGAATGGCAGAAGGGTCTCCGTGCAAAACCTTCAAGCCGCCGAGCGCGAACGCAGAAATGGGGCCACCGAGCGCCGCAAAGCTGTCGATCCACCCGGGAAATGGATACTTCCAGCTCGCGGATATGATGCTTGGACGGACGATTGTCAAAGGTGTTGATCCCTTGTGCTCAACAACAAAATGCTCGGCGAGGCATTTCGCGAGGGTGTAGTTGTTGGGATGCCCTGTCTCACTGCGGATGTGATCAGAATCCCGTCTTCCGTCGTGCAGGTCCTCCAATATCTGCATTGCGGGCTGCGGCAGGACAGGCAGTTGCTCCCAGATGGGTCCTTTCCTGTTGGGAGTGACGTATGCCGTCGACGTGACCACCAAGCGTTGGAGGTTCGCACATTGCTGCGAAAAGAAGAGTACATTGAGGCTGGCGGTAACGTTGTCCGCGAGAAGAACATTGAGAGACGTGTCGAAGGCGACGCATCCGGCACAGTGAATAACATGAGTCACTCTGGTTGTCAGGTCGTTGAAATTTTGAGGACCGAGTCCGCAGTTCAGCTCCATTAGGTCGCCAGCCACAACCTCAACATCTGAATCCCAGTCCATCGGGAGCCTTGAAAAGCATCGTGACTTGGAAACACTCGACCTGTATCGCTCTAGCGCGTTTTGGTTGCCTGATGATCGGATCAGCACCAGGATGCGATCAAATTCTAGGTCCTGCGCATGTCGGCGGCGCATGAGCTCCTCGAGGACGACTTTCCCAACGAAACCCGTGACCCCAGTGAGCAGGATGGTGTTGGACGACATGTTGAAATCGGCGACTGAGACTGTGGTAGACTTCGCGATCTACGGAGAGATGAGCTGGGTTGGCGTTGCGTGGCAGGTGATGTTCAAAATGATGATGAAGGAACTCTAGGGGACGCAGGGCACGGAATCGATGCTGTGATAATACAAAAGAGATGTCTGCGTCCCGGTGGATGTGGTTGGAAGTGTTTCGATGGGGTGCCAAAATCAAGGGAGGAGGTGTTCATAGAGGTTGCTCCTACAGAAGGCGCCATGACTGCGTCGACAATTACGTTTTGGAAAGAAGTGCAAGAACGATGCCATTGAGGTTTCACTTGTGCTTCTGACTGGACGGCATTGCTGCTGCTTCGTAATACTAGGTAAATGCACGGAAACCACGCCCCATGAGCACCAGATCTCCTTCCCGCTCTGATCGGATTTTTGCATACGAGAGTCTGGTCGCCAATAATATCATCCGAAGCCATGCACATGTAGAAGTGAAATCACTGCGGTTGGAGTCCCCAGGATCTATGTCAGAAAGGCTTTTCTGAATTTTCCGAGGGCTTGTTTATTTCTCGATGCCTGTGCAACGAGAAACCTCTATCGCGTCCTAGGTAGTGTAATTAGAATCAGTGGTTGTGCTTGACGAAACAGTTGCGTGTGAATGACTGCACACTGGATAGATCTTACCGGCACACCACTCGGCTCCCAACCTTCGACGAACTCGCTCGAGTAGATGAGGTTGGGGTTGCCATGGACTTCAGATTCGTCCACTTGGCCCCCCTTGGCCATGTTGTATCTGTGTTTCTCCCAGTCCGACAGCCTTTCTAGGCTCAGTCCGGTGTCTTTCTTGAATTTTTCCCTCTTCTGCTGCACTGTACTCCGGACATATTCGAGGTATGGAGGGTTCCCAGGTTTGACGACTGTTCCGGTGGGCCGAGCATCAGCACTCATGAGGCCCAACATTGAACATAAAAACGAACGTGTGGACGGACTCACCGTTATCGGCAGCAAGCACTGAACCAACACCAACCACACCAAGCTCCTCACACAGCTTCAAGTCAGGCGTGTAGAGGGGCTTGACATGATCAAGGAACATGAGGTCTATCTTCTTCAACCTGGCCTCCGCATGCAGCCTCCTGAGTGATGCGGAAGCTGGCCCAATCTCAACCCTCACGAAGTCATGCAGGCCTGCCAGGTCAACCAGACTGGAAATCACAGCACCAAACTCCGGGTTGTACTCGAGACTGTAGTACTGCTTCCCGCCCGCCTCTCGGAAGGCAGCACCAAATGCGATGGCCGAGTAGCCCACGTAGCCGCCCAGCTCGACCATGACCTGCGGCTTGACATCCTTGATGAGGTCTGCCACGATCTTGGATTTGTACTCTCCAACATTCATCAGGTACTTCTTGGTCTTGCCATATTCGTCAATGGCGTCGATGAGCTTTTGAGGGTTGCCGCGAATCTCTGAGATCTTTGGGTGGTTGTAGATGTAATGCAACAGAGCCACTTCTCTGCCGTCATCGAACTATGTATGTCACTCCTTTAGTACATCAAATAGAACAATATACCGGGAATAGTTGCCGTGGAACGAACATATTTATCCTCCTGTGGCTGATACGCCTGTCCTGTGAAGTTGGTTAAGCTGCTCATTTTGAGACAGTGACGGGTCTATATCTGAAAATATTTTTAAAGCTCAAATTTTGGAACTTGCACAAATGTGTCACAGAGTTGTTCCAACATGAAAACTCATGAAGGAGCTGCTTGGTGTTTTGTTGTCCCGGGGGTCGGTCCAAAGACAGAACGAGTCAAGAACCCCTAAATTTGGGGGCAAATATCGGCGGTCCGCACCTGTATTTGGGGTCGGGCAGGCGTCAAAGGGGTGTGAAAGTGCGGGGCAGAGAGCTCAATTCTTGGGGTGGGCGGGTTCCTGGTTCCTGAAGCTCAAGCTCCGTCTACTCACTCTGTGGGGTCTTCCTCTTTTGCAGCTGCTCTAGGAACTGAACAGTACCATCAACTTTCTCTCTCCTAGACGCAATGATTACGGTGCGAGATGTGGACATGGTTCCTCCATACAACACAATTTTCATCTGCAGGTATTTGTTTGTAATGATGTATCATCACTCCATGGCTAAGACAACTGGTACGTATTTTTTGACCTTGATCATCGAACCTTAGCCTCTGCTCCGTCCATGCAGCCTTTGCCTCCTCTGTCAACCCGTCAAGCCCCTCGACGCGAAAACCCGTGACTCTGCCAGGGATCAATCGACGGACTGGGCCATTCTCAGCGTCACCACTGTCAGCTAGCCCCACCGCGCCCCAGCTCTGTTGCTGGTGGGGCTTGCCGAAAGTCAATCGACGCTTGCGCCGAGCCGCACCCGGCCGACCCACACACCACAGATCGCCTTGCAGATCTGTTGTCTCATCCTTCAACCTTGACCAGAACCGTGGATATGGCGCACGCTGGCAGGCTGGCAAGCTGGCACGCTACCAGGAAGATAGGCTGCCCCAAGACAGCACGGTCGACCCCTTGGTGTCATTAGACGGAACCTGACCGCCAGTCCAAGGGCCCCGTGGGGTGTTCGATGGAGGTTTCTGGCGCATCTGGCTAACCGGTTCACCCTTCCGTCAACCGAAGCGGGAGGGCAAGGGGGACGGGGAATTGCGATGTCGCCATCTCCAGCCAACATGGGATTCTCAACAATCACGTCTGCGAGACATTGCCCCACTAGGGCCCTGGCGGCAGGGAACGTGTCAGTACGAGTGACAGTGCGGAAACCGAGCTCTTTGTCGACGAGTCTATGACCACGACGAGTCTCAAGGTACATTATACCTCCTCGTCTGGTCTTGATCTCGCCTGAATCGAGGTACTAGACACAACTCTACGAGCATGATGTGCCTGGCTCGTTGCTGCACTTCCTCCGGGATGTGCGCCCAGTCATTGCTGGGCACCGAGTCCTCACGCTTCTACAACGGCCACAAGCTATCCCAGGAGTTTTCAAGACGGCGGTGGTTCCAACGTTTTCATATGTGCCAAACCGCCAATGGAAGTCGTGACGACACCACTCTGTCGACTTGCTCGGGACATGCTCTCCTGCAAAGCATGTGCAGCTCAAAAAGAAGGTATCCCCGGGAGCTTTGCCCGGACGCGTCTCCTGCAGCTCGCTCTTCATCCCTCAGTTTCTAGACTTCAACCTCCTCTAGAGTTTCCTTCTTGTTCTGTGTTGACATTCAACGTTCCCGGCCCAATACATCACTCCTTCCCCCAAGATGTCTGACCTCAAGGCAACTGTCTCTGAGACGCCCAAGGGCTTCCACGTCGAAGGCTACGAGAAGATCTCGTACGACTTCTCCTTTGTCGATGGGGTCTTTGACACTCGTAACCCCGGCCTGGCCGAGTGCTACAAGCCGTGGGGACGCGTTCTTGCCGTTACTGACAAGAATGTCTTCGGCCTCTACGGTGACAAGATGGAGAAGTACTTCGCTCACTACGGCCTGACCCTGCAGGTCCACAAGACCTCCATTGGTGAGAAGGCCAAGACGGTTGATACCTGGTTGAGCATTTGTGACTCAATGACCGACTTCGGTATCATTCGGAAGGTATGGCACATTTTTGGGGCAGATTGCCCTTCTTGGGTCAGCTTGGAAGCTCCTATTGACACTTTGCCAGGAACCTGTTCTTGTGGTCGGCGGTGGCCTTGTGACTGACGTCGCTGGGTAAGCGTTCTTCGAATCCCTTAAAAACTCGATCGTCTATGGGGATTTCCCTGAACAATTGCAAGATTAGCGATCGGGTGCAAGATATTTGGTTAACACTGTGGGTTACAGCTTTGCCTGCGCGGCATACCGTCGGAACACCAACTTCATTCGCGTCCCCACTACAGTCATTGGTCTCATTGATGCCAGTGTGAGCATCAAGGTGGCCGTCAACTACGGCAACTACAAGAACAGGCTGGGTGCCTACCACGCCCCTATCCACACCTTCCTTGACTTCACCTTCCTGCGCACTCTCCCTATTGCACAGGTGCGAAATGGATTTGCAGAGCTCATCAAGATCTCGTCATGCTCCCACCTCCAGGTGTTCGACTTGCTGGACAAGTTCTGCGAGCAATTGATAGAGCACAGGTTTGGGCGAGGGGACGGCTCCTCCGAGGAGCTCACCAGGGCGGCTGATATCGTAAGCAATGTTATGTCGCGATTGAAATTCGCTTACAGTGCAGCTGACACCGCTCCAGATCAACCGCGAGGGAATCTACGAAATGCTGAAGCTCGAGTCCCCTAACCTACACGAGATTGGTCTCGACCGTGTGATCGCGTACGGTCACACGTGGTCTCCACTCCACGAGCTCATCCCAGAGACACCTCTGCGACACGGCCATGCTATTTCCATCGACATGGCATATACTGCCACACTAGCCAATCACCGTGGGCTGCTCAGCGACGCAGCGCATACCCGCCTGCTCACCCTGTTCTCACGCGCCGGTCTCACAATCGACCACCCCCAGTTCGACGAGCACGTCATAGACAAAGGAACAGCAGCCATCCTCAAGACACGGGACGGAAAGCTGCGCCTGGCTGTCCCCAACCCCCTGGGCAGCTGCACCTTCCTGAATGATGTCAGTCAGGAGGAGCTACTCCTTGCGCTCAAGAAGCACAAGGACTTTGCGAAGGGCTACCCGCGTGAGGGTGCTGGTCTCGAGGCCTTCGTCGATGGCAGCGACACCGGATACACAGATCTGGCATCTGAGAACAAGAGCGTGCTTGACACTGTGGCCGAGAATGGGGACGGGTTGAAGGCAAAGCTCGCCGCCAAGGTGGCCAATGGCACCAACGGACACGCCAATGGGCATGCGAATGGGCACACCAACGGGCACACCAATGGTTTTACCAACGGTCACACCAATGGCAACGGAGCCAAGGGAGTTCAGGATTCTCACGTGGAGAGGGTTGCAAAGACGAACGGTGTTCATTAGATAGAGCGTGCTTTCATCTTGTGGTTGCATGAAGCTTTCAGCGGTCTGCCCCACCATGGGTTCATCTTATATGATAAACGACAGTGCATGACGAAGAACCAACTTCAACTTTTAGGTTGGATGAGATTAAGACCGGGGGCAAGCGGTGGAGTGTATCCATCAGATATTCACTTGGGGAACAAAAGCATCGCATCACGGGTGGCTTCATCCTCTGTTCCCACCTAACTCTCGTAGGCATTGTCGCGATCTGATACGAGATCGTTCTATTACGTGAAAAGGCGACAGTCACCTGCATAACCTACTCCGCACTGACGTGACACCCTCATAGGAGAGGACGTGATGGAAATATCATCAATTGAAGGTCTCCCTTACGTCTGTCCTCATGTAAACAACAAGAGCCCCCCCCGGTAGGAAGGGAGAAGTGACACGCCCGGTCCCGCGGCCCTTCCCCTTTGCCCACCCACCAAAAGCTGAGGAGTGGGCCGGCAATGCTGTCAGGTACACGGAAGGAGCTGGCAACAGTTCATGCTCGTCACTACTGCGTAAGTCTGTATGCATGTGCCCTGTACTTCACCGGCCTGCGTTAGTCTGGCAGCGGCGTCCCAGGCTCAGACAAAGCTCCATCCCTGCAAGACCCGAGGTTTCCTGAGCCGCTCTCCCCAAGCTCGTTGAATGATTCATCAAGGAGCAAAGCAGCCGAGTGCGTGCCTCGAGCGTTCCTTCCCCGGTTTTCCAACTTGGGGGCGGGTGTAGATCCCGAGCCGCGTCTCGCGTGAATTATGAACGAGAACAGCCAAATATCCTGGGAAGGAACAAGCAAGCTACCGCAGGCTGGAAGTCAACACTGCAGACAGGTGGGTGTCTCAGAACTTCATTGACACCAAACCCACAGACTCATGTTCGATGGAAATGCCCATTGCGAAATCACAGGTCCTCAATTACGGCCAGTAGCAAATAATGCCTCTCTTCAAGGCGAATGGAAAGTCACTCACCACGGCGCCGGACGGGACCATCACCGTCATCCATAGGTTAGCCTACCTTCGACGCATCGTGACCGACTTCATCAAAACCTTCTTCCTCTTAGGACTTAGTATCTTCCTCCTACCCATCAGCTATGCTATCGCCATCATCCTCACCGAAGTGCCACCGTCAGTCCTCGCCTATTTACAGCCCTTCTCCCGCTCAACATTGAGCGGTGCCCTCTTCCATCGGACCCAATGCCGCGCGAAGCCCACCTTCAGGCAGCGGACCGTCCTCGTCACGGGCGTGGGCATGACCAAAGGCCTGACGCTGGCCCGGGCATTCTGGCTGTGTGGGCACCGCGTCGTGGCAGCCGACTTTGACGTCGGTGCATGTGCTGCCTGGACGCCTTGGAAAAAGGGAAAATGGACGCACAGCCTGGCCTTTGACGCGGTCTACCCGCTGCGGAGACCTGTGGTGGAAGACGACATGGATGAGAGTGAGAAGCAAGAAGTGAGGAGATCGTACATCAGTGATATCTGCAACATCGTCAAGGACGAAGGAGTCGATCTGTGGGTTTCGTGCTCGGGCGTCGCGAGCGCAGTGGAGGACGCCATGGTGAAGGAGGCGCTGGACCAGATGTCCCCACAGGACGGACGGAGCTGTGCATGCATACAGTTTGACGTGCCCACGACATCAACTCTGCACGAGAAGTCAACCTTCATCCAGCATACCAAGGCCCTCAAGCTCGCCGTCCCCGAGACGTTCGACGTCACGTCGCACGGCGAGGTCCTAGACGCACTCGCCTCCGCGACGAAAGAGAATCCGCATAGGAAGTTCATTCTCAAGCCCGTAGGCATGGACGACGCTAACCGTGCCAACATGACGCTCTTCCCCCTCCCTAACCCTCACGACACCGAGATCTGCGTCCGCCGCCGCGACATCTCGGCTAAGAGACCCTGGGTTCTGCAGCAGTTCATCCAAGGTGGTAGGGAGTACTGCACGCACGCGCTGGTCGTCGCTGGCGCCGTCAGGGTCTTTGCTGCGTGTCCCAGTAGCGAGCTCCTGATGCACTACGAGGCCCTCCCGCCCGGTGACCCCCTAGCCGCGGAGATGCTGCGCTTCACCACCAGGTTCGCCGCAGCCGCGGGAACGGGCTTCACGGGCCACTTGAGCTTTGACTTCATGGCTGAGGAGGATGATGACGGCCAACAGAGGCTGTACGCGATTGAGTGCAACCCGCGGGCTCACACCGCGGTGGCGCTGTTCGCGCAGCCCGGCGAGCGGATGAGAGGAATGGTGGAGGCGTACATGTCTGCCGTGAATGGGTCTTTGGAGCCGTTGAAGGAGGACAACTTTGATGTCCCTGCGGAACTGGTCTGGACGCCGGCGAACGCGAGGCCTCGATACTGGATCGGTCACGACCTTGTTACAAGGGGGGTGCTGCCGTGGTTGGACCTACTTCTGCAGACACCACACTCTGGTAGGCTACTCGTCGACCATACAGCGGAGCTCGTGCAACACCTATTATACTGGAAGGACGGCACCTTTGAGCTTTGGGATCCGTGGCCATTTGTGGCGCTGTACCATCACTACTGGCCACAGGCAATACTGGCTGCGTGGCGAAAGGGGGAGCGGTGGAGCCGGCTCAACGTGAGCACGACCAAGTTGTTTATATGTTAGTTGGACGCCGACTGAAGCCACCAGTGCTGTACCGCGCGTGGTCTTATACTTTCTCTGTCCGGGTTTGAAGAGTTCGGCCGATGGTGGCAAAATGTATCTTACTTACACTGGCAGTCTCTGTCAGTCAACCTTATGTCGCCGCCCTCCGGTGCAACTTCTGGGCATTACATAGATGGATTTCTGCTTTGACTTAGGGCCAAAAGGCAACCAGCTAGTCACGGCTGCCGGTGAATCAATAGAAAAAAATAAAGCAATTCAAGTGGGCAGTCGCACCGCCGTGTCATCTCTCGTTTGTCAAAGTCGTCTCGCTTCCACATGTTAGTTGGTGGCCCGTCCTTGAGTCTAATCCGTAAGTACCTTTGAAGTTTCCGAACCTGGTTCAAAGAGGACGACTTGGCTTTGCTGAAGCCTGCGACTACATTTCCAAAAACAAGGACCAAAGGAAAGTTTGAATAATGGCTGGCAACAATGAGAATGAGATCCTGCACGAGGTCCAGGTAGTGCCGAACGAGGACGACAAGGAAGACGTCAAGAGGTGAGTCGAGCTTGAGCGAGTCCGCAGCAGGGCAGGGCATAGCCTGGCTTCTCCACATCCACTGCATCTCCAGCTTGCAGGGCAGCTCCAGCTACAGATCGCGCAAGCTGGGGGCCATTCACCAATGGGAGCGCTGCCCAGGTGGTGTTGGAGCTACCCCTGTCCACGTCCTACGCGCGACGGAGAGCTGGCGGGAGGTCTCATCCTCACCAAGTGATCACCTGCCGCTCAGGCGATGCTGCAGCACAATTGATTGGTTGATTTACACCCCCAGCCTTCCGACTTTTTCTACAGTTTCGCATCACTCACGCCGCAACTCAATACCAACCTCCCCTCCTCGTCCTCCCCACCTCCGCCTCGCCTGCCCCTCTCTGCCTTGCGCATATTCAATTGGGCTCTCTGCAGCTCCCAGCGCTCTTCCCAAACGTCAGTCCCTCTTCCTCGTCTGCACGCCGCGCAACCTGGGCGCAAAGAAACCACTCCAACACCTCCCACCACCGATCGCAACTGCTCCTCGCGACGGCCTTTTCTAACTCCATCGTCAACTCAGGTCCCATCCCTCACACTTCACAATGGCCGACATAAACGACGACAGCATAGTCGAGGACTCGCCCGCCAACCCCGGCGCCGATGTCGAGATGGCCGAGGGCCTGGGCGAGGACGACACAACCGCAGTGGCCGGCCGCTCCGAGATCCTAAACGAGGGCGAGGGCGAGGAGGAGCCGGCTCCTGAGCGTACATCCTTCATCAGCTACCTCACAAGCCCCGTTGTCACCCTGATTGTCGGCGCCGGCGAGAACGAGACCATCTTAACGGCACACCAAGCTCTGCTCGTCCTCAGCCCGTTCTTCAAGGATGCATGCGCTCAGTTCAGCGACGATGGCAGCGTGAGTGGTCCCGCGGCCTAACTTGATCCAACGCGCGGGCTAGATGGAGTGCGCGCATTCTATTAAAGCCCACTAACAAAGCATTTTGCTCTGCCAGCCCCGCCAGATCGAGCTCCCTCAAGACGACATGGATGCGGTCGGCTGCTTCCTAGAATACCTCTACACCGGCGACTACTTCCCCAAGAAGGTACCCGGCCAGCGCACCCTCGAGACCGACCCGTCCATCCCCAAGGTCGACGAGTCCGGCGAGCAGCTGCTCAAGCACGCCCGCGTCTACACCCTGGCCGAGAAGTTCCAGGTCCCCAACCTGCGCACTCTCGCCTCCTCCAAGATCCACTGCGTCAACTCCACCGCCAAGGGCGAGATCGCCTACGCCCGCTACGTATACGCCTACACCTCCGAGGCAGACTCGACGGTCCGCGCGCCCGTCGCCAATTTCTGGGCTAACCGCTCACACACCCTGCGCGCCGAGGCCGAGCCGGAATTCAAGGCCCTATGCTTGGAGTACCCTCAGTTCGGTTACGATGTCCTCAGTAAGCTCAGTTCCAAGCTTCAGACTTTGCGAAAACTTCTCCGGTTGCTAATGAAAACCCCCAGCGCGCGTCCTCGACGACAAGCTCAAGCGCGAGAGCAACGCCAAGATGCACCCTGCCAGTGGCAGCGTCCGCAAGCGACCCCGTCACAGCAGCAATGCTTAAGCAGCCCGAAAGCAACTCGACGCTCCGTCCTGATCGTGTTACAATGCAATCCAAGATTCGGAACCAAGAAGGGCGTTCTGGCGCCTCCATCTCTTTTGGTGCGGTATCTCTGGTCGGGGGACGGCATATGCCTCGGGTGGGAACCCAGTCCTGATACGCAGGACGTTGTTCTGTTAGATCTACAGAACTGTAAAATACTTTCGACGTTTGCTTCCTTTGCAGTCATAATCTGAGGCAGCCATAGGGGTGGAAGTCTACCTTAGGAGGGTTGTACTTCCTCGCGGTATTCAGGAAAACCTCACCTGGAGAAGATCGCTCTTAGCAGCAGGGTTGCTTTTCTCATACTGAACACTGGTTCGAAGGCACAATTATATGGTTGAGGACCGCGCACGTTGTCAGTTAATGCGATACTGAGGACTTTCCTCCTTCGCTTAGGATCAGTTCCATTGCCTAGGTGAGAGAGCCGGCAAGCACCCATCACGATGCTCGGCGATTCGCGCAAGACAATCTTTGAGGCCCCATCCGCGGCAACCAATGCTGAATGCTCAAGACACCAGTACCATACGCATACGCGTTGTCAGATGAGTGAAGGAGCCATCTGCGTTGCAGTGTCAGGGTTACCCGTGTAAGAACCGCGGTATATCTTGACCCAGCCCAGGACCAATTTGACTTGATTCATAGCTGCAGAAGTCGGGGTAAACAACTTCGACTACTTGCTCAAGGCAGAGATGTAGAAAAGCGGAGGAATCGACTTCCCGATTGAGTACTCGCCCAGCCATGCAGTCTCACTCACAGTCAGCTGCCTGTGTGCCCATGGCTTCCTTCCCCGCACAATGCCACTCACACCACCTGCATCAACAGGCATTCAGTTCCCAACCTCGCTCCATCACACTGTCGCTATACAGCGGGTCAACTCCCTCGTGGTACACCTGCCCGCCGCTACTGAATGCTACGAACCATCCCGGCCGTGACCCCATTATCTTTGACGCTGTCTTTCGTTGACTGGCCTGTTAATGAGCTACTGCGGTCGGTGCAACGTAAGGGAAGTTTATCGGGCTTGCTTTCGTAGTCTACTTGCGAAGTGGAGCCTCTGTCCCTTATTTAACTTAAATATGGGTGATTATGGCTGCTGTGAGTGTGACTTCCTCATGTGTGGACCTACTAAACAACTCCCGCTGCTCCTCAAACTCCATGTCACGTCCACATTCATTCCTTTTCGTTCATTCGCCACAACACGCCTGAGACGGCACTCACTACGCGCGTCGACATGGCCTCACTCATGGGGCACCTCCCCAACCACACCCGTTTCACCGCCTTCATTCTCGTCTGGTTATTCATACCACTGACGATCAATATGACAGCGGGCCAGGAGAGCACGGGTGATCCACCAGAGGACGAGTACAGCTGGTGGAAATATGTCAGGGGCCCGTTCAGCAACACCATCTCTCCAGTTCGTTTGCTCTCGAAATACACCAGCGGTAATATCAGCAACCCGGAAGGCCTGCTCAGTGGCGGGATCACCACACTCGCTAGAAGCGGCTCCGATGAAAGCATTCCATCGCTCGTGCTGGACTTGGGACGGAATTATGCCGGGGTGCTGAGTATCGACTTTGCAGGAGCCGAACCGTCCGGTCAAGGCCTTTTGAACACGACGTCCCTACCTGGTATCACTCTCGCCTTTTCGGAAACACTCCAGTTCCTGACCAACAGGAGCGACTTCACGAGGTCTGACAACCAGCCTGACGGGGAGAAGTTCACCAACGGGACCGACCAGATCGCGGTGCAGAAGCAGCCGTACACGTGGACGAACAAACTCGGGTGCCAGTTCCCCGAGGACCACAAGGTCTGCTCGGACGGCTTCCACGGGTTCCGCTACCTGCGCATCTCGCTACAGGCTCTTGAAGAGGACGCGCCGCACACCACAGGGTTTGGAAGCGTGTCTCTCTCCGGCGTGAGGCTGGCCTACTCTGGCTTCATTGGCACGCCGGACACCTTCACGGGGTTCTTCGAGTGCAGCAACGAGACCCTCAACCAGTGGTGGTACGACGGGGTCTACACCAACGACCTGGCCACCGACATATTCCGGGCCAACGACACGGAGCCGCGCGACGCGTTCACGCCCGGCCTGGTGGACAAGGTTGTCCTGCACGACGGGGCGAAGCGCGACCGCGACCCGTACGTCGGCGACCTGGCCGTGTCGGCGATGACCCTGTACGTCAGCCACGGGGACCCCGCCCCGGCGCGAAACGTGTTGGCGGACTTGGCGGACCACCAGAGGGCGGACGGGTGGATTCCGCCGGCGAGCATCCGAAACTACTCGCTGCCCCTGTTTGACTACCCGCTCTGGTGGGTAGTCTGCTCTTACGACCTTGTCATGTACCACCGCGACACCGACTACCTGGACAAGTATTACCCGAACATGGTGAAAGTTCTCGATGTGTACTACCCCAACTGCACCAACGCAGATGGTCTGCTCGAGAAGGGACTGGGCAACAGCGCCGGCTACGGCGACTACGCGTTCCTGCCCCGCACGGGCGTCATCACGTACTACAACGCGCTGTACATGATGGCCCTGAAGGGGGCAGAGAAACTGGCCAAATTCCACGGCCAGGATGACGACGCCGCGAGGTGGAAGGAGCGCGCCGACGCGATCGGCCCCGCGCTCATCAAAGAGAACTGGGACAGCAGTGTCGGGGCATTCTTTGACGGCGGGCCGTGCCCCGGGGACAACAGCAGTACCAAGTGCCCCGTCCACGCGCAGGACGGCAACAGCATCGCGATCCTGGCCGGCGTGGGCGTCTGGTGGAAAGCCCCGTTCTCGATCCTGGAGTACCTCTCCAGGGCGCTCAGGAGGCCCTACGGCAACGCCTTCTACGACAGCAGCGCCCTCAGCCCGGACGACCAGTTCGACCAGCGCGTGTACGCCTTCATCAGCTACTTCGAGCTGGCGGCGCGCTTCGCGTACGACGCGGACTCGGCCTTTGACGAGCTGCAGCGGCTGTACGGCTGGATGATCACCCACGACCCGTCGTCGACGTTCTGGGAGGGCATCGGGCCCGGGGGCAGGCCCTACCAGGACGGGTTCACGTCCATGGCGCACGGCTGGTCCTCGGGCGTCACGCCGCTGCTGACCAACTACGTCCTCGGCCTGACGCCGCTGGAGCCCGGGTTCGCCAGCTTCATGTTCGCGCCGTGCGACTCGGAGCCGGTCGGCATGGACTGGGCCCGGGGCCAGATCCAGACGCCCAATGGGCCGCTCTGGGTCCAGTGGACCATCAAGCCAGCGGCTGGCTTGCAGATGTTGGTCTCTGCGCCGGCCGGGACGACGGGTGATGTTGTCGTGCTCCTCGCCAACGGGAGGACCAAGGTGAGCAGGAACGGAGAGGTTGTCTGGACGAAAGATGGAGGGGCCATCGCGGAGGGTGTCAACCCTGGCGATGGGAAAGTTGTGGTGAGCGTCACGGGTGGCAGCCGTCAAGTCATTGAGGCGGCGTAGTATTGGAGCACGCACTCATGCGAGTTCACCAACAACCTCCTGATACATTAATGATATTAAAGTAAAGTACAAGATTTCAGAAGGTAAACAGACCAGTGACTGACAGATCTGTTTAAGTCTTCTGCCGCTCAATTACCGCCTGACGCGCATTCTCGAGTGAGTTTCCTGCCTGTTGGTCGATTTCCATCGTGAGCCACCATTCTGTATGGCTGGCCATGCCGCCCAATGTGAAGAGTCTGACAGGCTGGATTGCGTTCCTTTGACAACCATCGACATACGCTATGTGTTCAGATCCTGTTTCTGCGTGCCGTCGTCGAAGCTCACCTCTCTGCTTGCACTGAAGCCGTGTGATTAATCTCTAAACGTAGATATGTTCAAGTTCATGACACTCCTGGCCTGGAAGTGGCTAGAAGCAACATCCAGGGTTGTAAAATTAGTTTTGAGTTTTAGTTAAACTAAATGTAGTTTTTAGTTTTAGTTTTGAGTTAGTACTTTTTTAAAAACTTAATGTAGTTTTTAGTTTTTAGTCAAGCTTATTAACTAAAACTAAAAAACTACAAACTAAATTGAGTTTAACTAAAAAACTAAAAAATTAAATTAATTAAATTAAAAAGAATTAAAAGAATTAAAAGAATTAAAAGAATTAAAAGAATTAAAAGAATTAAAAGAATTAAAAGAATTAAAAGAATTAAAAGAATTAAAAGAATTAAAAGAATTAAAAGAATTAAAAGAATTAAAAGAATTAAAAGAATTAAAAGAATTAAAAGAATTAAAAGAATTAAAAGAATTAAAAGAATTAAAAGAATTAAAAGAGTTAAAAATAAAATAAAATCTATTTCAAGGGTGATTCAAACCCCTAGCTATTAATTTATAATATAGCATATAATTATAAGCAAGGAATTTACATTATATTTATATATTAATAAATTAATAAGCATTATTATAATTATTACGGGCAATTATTATAAATTTTATTAACGCTATATATAACTATACTATATACATTATGGAATTATGAAATATATGTAATTTGGCTTCCTTATAAGTATATATAATATATATATATTATATATAATATATATACCTTATACCCCCCCCTCTTCCCCCTACCCTTAGCGTAACTACCTAAATATAACCTTTAATATCTTAATAATTTATAAAGCTATAAATATGAATAAAATATTTTTTAAAAGCTTATATTTTAATCTTTATATATAAAAAACTTTTAAAATATATTTACTCTTTAAAAAAATAGATATTTAACTTTAATTAAGTTTTACCTTAAATGAAAACTTAAAATACTTTTTAATAAAATTATATAATAATATTAGATTTTTTTAAATATAAATATTATATTTTTATATATATTTAAAAATTTTCATAAATAATAAATAGATTTATTTAAATAGATTTATTAAAACTTATATATCCTTATAAATACTTTAACTTTAAAAGTAGCTATAGGGCTTATTAGGGCTTATTTGCCCCTATAAATACTATAACTTAAAAAATAGCTATAGGGCTTATTAAGGCTTATTTACCCCTATAAATACTATAACTTAAAAAGTAGCTATAGGGCTTATTAAGGCTTATTTACCCCTATAAACACTTTAAGTTTATAAGTAGCTATAAGGCTTATTTCAGCTTAAAAGAAGTTTAGGGTAATTAACTATCCAAATCGGATAGTTTTAAAACCCAAGATTCCGTTATAATAAAAACATATATTATTTAAATTTAAATTAAATATATTTAAATAATTATATAAAAGATATATAAGAATTTTCCTTAAATTATTCTTTATTTATATATATTTTTATATTATTTTAAAAGCTTATTAATATTTTAAAAATTAAAATATTATATATTTCTTTAGGTAAATATTTAGCCGATTTGAAGGAATAAACTATTCGTTTTTTTTTTTTTTTTTATATATAAAACCTTTCTTTCTCTCTCTCTCTCTCTCTCTTTTTCTTCTTTCTTTATTACTCCTCAAGCCTAGTTTACCTATTTACTATTTCCTTAAACCTTAACTACTTATATACTCTTATTATTTTATTTATTATATATAAATAAAATGTCTTCTTTTGCTCCCTTATTTCCTATTAATTCTTTAGTAATTTCTATTAAGAATTATAATATTTCTTTTTTAAAAGAAAATTCTTAAATACCTTTTATTATAAAAGATAAATTTAATTCCCTAACTTATAAACTCCCTTCTTTTAAGAAAATAAATATTTATATTTTTTAAAATAATTTATTTATTTATATACTCCTCCTTATTAAAAAGGGAAAAAATTGATAAATATTAATATCTTATATTTAGTAAGTTATTTTTTTAATCTTAAAAGTATATAATTTAATATAAATAAAATTTATTTTTTAAATACGTTTTATTTATATTTAATTATATTTATATTAAATTATAGTTAGCTAAATATAGCATAAAGCTATTATTTTAAAAAGTATTAATAATAATAATATATTTAATAATATTCTTTAAAAGCATTTAATTATATAATTAATATATAAAATAATTTAAGAAAGATATTATTTAAGGTTTTTTTTATTAAATTAATATCTTACTTAGTTTTTAAATTAATATTTATTTAAATGTTTTTATAAATATAAAGATAATTTAAAGCTTTTTTAAGCTTTAAATTATTAATATTATTATAAAGCAAAATACTTTATTATTCCTTATAATAAGGAATGTAAAAAGACTTAATTAAAAAGTAAGTATTTCTTTTATTTTAAATATTAATATAAATATTAATATTATATTTAAGGGTTTTTTCTTTTAATTTCTTTGCTATTTTAATAAAGAAATTAAAAGAAGATTTTATAAATAATAATACCTTTAAAAAATTTTAAATTTTATTATTAAAAATAATTTATCTTTTAATATATTAAATTTAAAGTCTTTTTAAGACTTATTATCTTACCTTAATATATAAGTAATTTTCCCCTTTTATTATTATTTTTTAAAAAAAAACTAATAAAATTTTAAATTTACCCTTATAATAAATTATTTAAAAATTAAAAGTATTTTAAATAATATTTTTAAAATAAATTTAGTAAGGCTTAACTTAAAATTAAAAGAAAATATTATTTTTAATTTTAAATTTTCTTTTATTTTTAATTATTGGACTTTTAAAGTTGATATGGCTTATTTAGGGGTAATAATCTCTTATATTAATTTAAAATTTTTAAGTTAAAAGAGAGATATATTAGCTTTATTCTTTTTAAAGAATTTTAAAAGTTTATTAAAAGTTATCCTAATATAATATTTAATAGCATTTTTAGGTATTTAATTCTTTTATTATTTAATAATATATTATATATTAACATTATTTTTATTAATTTTACTTAAGATAATGCATTAAATAATAATTCTTTCTTACTTTATTTAAAGAGGAATTTAATTCCTTTTTAAATAAAGATTTTAAAAATGATACTTAATGTATAGCGTATATTATTAATTTAATAGCGCAGGATATTTTAAAAAATTTTACTTTAAATTTAAAAGTTAAAGATTATTTAAATAAATATTTTTAAAATCTTAAGGAAACTATAGTATTAAATAATATTATTAAAAATAGTAAGTATTTTTTAATTTCTTTATATTTTTATATATTAATATTTTTTAAATATAATAACTTATATATAATGGATAATTATATTAACTTAATATAATATTAAGATTAATAGTTTATTATTTAAGGGTATTAAAAGGGCTATATAAAGTAAATCCTTATTAAAGGATTATAAAAAATCTTATATTCCTTTAAGTATTTATTTAATATTTCTTTTTATAAATAATAAGAGAAATTAAATATTAACTTAATATTAAATACCCTTATGCATTAAAATTCTACTTATATAATGTTAGAGGTTCTCTTAAAATTAAAGGAACCTTTAAATTATATAAGTAAGAATACCTTAAATTAGGAATATAAAGATATATTCTTTAGCATATTTAAATTATTTATTCTTGCGTAAATTAAAAAGACTTTTAAAGTCTTTTTAAAACCTTTTATTAAATTATAAGGAAAGTTATATATAACTCTTTTTTAAGGGCTATTATATATTTATTAAATATATAATAAACTAAAGGATTTAATAAGAAAGTATAAGAAAAAGTATAAGCAAAAGCAAAACTTTATAAGTTACTTTTTATTTTATTTTAAAAGAAATATAATATTAATTATATAAATAGAAAGAATATTTATTTAAATTTATTAAAGCTATTAAAATTAGCTTAAATAAATTAAAAAAATATTTTCCTTAAAAATTAATTAAAAATAATTTAAAAGATTATAAATCTTTTATTTTAGCTTTAGTTTTAAACCTTAGTTTTAAAATAACTTATTTTTAAATAAATGGGTATTTATACTTTTATTTAAATATAAAAGAAGATATTAAAGCTTTCTTAAGGATTAAGTTTAATAAGTAAGTCTTTTTATTAATTATTCTTCATTACTTTTATATTTATATTAATATTTATTAAAGTTAAATTAAAAGTTTTTGGTTTAAATAAAGATATATTTAATTCTTTATTTATTAATTCCCCTTAACGGAGCCATAATTTTAATAATGAATTATATATTAATTTTTCTTTTAATAATAATAAACAAAAGTATATAATTTATTTATAAAAACCTATTTATAATTCCAAGGTATGTATTTTTAAAAAAAGATTTAAACTTTTTTAAAAATAAATTTTAATACTTAAATAGCTGGATTTATTAAAGTATTGGAAAAATAATAAATTCCAATACCTTATATTAAGTATATTAGCTTAAAGATACCTTGCTATTTTAATTATATTTACTACTATAGAAAGAATATTTTCTATTACTAGTAATATTATTATTAAGTTAAGGATTAATCTTAATATAAAGATAATAAGGGAATTAATATTATTAAAGAATTGGAAATTTAATAATATTTAAGAGTTGGAAAAGGAAATTAAAGATTTGGAGGAAATAATGGATTAATAA